CCCCCAGTTCTTCTACGCAAAAATAAATAAAATCTGAAAAAAACCCCAAAAAGCAGCAGGTCATGAAGAGAGCACATTAAGCCCCACTCCTCCGATAATTAAACCACAGAGGTTAACCCACTCTTACTTTTGTCATCTGGCCACATCTTCTACATAATTATTGGGAGTTTTTGCTGTGCAGATATGAAAATACCTACACAAAACCCTAAAGTATGGTGACTCAATTTTATTTTCCTCGGGCTGCTCAGTGGATGGCAATGCCAGAAGAGAGGTGCCAATGAAGATGGAAAAGCAGCATTTATTGAGCATTCACTGTATTGCTAACTTCTCCCCATTTTACACCTGACAAAGCCAGAGCACAGAGAGATGAAGGCTTTGGCCCCCGTCAGTGGGTCACGACTGACCCCTTGGCCGCCCTCTGCGCCACGCTGCCGAGCACAGCTGTAGCCAGCAACTTTGCAGCACAGTTTGCCAGGAAGACTGAAGCTCCTGTGCAGAAGGACCCACCTGGACTGGGCCTGGAGCCCAGTGGGGACCAGTGAGTTAAAATGTAACACAAGGGGCCTCCCCGGTGGCGCAGCAGTTGAGCACTGGGTTGCGAAGCTGCCCGCAGCCTCTGCAGCGCCGGTTCCATCCTCGGCTGCTCCCAGGCCACAGGAGGAGGGTCCCACATGGCGTGCAGACCTCTCCTGCGGCCCGCTGCTCCCCTCAGCAGTGTACTTGGGTCCTTCTGCCTGCTCTGCTCCCCGCTCTGACTCTGGTGAATTCTCTCACCCTCCTGCGCTTCTGACTGTACCCAGTATATGTATAAACAAAAACAAACAAACAAATAAATAAACTAAATAAATAAAAATAAATAAAATGTAACACAAGCAAAAAAACATCAATCTCTGCCACGATTCCAAATTCAGAGAGAAATTAGGAAAGAAGAGCAAGCGCTGAGGGACACACACTTGTGTTTGGAGCGCAGCTGCTGCTCCTCGCAGAGGAAGGCCCTGAACAGCCTAAGTTCACTTTCCTCTCACTTTTTCATCAAAAAAAACTTGAAGCCAAAGTGAAAAGACTTGATTTACAGCTGTACAGAGGAGGTGATACAGTCCGACCATAAGTCTCCTATTTCCACTATTTCAACCTAAAACTAAATAAAAAAAACTTGGAAAAAACACGGGAACAGGCAAACAGGGCAAAGCCAGGCTATTACCTCCAGCCTGGTTGTGTGGCCTGGGGCCTCAGAGCCTAATGCAAGGTGCTGCTGGTCACAGCACAGTGCTGCTCGAGGACAGCCAAGGAAGAAAAACTTAGGAGAAGCGCTTTACAAATGCAAAGCTAACACAGTAGCCGGCTCTGGCTGAATGTCTGGCACAGACATTTTATACAGACTATTCTCTATAATCTTCAAAACAAGCCTGTGAGGGAGGATATCAGCACAAACGGTGGCATCTGAGGAAGCAGGCTTCTGACAGTGCCACTTACTTGTGTGTCCCAGAGTAAATCTCTTACCATTATTCTGTGTTTCTTCACCTGAAGTGGGCATGATATCAGAAATACATAGGGTGCTTGTGAAGACTGAGTTAATGTAAGTAAAACTCTCAGAACTGGGCCTAGAACACAGTAAACGTGCAGTATTTGTTGTCATGAGTGCGGTGGGAGTAGCAGTATCCCAATTTTTAAAGATGAGAACAGTTAGGCATTAGCACTTTTATTAAATTTTCAGTTTAAAGTGGTAGAGGCAGAATTTGAACTTGATTGTAAGTGTTTCCAATTAGATACTGGAGACATTTTACTGACTTAGAAGTTAAAAAAGGTAGGCAGGGTGAGTACTTGTACTTTAACCCTATTCTCAAATCACACAAATTAAGAATATTTACAAATGAAACTCAAACAAAAGAAGCAGGAAATGATCTGTTGTTTTATTCTTCAGAAGATTAGCTACAAGACTAATAGGCAGCAAGAGAAGGATGGAAACATTTAGGAATAAATAAAATCTTCTCTTAGCTCTAATTGGTAATCAGGCCCTTCCCAAGAACCAGAGTTGTGATAAATGGGCTGGATCTTTCAATCTCATTTCTTTTTTTAAAGATTTATTATTTATGAATACAAGAACTGGGGTACAGCTCAGAGATACGGGGGATGAGAGGATTCACCAGACAGAGTGGGGAACACAACAGGCAGACTGACTGAAATACACTGCTGAGGGGAGCAGCGGGGAGACAGGAAAAGTCTGCTGTGCCCTGTGGGTTGCTCCCTGGCCGTGGATGGAACTCCCAGTGGCTGCAGAGAGATTCATAGATTGCGTCTTAACCCCTTGCGCCACCAGGGAGGCCCTCAATCTCAATTCTGATGTTACTCCTATCATAATGATTCCAAAGAAATCAGTAACTTTCCAGGGCTTCCCTGGTGGTGCAGGGGTTAAAGTCAGCACCATCAAGCTATCCGCAGCCACTGGAGCATGAGTTTGATCTTCAGCCAGGGACCTGCCCACATGGCGCAGCAGACCTCTCCTGTCTCCCTGCTGCTCCCCTCAGCAGTGTATTTCAGTAGATCTGCCTGTTCTGTTCCCCACTCTGTCTCTCGTGAATCCTCTCACCCCCACACCTCTGCTCTCCACAATCCCTGCATGCATAAATAATTTTTTTAAAAAAGAAATCAATAACTTTCCAAAACAATTCACATAATTGGCAAGGAAAAAACACGTGAGCAAAACCTATCTCACAAGCACTTAGAGAAAGCAGGAGTGTGTGCGTCCTATGAGAAGCTAACGTGAGAAGTGCACACAGCCACCTATGCCTGCCAAAAAGAGGGGAATGTCTCTCTTTTCTGAATTGTGACCATAAAAGTAACAAGTCTCAACATTCAAAAAGAGGGGGGAGATTATATGAATGCCACCCTAACAATGGTGCTACCTTCAAAATCAGTTCATAAATGACACTGAAAGTTAGCTTTATTTCAACCCTATGCTGCTATTGAGAAAACTATCTACCGAGCTGAGCACAACAGTGAGGTATTCATTCAAGGGCTATTTTTTGATCAATTACCACTGTTGTAGGAAACAGGTGGTAAAAAAGACAAGAGCCCCATTTTCATAGAGCTTAGGCCTGAGGCAGGTTAATTACAGAAAAGAAATGAAGGCTCAGTTTTCATGTCTGTTAGACTAAAGCCTACACTGTATCTTTCAACTATTCCATCTTTCACTGGAAAGCTACGGGTTAGGGTCCACACTTCCGTATGCAGTCCTGGCACCACTGGCTGGAACCATTAGGGTTTCCCTCTGTTGGCAACCCAAGGTCACTTTCTCAGTGAGGAGTTCCTCCCTCAACTCCCAAGAGCAAAGACTGCTGTCAGCAGTTAACACATCATATTGTTATGTTCTTCTTTCCCTTGAGTCCCCAGACTCCCTCAGGGTAGCACCACCTCCTTGGCCTCTAAGCCTGTGAGATGGTACTCTCTGCAGGCATTCAGCAGATGCCAGTGGCATTCCCGAGAGCAGTTGCAGTGGAGCTGCAGTGGAGCTGCAGGGGAAGCCAGACTGTAATGAATGAAAGAGTAAATAGAAGGGCAGAGCTTGCTTTTTAAGAACAAGCCTAGAGGGCCTCCCTGGTGGTGCAAAGGGTTGAGCACCACACTATGAAGCAATCCACAGCCTCTGCAGCAAGAGTTCGAGCCCCAGCCAGGAAGCTACCCACATGGCACGGCAGACCTCTCTTGTCTCTCCCGCTGCTCCCCTCAGCAGTGTATTTCAGTCAGTCTGTTCTGTTCCCTGCTGTCTCTAGAGAATCCTCTCACCCTCCCACACCTCTGGCCTGTACCCCAGTTCTTGTATGCATAAATAAATCAATCCTTAAAAAAAAAAAAAACAAGCCTAGAAAGGGAAGGCAGAAAAAATGGTAGTAGTTTGAAGGAGAAATGTGATCACAGGAAAGCTTTATATTTTTTTAAGAATGAGAAAGACATGAACATCTGCGGGGCCCTTAGCAAAGCACAGAACAAAAAGCAGGGGAGTCAGACTAGAGTTCAAATTTCTGGTCCTGTTACTGCGTTTGGAGGCAAATCACTTCACCTCTACACCTTCCACTCACCCACATGTACAACAAGATGGCAATACACATATCTCGCTACGGCAGTCACAGCCTTCAGCAAACCAGACATTCAGTACACGGGACCTTGGTGATAACTGCAGGGGAAGCCTGGACCTTGGGGTCGAGCCCCTCGGCCGAGTGTGGCTTCTGTCCGCTCCCCTGCCCCAGGCGCTGTACTACAGGGGATGGCAGAGGAACAGACTCCTTCTTTCTTCTGTGTGCACCGGCCTGTGCTACTCCCCCTCCGCGCGGCAGCCCGAGCAGGAGCAGCAGCTGTGGAAAATACTGACGTCACCAACTGAGACACTCTGGAGAACGAGCAGACGGAAGTGATGTTAAATCGTCCAGAGTACCAGATTTTGGGTTCAGACCGAAACCCTCCCTGATAACTGAGAAGAGAAAAACCGACAATGCACACCCGGGGGGCACTTCAGGCTTCCAAACCAAAGGTGTCCCCACTCCAGCCCAGGCACAGAAGGCAGCCGAGTGAGGAGAGGCGTGAGGAGAGGCGTGAGGGGAGGCCTGAGGGGAGGCCTGAGGAGAGGACTGAGGGGAGGCCTGAGGGGAGGCCTGAGGGGAGGACTGAGGAGAGGACTGAGGGGAGGCCTGAGGGGAGGCCTGAGGGGAGGACTGAGGGGAGGCCTGAGGGGAGAACTGCGGGGAGGCCTGAGGAGAGGCCTGAGGGGAGGCCTGAGGGGAGCTGGCCTCGAGTCCTCCTCCAAGTCACCACTTTTCCTGTCAACCTGACCAGTTCCCAAGTTCGCCCTTTTGAAATTAAACGGTCTTTGTTTCCAGTCCTCCAGCCTGTTCTGGTCAAGCCCATTCACCTGTCCCCTACCTGACCAGAACCCCGCCCCAGCCCGCAGCTCACACAGGGGTGGGGGGGGGGCGCGGGGGCGGCAGCGCCGAGAATCAATTACAAACCAGTCTTGGAGAACAGAAAAAAGTACGTAAAACGAAGATGCAACTCTCTTCACAGAGCCGAGAGACCTGGAAGGTCGGGAGGAGACTCGAGGAGGAAGAGGGGGGCACAGGAGCCACCCCTGAGCGGACCCACAAATACGGTCACAACCACAACGCCAAACCCGTCACCGCGAGTCCGCTCGGGCGCTCGAGTTTCCCGGGAGGCCGAGGAACGGCCGAGGCCACTCCGGGCAGCCCTCAGCGTCCCCCCGGAATGACGCAAACGCCAGCAGCCCACGGCGCAGCCCCGCCCGGGAGAGACGCCCCCGCGCCCCACAGGGCCGCGGGTCCCGAAACCCCTCCCCGCCCCGCGCGCGGCTCCCCGAGCCCCGCTCCCCGACGTCAAAACGCGAGTCCGAAGCCGAGCCTCCGGCGCCCGCACGACGCCCGCGGGACCCGCAGGGGGGCGGCCGCCCCCCCCCGGCCCCCCGCCGCGCCCCCGCCGGCCGCGCTCCGCGCCGCGACCCGCTCCACGCGCGGCGCCCCCCCAGCGGCCCCTCCTGTCAGCCGGCCCACTGGGCCCCGCGCCCGCCGGACGGGCACGGGTGGGCTCGAGGCCGGTGGGGCCCGCGAGTCGCGCACTCACCTGCCGCGCGGGCTGAGCGGCGGGGAGGGAGGTCCAGCTGCCCCGCGCCGCCGCCTCAGGGCCAACCCCCGCTCCCGGCTCCGCGGCTCGGCCCGTCGCCGGTTTAGCGGCGCCACCGCGCACGCGCCGGGCCAGCGCGGCTGCCGCGGGGCGCGCTGGGGGCTGTAGTCCTCTGGGAGCGCGGCTGCCGCGGGGCGCGCTGGGGGCTGTAGTCCTCTGGGAGCGCTCGCCGGAGCGCAGGGACCCGCCCGCGACCCAGGTCCCCGGGCGGCCGGGCTCCGGTCTGATTTCGGCCTCGAGTCTGCACTGCAGCCTGAGGGGCTTGGGGCAGTACAGGGGGGACCTGCGGTCAGCGTGGAGAAGAGACACCCCAGCGCTCTGCGGAGGCGCGGCCCCTCCCTGGTGCTGCTCTCACAGGACGTGCCCCAGCGACGCGTGAGGATCCAGAGCTGAGGAAAAGCTCCCAGGACCCCGTCGACGAAGTCCTTTGAGGACTCAGTTGTTAAGCCCCTCCCTGTGGGCGCACAGGATGCGGTCCGGGCCAGCCTGATCCACTTTTGCACAATTCGAAAGCCCCGTAGGGAGCCAGGCGCCTGCGGGTGGACGCCGTGCCCGAGGGGTGAGCCCCGCCGCCCCAAGAGTGTGAACTCACCATTGTCTACAACCAGGTCGCTGTTCCTGAAAACGTTTAAGCAAGGTGCCACGGAAACGTCGACGCTACCAGGCCGGTGGCAGGCCTCCTCCATTGGCTCCTGGTCCTGGTCGACATCAGGCTCTATCTAGCCTGAAAATGTGCCCTCATCTTTTGGAAAGGTCACCAAAAGCTGCACTAGTACTACGGGGCCATTCTCCAAGAAATTTCACCCAGTACGCCCGGCTCGTCGTGCCCGGGGTGGCCGCGGAGGGTGGGCCTGAGGCCACAGCTGGGACTAGAGCGCTCACCTCACCAGGCCCTTTACATTATTGACAACTCTCCTGTGCTGAAAGCAGGCTGGATTTTAACATTTTACGGGGGACCTGGACAAAATAAGAAATGTGAACCTGTTTTTTGTGGCAGTGTTTACTTCTCTTTCCAGCTACACCAGTTTTTCAAAAGAAAAAATTTTTTAAGGCAAAGAATTTTGCCATAGGGTAATAAATTCCTGCCCTTTTAGTGTGATGACATCCATTTTCCTCTCACCTTACAACTTGCAAGGGCTGTGTTAAATGATTTTCGTGGGAAAAGTTTGAGAGTTGTAAGCTGAGGTGTCATGATGCTGCTGAGTAATTCAGCATGGGTGCCTTAGATTTTTGCAGTTAAGTCATTAGCATTTCATTTTTGCCTACTTTCCCTACAGGTTTAATAGGGAATAAGGACTTGGTTAGCACTATTGCCAGGCAAAGCTTCCAGCCCTCCCCTGGCACTCCAGTGGAATCATGTCAGTGAACACTGGAGTGCAGGCCTTAAGGCCACAGAGGGTAGGACTCCTTTTCCAGGAAGGGTAAATGATTCTGTGAAACTGCTAGTAAATGCTATGCAAGATTTCTATGTATCATGTAGCCTCCATCAGTCAGATAACAAAGGGCAAGAAAGTGAAACAGCCAGGTTCTTAAATGCCCCCTAGGACAGCACCCAGGTAATTCATAACACCTGCAGGGTGGATGGGGCCAGCGCATTGAAGTAATTCTGCCAAGCAGCCTCAGGAGGGAGGAGGGGTGTAGAGCGCATTAGAAGACGCCACCACCAAGGGAAGCAAAATACCCTTTTATCAGTGACACCTCAAGAGCGCCTTTTCTCGGTGGACCTTAAAGAACATGCGTGTGTACAAAAGTGGAAATGTCTGTCCTACCATGGAGGAGCCACTCACCACTTCTGCTTTCTGCACTGGAACTGCCAGGCAGTGTGTACAGGCGGTGCACAGCAGGGGGCTGAAAAATGTATGGCAAAGTCTGAAACCAGTATGAAAAAATGTCATAAATATGTATTTCTTCTGGGATATCATGAAGAAATGAAGCTTTTTAAACACCAAGTATGTTACTTTACCTTTTTTGTCTTGACAGAAAATGAGCAACTTACTTATGGAACTATGGGATAAACCTTTAACTTGTAAGACAGCTGCCTTATTAAGGTATAAAGCCTCAGGAGAGGGGTCACACTTACCCAGTTTTAAAGCTCCCAGTGCCCCAGAGCCCTGGATAGCTCATTTCTGGCCGGAGACCCAGACACCTGCAGGCCTCTAGTCTCTCCCAGTCTCACAGATTGCCACTCAAAACTATTGGATGTTTGCTATTTCCTAAAAACACCCCTTGGAGTCCAAGCAGGGACCTGTAATCAGGACACAGAATGCCAGGGTGGGATGGTAAGCCTGGTGGCTTTCCCCGACATCATGCCACCCAGAACTATCTTATCTTACTGGCAACCACTTCTGGTTCATACGGAGTTAAATTAACTTCTCTATATTTATCTTAGTTTTTCTTCTTTTTTTGGCTACATCACTTCCATCTATTTAAGTTCGACGAAATCTTAGTTTACCTTACAAAATAGTTGTGTTGACAAGTTCTTAGTTTTGTCATCTGCAAAACTGATAAACAAGTTTTCATTTTCACCTGAGGAAAAGGTACCCAGACGGAGGCAGCTAAGGACAGCGTTGGGGGGAAGAAGGGGGGGCGCTCCAGTGCTCTGCTGGTGGGTAGATGGGCGGTGACGCATATATATCCTCGCATCTCAACCGTCTTTGGCTACAGCTGGCCCAAAAAGCTAGCCAATGTCCTGATGTAACCAATACACCCAATTAGCGTTTCCAAGCTACACAAGCCTTACCAAAAGGTAAAGTGAGGCTGGGCAGATAACCTGAGCTGAGTAAGGTTGATTTTCAGAAAGGATTTGTTGTACCTCAGCTCCAAATTTCATTATTCTAGCCAAAAATAACAAATGGAAAGTATCCAAGGACACTGAATCATTGAGCCCTGGTTATTTCGTTAGACCCAGATCAAACTCATCCTCAGAAGACCAGGACATTGCCTACTGAAAAGGACTAGCCTAGCTGGAAAAGAGGCCTTGAAAGAACAGTCAACTGAGTGGCTGTTTATTATGTGAATGTGTTGCTGTTTAACAACAACAAAAAAAAAAACAGTCCAACCACAATGCAATTTATTTCTGTTGTAAACCTTGAGAAATGTGAGAGCACCATGGAGAGAGAAAAGAGCTGAATTAATTCAAGGTAAAATTTCTTGAGGTGTCTTTTCACAACCCTTTTTCACTTTGCAAAACAGGAGCGGTGTCTCTCCTGCCCACCTGTCTATGCAGGTGCCTCTTTTTTGCCTTTATCCTTTCCCTGATAAATCTGTCCTTTTGAAATGTTAAAAAAAAACCCAGACATAAACGTAAAATAAGGCACTAAATTAACATTTTCATGACTCGCCAATAAAAGTTAACAAAGCCAACAAGGAATTTGTTTAATTCTCTTCCAGCTCTACAGACATAATTCTGCTTTCAACTTCATCACACTTTCATATGGTTTTAGCAGGGGATATACCTCCTCTTCTAAGAATCTCTGTACCTGCCAAAGAGGAGAGTAAATATAAGAGAAAAAACTGTTAAGATGTATATTTGTTTTTGTTTTTTTTCAATCACTGAGACCTAATTTGATAAAGCCTTTACTGCACCACTGAGCTTCCTTCCCCCCAAGCAAGCAGCTAACCCTCCATGGCACACACACCAGCCTTCCTCACAACCCATCCTGTTCTCTCAGTGGGCCTCCCCAAGCGCCAGTTACCCACGTGAAAGTCATTAATACTTCCTCCCTCATCCTCACCCAAATAGCTCCAAGTGAGAAGCCTCCTAAGTAGCCCTGGGACTTCTGTCTGTACCCCACTGGCTCCAAGTCCTCACCCGCTCTGCATCTGCCACGTCCTACCTTCTTACTGGTCTCCCCACTTGACATCTTTCAAATACAAAACCCCAGCCTGAACTGAATACAAACAGTAAACTTGACCTTCAAGTCCCCTAGGGCACCTGATTGTCCAGCAACACTCCATTGCCTGGAACGTCTCTTATGCTGCATTTGCCATCTCCTCTCAGGCTGTGCCAGGCTGACTCCTACTTGTCCCTCAGATTCAGCTTAGACATCACGTCCTCCAAGAAGTCTGCCGTGTGTTCTCCCAACTTCTACTATTTTAGGGCTGTTTCCTCCTTTGATCCCAAGAGATAGGCGTCTCTCAATTCCTGCAGGTGCTATTTGGCATTATAATGACCTATTTACAAGTCTCTACCACTAAGCACTGAGCTCCCTGGAGACGAGGATTATGTGTCCATCTTTAAAGCTCCAGAATTGAAACAAAGTACCTGAACACACACTGAGCACCATGCCTGCACTTGACGTTTCTAAATTAACTCTTGGGAGTCTCAGTAGAGCCAAGAGGAAAATGACACGTACTAAACACTGCGCCAAGTACTACGCCAGGCCCTCAATCAACACAGCCTCCGGCCAGGAGATGTCCTTTTCTCCTGTCAGCCGGTAAATGCCACAAGTCAGGAGTGAACCAGATCTGCCTGACAGTAAAGCTCAGTCTCTGCCCAGCACACCATCTGCTCTCAACCAAAAGAGAATCCTGAGAATTCCATGGAGGAAATACTCTGGGCAGCTCAAAACAATCCAGGCCCCTACATCTTAGCCACCAAGCGGCTCTGGATTCTAAGACACCCCATTCCCACCACTCCTCCTATAAAGTGGAAACAGTAAAGTGTTCCAGGCTGCACAGCCCAGCAGTGCAGGGAGACCCCTGGGTCAAACCTCGGACCCGGGAGCACCCTGATGCTTACCTGTTGGGGTGCACGGCCAGTGAAGGAGGACGGATCTAGTAAATGGTCCAACTGGGAGTGAATGGGACTGAAGTAGGCATCGGCCTGGATGCGCTTGATGAGGTCATTGTCACCCCCTTCCTGCTTGACTACCGCGGCTGCCTGCTGGGAAAGCACTCTAATTTTCTCATGGCAATCCTGGAAGACAGTGAGGGGGGTGCTGGTTAACCACCGACAGGGCCTGTGAGCATCTTGAGTCACATAGCACTCCATACAAGTGTCTGTGCCCCTCCAGGTTGAGGTGGTTCCTCTCAAAGTCAGACTCCAGCGAGACCCTGTCTCTCTGACCACTGGATGGTGTGACACTGATGCCTGCCTCATGCCGGCACCTCAGAAGCCTCCCAAACCACCTTCTAACGTGTGCTGTTGATACCCCACTGACTGCTTCCTATGGGAAGTCAGACCCAATTCATTTACTGAGAGGGGACCTTCCCTACAAGCGAGTGATTCACTTTTACTAACCAGGTTCATCTCAATCACCAGAGACAAGCCTGTTTTGTGGTAGAATGAAGTCAATGCTCTGAACCAGTATGAGGATGAAGGGGCCTGCCTTTCATCCATTCCTCTTCAGGAGGCAGAGCAGGCGGACGGGGCACTCAATCTAAGAGCATGAGGATCACAAACCTGGCGGTTGCCCCCAGCTTTCACCATGGCCATGATGATGTTCTCTGTGGCCATGAAAGGCAGCTCTTGCCGAATGCGCCGCTCAATCACCTAGGAGGAGGAAGGGCCAGGAAAGGTTACAAACTCACACACCCAGTAAGAAGCCGGCACCATCCAGCAACATGCACAGCAGGCCTATGGACTACATTCATGAAGAAAGTGGAATGCAATGATCATTCTACACTGTTTTTCAAATTTTCTAATTCAGAGTATTATTTTGATTTTAAAAAGGAGCAATGATTTAAGTTTTAAAAAATTGCTTCATCAGAAGAAGTCCTAAAACCTCAAGTTTGTTCAATTTTAGTGCCCAACCTCAAAATCCAAGTACCTGAAGGACATGAACCACCTGCCTCAGGTACTTATAGAGAGGCAAATGGAACAGCCTGCTCTGCTGGCCGCTGCAGAGCTGACAAGTCAGCGGGCAGGCTGTGTAAGTCAATGTGAAGTGTTTTTCTCAAATGTGCCTATGAATTTCAGAGCAAGTCAGTTCCCTAGGTGTAGTGGCAGGAAGGGCCAGAGCAGGATCTCTATGACTGAGCGGACGGGTGGAGGAGAGTCCTGGAGCCCTCAGTGGCTTTTTCAGGATTCTATTGGGATTTACCAGGTACACGGCAGGCAGGGGTGCCAGCAGGCTGGGAGGCTGGCAGGCCTCCCAGTTCCCAGGGAATGTTCACTCTGTGCTCTCTCTTGTTCTGGTTGCCCTTTCGTTCTCTGTTCTGCTCTGCTGGCATTCCCGTGACGCTGCCTTTATAAGCCCCATCTCAGCCCAGGTGTACCTGGTTACAAATGCCCACACCCTACTCCAGGTGCCCGCCATCAGGCATGCATTCAGGACCACAGGGTTCCATCATCAATCCTAAAGGTGGGAGGGCAGAAAAAACTGATACTTTACTTACCCTACACTAGGGCTTATGTCACAACTGAAAACAGAGCTCAGGTTGGAAAGCTCTACTGGACCAGGAAAGAGGTCCCCCAATATACTCACTCCAGGGTGGGAAAAGGTCACCCACATTCCAACCCTTCCCTCATATTCGCCTTTTAACTGAGAGGCTCTTACTTTGGGGTAGATCACCAATCCTTCAGAAATATTTTGCAGAGTATTCAGTATAGCATCTGCAGTGAGAAAAGCTTCCGCCAAACTGATCCGTCTAGAAAGCAAACAGCCAATTTGTTATCCCTTTAAACAAATTAACTTCAGTGAAATGCAAGGTATGTTCCAGAAAGTTGCCCTACTGTCTTCTTATGCCACATAAACTTCTTAGACAACTTCTTTCAATCTCACATCTTCAACTACTCCAATATCCTCATGACCCTCAAATCTAGCACCTCTATCTAGTCCAGATCATTTGCCCAATAGCCAGACCACATAGTTCAAGAGCTCCGCCTAGTGGACCTGCTGGTACTGCAAGCCTCAATGAATTCAGCTCCAATCTGCTCCTCTCCCAGCAGCACCTGACTCAACAAACAGCACTGGCACCTCTATCACTGAACAACTTACTCCAGGCACCCACGCAGGACAGTCAACCTGCCACTGAGTTTACACCCATATATTTCCTCCTCAGTGGCAGGGCAACTGTGGACAAAGCTTTTAAAAGTGGCCTTTGGAGGAGCCTCCCTGGTGGCACAAAGGGTTAAGCACCGCACTATGAAGCTATCTGTAGCCTCTGTAGCACGAGTTCAATCCCCAGCCGGCCAGGGAACCACCCACATGGCACAGCAGACCTCTCCTGACTTGCCCGCTGCTCCCCTCAGCAGTGTGTTTCAGTCGATCTGCCTATTTTGCACCCCACTGTCACTTGAATCCTCTCATCCCCCACACCTCTGGCCTATACCCCAATTGTATGCATAAACAAATACATCTTTAAAAAAAATTAAATGAAAGTAGCCTCCCCACTTGTTCGGACCAGAGCTGTGCTACCTTACAACTGATTCTCCAAATGGCTACAGGGTGTTTCAGCAGGCTCATCTGATCAGGCCACACCCTAAAAACCACTTCAGGGCCTCCCCGGTGGCGCAGCGGTTGAGCGCTGGGTTGCAAAGCTGCCCGCAGCCTCTGCAGCGCCGGTTCGATCCCCGGCTGTTCCCCGACCACCGGAGGAGGGTCCCACATGGCGCGCAGACCTCTCCTGCCGCCCGCTGCTCCCCTCAGCAGTGTACTTCGGTCCTTCTGCCTGCTCTGCTCCCCGCTCTGGCTCTGGTGAATTCTCTCACCCTCCCGCACTTCTGACTGTACCCGGTGCTTGTATAAATAAATAAATAAATAAATAAATAAATAAAGTTAAAAACAAACAAACAAAAAAACCACTTCATCCAATGGTGAACTTCTGAGTGAGTTCAGAGGGTATATTCCCACAGATAAACTCTGGATTATGCATGGACCCCAGAGAGCTAGCTTTGACTACATGTCCTTTTCCACTCAAGAAATCCCAGCACAATGCAGGCAAACCAGGCTATCTGGATCTACTTTACACATATACACACACCCATAAGGTAGAAGTGGTACCTTTTTGTGACAAATTACTTCTAGCCCACCTCCTAACTAGCAAAGATGTCACTGTGCCAAGACACAACAGCTGGTATCAGAACAAGTTAAACTCCCTCTCAGGGCCTTTCAGGAACTGGCTACTACCTGAAGTAACGCCCCACCTCATCTCTTGCCAACGCACACCCCATTCCCCAGTGCTATCGATTTATTAGTAACTCCCTAAACTGTTCTTTCTCCTCCTTTTGGGCCTTTATAAAAACTCCCAATTTTGTTTAAATATCTTGAGAAGTGCCTGAATCTAGTAAGCCTTAGAGCACCACCCACTCTTTGACATTACCCCTGAGTCCTCCACCACTTCTCTCTGCTCCCCCCGAGTGCCCTGCATACACTGCGCGACCCCTGCTCCACAGACCTGTTGGCACTATCGTCCAGGGTGCGCTCCAACCACTGCACAGCGGCTGTCTGCAGCGGGTTCATGACGAGGGTGATGAGGTGCCGGGCCAGGCTGCAGCATCGCTCAGCGCGCATAGGGTTCCGCTTGTATGCCATGGCGCTGGAGCCTGCGTGGAAGCAGGGGCTTCAGAGGCCTGCGAGTACGCAGGGAGAGCTATTCACACGCCTGCCAGCCTCCCAGTCTCCACACTGCCCCAGACTTTACACCATACTCACCAATCTGCTGTTTCTCAAAGGGCTCCTCCATCTCCTTCAGGTGTGCCAGGAGTCGTATGTCGCTGCAAATCTGGGGGAAAGCATGGCATAGGCGTCAGTCCACACCCGTGCAGCAACTTGGGGTCAGGGCTCGAGCTGATGCTGGGCTGAAGATCCTCCAGTGCTCCTGGACAGCATCTTACTCAGGCTTTTCTTGGCTCCTGAAGAGCAGAATGACAAATTCAGGGGGCCTCCCTGGTGGCACAGGGGTTAAGTCTCAGTGCTATCGAGCTATCACCAGCCACTGAAGCACGAGTTCGATCCCTGGCCAGGGACCTAACCCACATGGTGCTACAGACCTCTTCTGTCTCCCTGCTGCTTCCCTCAGCAGTGTATTTCAGTCAGTCAGTCTGCCTGTTCTGTTCCCCACTGTCTCTGGTGAATCCTCTCACCTTTCTGCACCTCTGACCTACACCCCAGTTCTTGCATGCATAAATAAAAATAAATCTTCAAAAAAAAAGAACGACAAATGCTGGGAGGAAGCAGGTGTTTTGATGAGGCACTGCTTATAACAGCACGGAGGGACGACGGCATTATGAACTTTAATGAGAATGCCAACAGCAGTCCTTCCCTTGAACACACCTTAATTTGAGCGACTATTTTTTTTTAAGATTTATTTTTTTTTTTTTAGCACAAAAGAAGTGGAGTGTAGGCCAAGGTGCGGGGGGTGAGAGGATTCGATCAGAGATAGAATGGGGAGCAGAACAGGCGGATCTACTGAAATAATGAGGGGAGCAGTGGGTGAGACAGGAGAGGTCTGCTGCATGTGGGTCAGCCCCCTGGCCGGGGCCTGAACTCAAGCTTCAGTGGTGGTAGCACTGAGACTTAACCCCTAGGCCATCAGAGGCCCATGAGACCTTATTTATGGGTCCCAAATTGTTAAGACTGATGTTGACATCTCTTGAGAGTTGATTAAATAAGTCTGAGCTCATCTGGTCTGTTTGTGGTATGCAGAGCTCTCATCCCTGTCCCCTACAAGCTGCCCCACTCACCTTGTGCACAGACGCCCCCAAGCTAGCCAGTGCTAACAGCACCTCAACATCCACTTTTCGCGTGTAGGTCTGCCCAGTGATGATGAAAGCTCTGGAAATAAATAGAAAAGAGTCTTTGGTTTTACAGGTTTATAAGTCACACTGAGCTGCGAGGAATGCAATAACTAGCTGCTGAATGACTGTTCTTCCACCCACCTCCCGGTCCTGACAGCTGTCCTGACCTGACAGGTACACATGGTCTAGGGCACCTACATCCTGCCACAGCTTGATGGAGGTAGCAGCAGCCAATGTGGGATCTAATGGCCTTGATGGAGCAGCAGCCAATGTGGGATCTAATGGCCTTAATTGGGAACCCATTTAAACCAGCTCACTGGAGGCTTTCAGTGAAGGAATGAAACCACCACCAACATTGGCAAGGCTAGTTTAAAAACTCAGAAATAAGTTGCTCCCTTTTTTATTGTGGATTATGAGAAAACAGAATCGAGACAGTAAGAAAACTCAGGCCAGAGATGGCAGGAATTCTGGAAGAACAAAGGAAGAAAAAGGAAGAAAGGAAGAAAAAGCTAAGCCACCGGGAGACCAAAACCTTTCTCAGTTACCTACCTCTTAAATCCTGCCTTTTCTGTCACCATCTTGTCAAGCTGCTCTACCTGGGAAAGAAAAGACATCCCTATAGAAACCCAGGGTGTCTAGCTTGAGCACACTGTGAGGATGCACCCTGCCCAGGTTTCCACTCACTTCCTGCGGTCCAAAGACCCCGACCATTGTGAGCGCTCCCTACCACCTGGTGCGCCCACCGCAGAGGCGGCTTTCAGGATACCTTCTGGTGGTCTCCTTCAAAGAGCTGCAGGAAGCTGGCCTGAGTGCCCGTGGTGCCCTTCACTCCTCGGAAGCGCAGGTCATCCTGGACACGCTTCAGGTTCTGGAGATCCATGCAAAGGTCCTGAATCCAAAGGCAGCAGCGCTTCCCAACTGTGGTCAACTGAGCAGGCCTGAAAGCAACCCAGAGAATATGGAAGCCTCGCACCAAGGGCTCACTCTCAGACACTGCACTGTTTCCCCCAATAACCAGTTACTTATGGGAAGGAGTAAAGGAGAAACCAGTAGAGACTAAATAAGAGCTAAAAAGCTTAAGCAAATAGTAGTTCAGGAGATTCAAAGTCAGTTATAAACAGTCGAAGGTTATAAAACTAATGGGCTCAGCTGGAGATAGAACTCGTGCTGCAGTGGCTGGTGATAGCTTGACAGCGCTGTGTCTTTAATCCCTGCGCCACCAGGGAGGCCTCAGAAATGTATTTTTTTGTCCATCAACATTTTAACAAAAGGAGGTTGAACAAAACGGCATTAATTCAAGGACGTGCTGAATTAGATTCCCTCTCACCAGTACCACTATCAGGTTCATTCCTCATAAGCATCCCAAGTTAGCTGCTTAACCTGCATTTTGACAGTTCACCTTAAAGTTTCCATGGAGGAGAAAGAACTAAATAATAAATGAAAGCCAGGGCCTCCCTGGTGGCGCAGCGGTTGAGCGCTGGGTTGCGAAGCTGCCCGCAGCCTCTGCAGCACCGGTTCGATCCCCGGCTGCTCCCCGGCCACCAGAGGAGGGTCCCACATGGCGTGCAGACTTCTCCTGCCGCCCGCTGCTCCCCTCAGCAGTGGACTTCGGTCCTTCTGCCTGCTCTGCTCCCCGCTCTGGCTCTGGTGAATTCTCTCACCCTCCCGCGCTTCTGACTGTACCCAGTGCATGTATAAACAAAAACGAACAAACAAACAAACAAACAAACAAAATATGCCTCTAAAAAAAAAAAAAATAAATGAAAGCCAGATGCACATAAACAAGCCTAGTTTCCAAGAAGCGATCACTTACTGGAAATGGGTGAACCCCAAGGCGGGAAGAGCGGCATGCTCCTTGGCAAAGTCAGCAAGCCGAGAGATCACTCTGGCGAGCTACAGCAGAGACCACATGGGGGAAAGGGGAAAGGAGTGAATTTAGGTTGAGCTCCTTACATGGTCAGAAACTAAACTGTTACACTTTACACAAAATCAAAGTGTCTTGAAGAGTTCACAGCAACAAAAACTTTTCCTACACAATTTTACGACCACTGACCATGCAGACAAACAGGACAACCTCATAAATCTGGCCCACATATTTCAACTACATGCTGTCGACTGTATGTACTTCCCTTAGAAGGCTATGCTTAGAAAGCATTTACTTAAAAACAATTTTACTCAAGAAAAGTCACTTAGTTCTACAGATATGATTGCTCACCTGAGAAAATACTCTAATTTACGTTAATTTACACACATAAGTGGTGCCCATTTTCTATCAGAGAATCTAGGAAACTTCTGCCCACGCCTTACCTTTGGCAAAAGCAGGTTGGATGCATTTCTAAGAATAATGAGGTCCTACAAGAGAAAATGCAAGTTGTACATTAAATAGTTTTGCCCAAACAAATCATGCACAGCTTTTTCTGGCACTCATGACTGGGCCTCTCAGAGAACTACAAAGCTTACTGCAAGAGCTGGAGATGCTGACACTACCAGAAGAGCAGACTACACTGCACCATGTGGGTTAGCTTCCTGGCTGGGGATCAAACTTATGCTGTAGGGGCTGCGGATAGCTTCATAATGCTGAGACTTAACTCCCTGCGCCACCAGGGAGGTCCCTACGTGGCTTCTTTCTGAATCGGGAATTTATCTAGAATCGATCGTCTGGTCCCACAGGTACACTATGATTAAGAGCACTGCTTTGGGGCCATTCTATTTGGGTTTACACTCTTTCTAGCAGCATGACCTTGGGCAAGCTCTTCAATCTCTTTTTAAATCTCAATGCAGAATTGAGATAAGGAAACTAGTCCCCAAGAGTCTATATAGATTCCATTTATATGAAATTTCTAGAACAGGCTAAACTACAGAGACAAGAGGCAGGTCAGTAGTTGTCTGTGATTGGAAGCAGGAGTGGAGAATGACTGTACACAGGCAAGACAAAGCCAGGTGAGGGATGTACTCTCAAACTTTAGTGTGGTGAAGGTCAAATGAATGCATAAATTAACTAGAACTCAGAACCATACATTTAAGTAAGCTTTATTCAATAGTGCTGGCTGAAAATGGAGATCACAGCCTCTGCCTCTCAGGGTGGTTGTGAAGAATAAATGAGTAATATATACAAAGTGCTCAGAATAGTGCAAAGCACCTAAAACCGCTTAGAAAGCACTTGCTGTTGCTTTCCATGTTTGCCTCTAAGACACTTTCACCAACGAATATTTCATTTAAGAATTATAATGCAGGGGCCTCCCCTGGTGGCGCAGCGGTTGAGTGCTGGGCTACATAGCTGCCCGCGGCATTGGCAGCGCTGGTTTGATCCCTGGCCGCCGGCGAGGGTCCCACATGGTGTGAAGACTTCTGCCATGCCCGCTGCTCCCCTCAGCAGTGTATTTCGTCAGTCTGTCTGTTGTGTTCCCTGCTCTGGCTCTGGTGTATTCTCTCACACTTCTGCGCTTCTGACTGTACCCAGTGCTTGTATAAATAAACAAATCAATCTTTAAAAAGAAAAAGAATTATAATGCAGGGACCTCCCTGATGGCTTGGGAGGTAAGTCTCAACTTAGCACTATCACTGTGATGGCCTGAGTACGATCCCCGGCCAGGGAGCTGACCCACATGGCGCAGCAGACCTCTTCTGCCTCACCTGCTGCTCCCCTCAGCAGTGTATTTCAGTGGCTCTGCCTGTTCTACTCTATACTCTCTGGTGGGTCCTCTCACCCCCTGCACTTCTGGCCTACACCCCAGTTCTTCTATGCAAAATAAATAAATCTTTTAAAAAAAAGTTCATTAATATTCTTAAAAAAAAAAAAAAAAGAATGATGCACTCCTCTGTCACAGCAGTTATAAAAGACTTTGGAAGGAAAATTACCTCGCCAACTAAAAGGCTAAAGAGGTGACTTCTGTCCAACATATCAATGCATAAGTGCAATCTGGAGGTCACTTAGGATCTCAGAGCTGAGACAAGAAAGATGCCAAAAGCAGGAAATTCATGAGCACTGAGATACCCCTAACACTAAAGATCTATGGAATTCCTGAAATTGAACAAAATCAAATAAAATTTATTAACACATAAAGACTGAGTCCTACATGGAAACAAAACAACACAGGCCCGTACTGTATTGTCTCCAACATAGCAAGAGGTGGCACCAAGGTGAATAATGCCCGCAGCTTTTGGACAGCAGTGGCCAAACGTGTGTACGTGAGCCATCACATCATGCCGTAACTGTTTCTCTTCTTCAGCTGCCATCTTGAAGTCGATGTTGTCCAGATTTGACTTCATTTCCTGGATTTGTTCATCCGTTATAGGCAATCCCAATGTCTGCAGAACAAGCAAAATGAAATAGAATAACTTCAGGTATGCAATTATTACAACTGAGCTGATACCATGAAAATAACTGGCTCATCTTAGCATTTATGCCTTACTCCCAATTCGTAAATTAACATGGGGTAACCAAATTAACTTGGGGTAACCAAGTTAAAAGTACACAGGGATGGATGACTTTCTCAAGGAATCACGGTAAATTACACATGTAAGGTCCAACATACACATATGTAACAAAGGAATGCTGATCTTGGTTCCCTCTGTCCCATGTCCCTCACATTCTGGTCTCTCGGCCCAAATGTCATCTCCTCAGAGGTCCTTCCTGATCACAACGGGAAATACCCACCCTTTGCATCACCATCTGCTTGGTCTGACTTATTAATAAATTGATTAGCCTGCCCCTCTCCCCCGAGAATGTGTACTTCATGAGAGAAGAGCTGTGTGTATTTACTGCTTCCTCAGTACCTGGCACCTAAGTGTCCAATGGGTGGGAACCAGGCCAGTTTTATATTCGGTCCTGGGGGATTTACTCAGAGAAACCAAAATAAGGGAATGCTGTAAGCAGTTTTGCCAACATATTATGTACAGCAAATTCAGTGCAATTGAAAGCAATTCCAGGAGACACTGATGAGAAAATAAACACATCAATATCTTACCTTCCTCCATGGAAAAATCAGGCTGGCCACCTGGAGCCAAGCATGGCACATATACACTGGTGAAATTCTTTCAAACCTCCCTTGAAAACCTCAAGGCCTGATGCTGGAAAGATCCTGCATCGCAGACCTGTCTTGTCCATAATGGAGCTACTAGCCAGATATGCTTGTTTCCATGGAGGCTGATTAAAGTTAAAACTTCAGTTCTTCAGTCATACTAGTCACATTTCAAGTGCTCAGTAGCCACCAGTGGAGTGTTGTCTAGGCTCTTTCCTCCTAACAGTTGCAGACCCATCCCATAGCAAAACATCAGGGGGCAGTGGGGCCAAAATACTCCTCTCCCCCAAAGCAATTCATCTCCCCAGAATTCATTCCCCCCTCCTAATTTATTTTCTGCATGCCTCCTAATCTCCTACTCCCAAAATTGTTTTTCTTCTAAACTACCACTCATGGGTCCCTGGTGGTGCAAGGGGTTAAGCACCATACTGCGAATCAATCAGAAGACTCTGCAGCATGAGTTTGATCCATGGCCTGCCAGGAAGCAACCCACGTGGCGCAGCAGACCTCTCCTGACTCACCCGTTGCTCCCCTCAGCAGTGTGTTTCAGTCAGTCTGCCTGTTCTCTTCCCACTCTGTCTCTGGTGAGTCCTCTCAGCCCCCACATCTCTGGCCTGTACCCCAGCTCTTGTATGCATAAATAAATAAATCTTAAAAAAAAAAACAACAACCCACCAACTCATTATGTAACATGTGGCTGATGCTGACACCTTAGTTAATAGATAATCCAAATCCAGGAGGTGCCGAAACTGCTTGAATTTCAAGCAAAATGTAGAATGTGCTGAGAAACAAACACCAATTCAGATGACTTTACATTTCAATTCCAGCTTGCAGTCACTCAGTAGCTAAAATGACCCTGGCAAAGTCTCTGGGGGCCGCCACCCTGATCTATATAACAAAGTATCAAATCGAACAGAAAACAGAGCAAAATAAACCACAAGGCTCTGTACCATCTACTATTAGTGTATACTGATAGACACTATCTGCTATCTTTATCTGAGCCCAAAGTTTATGAAATCTCGCCTTCCATCATCCCTAAGACAGGAATAGAATCTGTCTAAGGAGCTATTAATAAAGTCTCCCAACGGTGCCAGGTACTGCAGAAATGTCAGATATTATTAAATTACTTCATTTTCTTGGACACAGCGACGGGGGGAGAGGGCTAGAAGTAGTTTCCATCTTGGATACACGAGGCACAGTGGTCCTAAGCCCCCTCCGACTGTTCCCACATCTGCTGGCACGTGGCGGGGCCCCTGCCCCCCGCTGCGGTGGCATTTTCCTCTGAAACCTTAGCGCCTCTGCACCACCAGCTCCTCTGGGGCTATTTCTGAATCTGCTGGGCTGAGGCGCCCTCCGCGCGGCTCCCCCAAGGGAAGCCGCAGCCGCGTCTGACGACCCCGCAGGCCGGGGCGCGGGGGGCCGGCAGGGGCGCCCCGCCGAGCCCGCTCCCGCCCCGGCCGCGGCCTGCAGGGCCGGGCTCCCCGGAGGCGAGTTCCTCCCCGCGCGGGGCGGCAGCGGCCAGTCCGCGCGGGAAGCGCCGCGTCGGGGGGCGCGGTGGGGGGCGCCGGCCGGCGAGCCCCGAGAGCACCGCGCGCCGCCCGCCCCGGCCGCGTTACCTGCTCGGCCTCCGCGAGCCACAGCCAGAGCTGCCGCCAGGTCCGGAACTTGTACCTGTCGCTGAACAGGGCGCACATCTCCGCGCTGGCGTAGCGGCGGGCGAGCGGCGAGCGGTAGCCGTCGTGCTCGCCGGCCGCCCCCTGCGCGCCGCGGTCGCCCCCCGCCGCCATCACCACGCGCGCCGCCCCCCGCGGCGACTCCCGGGGGCGGGAACGGGGCTGGGCGGGACTTCCGGGGGCGGGACTTCCGGGGCGGGGCGCTTGGCTCGGCCCCGCCCCCGGGCTCTGGGCCGCGGACGCGCGGGGCCTCGGCGCGCGGCGTCCCTCTGCCCACGCGCCCGGGGGGACGCCCGGGCCGCTCTTCTCCGAGGCTGGCGTCGGTGACTTCGACGTCTCGGTCTCTTGATTTCGCAGCCGTCAAGGCTGTCGCCGGGGAGACGCGCCGGCGAAGCTGCGGGGCGGAGGGGCTTCCGGGAACGGGTTTCCGAGGCCCCGCGCGCGCCGGGCGCCCCCCCCCCCCCCGAGGCCGGGCCCGCCGGGCTGCTGACCCGAGCGCGCGCCGAGCACCGCCCCCGCGGCCTCCCGCTCGGGCCCAGCCAGGCCCGGCCCGCGTCCCTCCCGCCGCTCCGGTTGCCCGGGATGAAAACCGCCCCGTTTAATGGGGTGTGACGGCGCGTCGGGCTCGGGCCGAGGCCTCTCCAGGGTGAGCTCAGTGAGGCCTTGCGAGGAGGCAGAGTGGTTTTCAGGGGTCACTCAGCGAGGTCGTGCACGTGAGGCCCCGATGCAAAGCACGTAGAGCTCAATAAACCCCCACTTTGCAGATGGCAGAACAGGCCTGGTAGGTTGAGTGTCTTGAGATTGCTCGTGAGGAAGTGGGAGGGAGACCTGGGAATCAAATGCAGGTCGGTTCTGGGGTATGTGTGCCCTTTCTGCCGCTCCAGGAGCGCGTTCTCTGCTGCTTTGCAGCCACCCTTTTCTTAGCTCCTCACTGTCAGGAGGCCTCCCAGGGAGTTGCCATATTCTGAAATCCCAGCTCTTCCAGGGGTGAGCTGCCCCTTCCCAAGGACCACAGTTCTGGAGGGACATTAAAAGTTGCTGATAAAACTCATGACTTCAAGATCCCATTTGACAAGAACTTCTTTACCTGTCACCTTTCTATTCCTTTCAGTTATCTCCACGTCCACGCAAAAACCTGTGGACCACCCCTGTAGTGTTCTCCCTCCCCACCTCTGGGGCTTCCTAGAGCCTGGCGTATTATAAGTCACTTGCATCTCACCAGAGCTCAGAGTCTCCAACGGTCTCCCAGTGATTGCAGTGGGGGCAGAGAGCATGTCCGTCTTAGTCACCCATGGCCTGGCACTAAGAACAGGATCCAACATAGTATAGATATTCAATACATGATTCCAAGATTCATAATGAGCGCTGCCTCAAAGGAGTCTTTCTGAAAGAAGAATAAGGCCCATAATAGCCAAGATCCTAGCACCTATTTCCTCTTCCCCCAAGATCTCTCATCGCTTTACTGTCCTCATCCCACCACCCTTGTACTTCCCCCTGGACTCCAGAATTAGCAGCAGCTTCAGTGCCAGCATATTGGCCCATCTGGAAAGATGAAGAATTTACTCCACGCATTTCCCCACTCCTTCCAAAGTGCTCAGGGCAGTCAATGCCTCAATGTGCTGTGATGTCACTGTGCTTACTGCCCACTGTCACTGTTTCGACCCAACTGTCTCCAGTTTCCCAGCCCTCTCGCCTGCCTCTGCTTTCTTTGCTGTTATTTCCTCCTCAAAACTGGACTGTCTTGGACCTCCTCGGTGGCGCAGCGGTTGAGCACTGGGTTGCGAAGCTGCCTGAAGCCTCCACGGTGCCGGTTGGATCCTCGGCTGCTCCCCGGCCACCGGAGGAGGGTCCTGCATGGCGCGCAGACCTCTCCTGCCGCCCGCTGCTCCCGTCAGCAGTGGACTTCAGTCCTTCTGCCTGCTCTGCTCCCCGCTCTGGCTCTGGTGAGTTCTCTCACCCTCCCGCGCTTCTGACTGTACCCAGTGCAGTGTACCCAAAAAAAAACTGGAGTGTCTTTTCTTCTGGCACTTCATTCAAGGACAGATCTTGCTCCTTAATTATTTTATTGAATCTTTGATCTCTCCGGTTTTCTCTCCCTACTGCTCTGATTTTTTTCTTTCATTTATTTATTTTTAAAAGATTTATTTATTTATTTATTTTAAGATTTATTTATTTATTTATACAAGCACTGGGTACAGTCAGAAGCACGGGAGGGTGAGAGGATTCACCAGAGCCAGAGCGGGGAGCAGAGCAGGCAGAAGGACTGAAGCACACTGCTGAGGGGAGCAGCGGGCGGCAGGAGAGGTCTGCGCGCCATGTGGGACCTTCCTCCGGTGGCCGGGGATCGAACCGGCGCTGCAGAGGCTGCGGGCAGCTTTGCAGCCCAGCGCTCAACTGCTGCGCCACCGGGGAGGCCCGAGCCAAAATGTTTTTTCCTGTTCTGAATCATTACTCCTGGCTGATCGATGTATTTAGCATTTTTGACAAACCCCCCTCCTGCTTCCAAAACTAAACTGGACAGCTGCTCCTTTTCCTTCCTGGACTGCTCTTTCTTTGATGGCCTCCCTCTCCATCCTGGAAAAGGAAGTGGTGGGAATCTCCTCAAGATCGAACGCACTTCCGTCTGCCCCCACCCTGCTTGCCCTTCTGCAAGCTTCCCTTCTGAGGCCTCTGTATCTTCAAAGTTTTACTTCTTAATCTTCAGAGGCCACTTAGACACGGCCACCTGGTGGTCACTCTATTACCTAAATGAACATGCCCAAATAGGGAGTTCACTTTTCCCTCCTGCACCCGAAGCAATGAACAAGCCTTGCTTTTCTATCATCCTTCTGTTTTATTTCCCACATTTAAAATACTTAATTTCCTACTAACAAGTTCTTACTGCAACATCCAGTTACCCACCAGGAGCACTCATTCTGCAATGTGCAACCTACCCGGCAAGCAGTGTACTAGCACTGGGACACAGGGTCAGCTGACAAGGTCGGGGTGAGGCCAAAAATGAGAGAAGGGGTAAATGTGGAGTAGATGGAAGTCAGACCGTTTTAAGAACCCCGTTGAGAATAAAGGTATTTTGGGGGTTGATTCTAAGTAGTGGAAAGCCTCTAGAAGGCTTGATAGGCTGGTGGGTGGCTTTATCAGATCTGTGTTTTGAAAAGACCATCCAAGCTGTCAGTTTAGAAAGGAGGCAGGGCAGGTGGAGTGAATGAGAAGTGGGCTAATGCGGTGGGTGAGGTAAGGCCTAGGGGTGTGGGTGATCTAGCTTGAACGAAGGGAGTGGCAGAGGAAGAAATTCTTTTAAGAGGTACAATCAACCCAGGTTGGTGATGGGTTAGGTGTGGAGAGCAAGGAAGGGAGTGGAGGCAAGGAAGCTCCTATGTTTTCAGGTTTTATCAATGAATGGTGATTACCAGGGGGTGGAAGGGCCAGCAGACAAGATGGACTTCGTTTTTGATTTGAGCTTATAGTGCTATTACGATACATCCAGGTGCTTCATAATGCTGGCCAGACAATTATATATAGAGATCTGGAGTTCAATGGTAAGGGTTGGAAGTAAAAATTTAGTAGTCAGAATTAAATCTACAGGGTATAGGCCCTAGAGTTGGTGACAACACAGAATTATTTTGGGGGTTTATATTCCAGGGATGGATAATAAAGGACAAGGTGCTTTTGGAAAGTGAAAAGTTCTATGTAGAAAACAGAGCCGGATGAGAGTACAACTCAGGGTGGGAAGGGGGCTGGTGATCTTTTTTATTATTTTTTTAAATTTATTTAGGCATAGACGAACTGGGTTGTAGGCCAGAGGTGCAGGGGATGAGAGGATTCACCAGAGACATAGTGGGGAGCAGAACAGGCAGATCTACTGAAATACACTGCTGAGGGGAGCAGTGGGCAAGACAGGACAGGTCTGCTGTGCCATGTGGGTCAGCTCCCTGGCCAGGGATTGAACTCAGGCTGCAGTGGCTGGTGCTAGCTTGATAGCGCTGAGACTTTAACCCCTGCACCATCAAGGAGGTCCTGGTGATGTTTATTTTTTATTAAGATGGTCAGGTAAGAACTCATATCCTGTAGTGGAAAGATAAATACAATGGCCTTGAGGCATGGTATGATTAAGAAAAAGGAAAGCTAAATTAGCTAAGATTGAGATTAGGAGTCCAAGGCCATGTGTTAATGGACTTGGTTGGAGTTTGGATTTTAATTTTTTTTTAAAGATTTATTTTATTTATACAAGAGCTGGGGTACAGGCCAGAGGCGCAGGAGGGTGAGAGGATTCACCAGAGACAGAGTGGGAAGCAGAACAGGCAGAGAGACTGAAAGCACTGCTGAGGGGAGCAGCAGGTGAGACAGGAGAGGTCTGCCGCGCCATGTGGGAATCTCCCTGGCCGGGGATCAAACCCACGCTGCAGAGGCTGCGAACAGCCTCACAGCGTTTCGCTCAACCCATTGCGCCACTGGGGAAGCCCTGGAGTTTGGATTTTAATTGTAAGGAGAAGCCACTGGAGGCTAGAACAGTCTGAAGTGGGGTGAAGGTGAAGATGGCAGGGTGCTGGGGAGCTACTGCAGGGCAGGGTCCAGGTGTGTGCATGGGGTAGCTGGTGATCGTTTGCAGTGAGATGTGTGTGCATTTGGGGGCTTGTTTTTAGCTAGGGCTGACAGGACTTGCTGTTGGAACTGGGTCAGCCATGTAAAGAAGTTGTGGGTTCAAAATCAGACGGTGGCATTTACTAAGATGGGAAAGACTGGGAAGAAAATATGACAAGGAAGAGGGAGGGATCTGCCACTGGGCTTACAAGTTGACAGGCCAGTATTCATTTGGACAGAGTAGAGGTCAAGGTTAGAAATATAATTTGGGCAGGATGGTAATGATGGACACTTAGGATGGAGGGTCTCACAAACACCAGAGGTGGGAGTAGGAATGATAAATCTTAATTAAGCCAGCTATGGAAGGTTCCAGGAATCTAAGGTGGGGTCAGAGAAGGTTATCAGCCAGAGCAGGCAGAGAGGATTATCAATTTTAGAAGACTAACCCAATCTGACCCCAAGCGGATACTTTCCATAAAAATCCCATCAAAGAACATCATAAAAGAACACTCCTTGCTCTGGCAAAACACAGTTCTTAAGACTGCCTGTCTGTGTTTATGTGGGCGTCTCCTTGTTCTCCCCTCCTCAATAAACTTGCCGTGTGCTGACAAATGGGAATGTCTGCTGAATTAATTTCTCAGAGGGACCCAAGAACCCCACACACCAAGCCTCATCATCTGAACCCCAACAGTCACATGCACTGACTAGCTGGTTGAATGCATCTAGTGGGAGCAACATGACTAAGCCCAGGGGCGCTCCAAAACTTAGGATTCAGAGGAGAATGGAGACTAAAAATGGTGGCCAGGGGTGGAAGACACTGCCTAGGATTTTGGCGAAGCGAACAAAGGAAGTTCTAGGTTTGAGTGCTGATGAAAGCCAAATCTCAAAGTTGGGTAAAAGACAAAAGAGAGGCGATAAAGGCACACACTAGAGCACAGAACTGCATGCAAGAATGGTGGTATCATGTCAGTGGGCACGTCCAGTGGACTACTGAGGGTCATGACATCAGAGCTCCTCTAGGGGAATGACAGAGGCAGTAAGCAGGCTGCAAGTGACTTGGGAGGAAAATTTCTCAAGAGCAAAGATGGGATAGTAGTTGGTGGGATAGTAGTTGGTGAGGCTAGGCTGGAACATGGGCCACAGGTTTTTAAGAGATGGACTTGAGCATGATGATTATCATGGGCCCCATGGGGAGAGTGGAGTTAAAGGGGCAGGCCAGGAAAGGACCAAGAGCACTGGAGGAACCAGTTAGCAGAAGGGTAAGGACACCTGTCTCTGCTCATGGTTTGGAAGGTTTGGAAGCAGGGATTTGGGGTAATTTTTAGGTACCTCTAATTTTCTCCAAAAGTACGTGGGGCAGAATGCTTGCTGGGCAATGTCAAGGTCCCATGGCAGGGCGATTACAGGAGTCCTTATTTGCGCCATTCTTTTTCTCTAGCAGTGCTGGCCTGGGTGGAAAATAGGAAAGTTTTCCAAAGTGGGATTTTGTTATATAGTGTCAAGAAAACAGGAGAGGAGGGGCAAGGGAATTTATAAGTACTAGAAACCTAGTTATTGAAATTACAGGCTACAAAGGCTAAACTGGACTAGGAGAGCAGTGAGGACAATGGGAGGGCTCATAGATTGTAAGAAACAATGTCAAAGTGGTTGGTGAGCTCAAAACATATCCTGCAAGGATTGGGAGCCAGGTGGCAGATTAGGTGGTCACGGTCAGGGATGCTGAAATTAGTCACTCTGCAGAGGACCAGTTTTGGGTAAGGGAGGGGCTGGGGTAGGCTGCAGGAAGGAGCAGAGAAGCCTAGCTTGTGAGGATGATTTTCCACGTGGACACCTACATCCCCTGAGATGAAGGCAGGGTGCACAGGGGTGAGGAAGTGGGTGTCAGATGCTTAAGTCTTAATGACCACCTTCAGCATGTATGCATTTTTAAAAAATCCAAAATTTAAAAGCCTTCGGTGATGAAAAGTCTTCAGTTTTTGCAAAGATCTTTTTCCCACAAAGAGCACACACTTGTGATCGGCAGGCCCTCTGGGCATCTTTGACCATCTAGTCCCTCTCTTCTCACTGCACATTTCCCAGAGTTTATTTTATGATTAAAAAATTGGATAGCATATGACCTACCACTTGGTACGAGCCTCGCGTAAGACCATTTCTGCAGGAACCCAGGTGTTCTCCAGCAGAAGCCTCTAGCACCCACTGTGCGATCCCTCTGGGATCCCTTATGGTTCACAGCAACTAAGACCGAGTCCATGAGACGAGTCCACCCGTGTGGCTGGTGTGGAGCAGCACCCCAGGGGCAGCGGCAGTCATTCTTCGATGCCTGTTCTCAGCTCATACTCCGGAGCTGCAGTTTCCTCCTGAAGTGCTGCAAGTCTCACAGTGTTCTGAGAGTCAAGTCAGCTGTGGGGGTACCTGAGAGCTAGGTAATCCTCGTTTCCTCCCATTCCTCCCCTGATCAATGTCTACAAAGCCTCTCTTCTAGAAGACATCACAAAAGAGCAGCTGTTTAGAACCAGGGAGGGAACCTGGCCTTTGGGGGGCAGGCTGGAGTGTCCTCAGTAGCCCTCCTAGCAGGGAGCAGGGCGGTGAGCCTGTTCTTGCTGGTTCTTCCCTGGGTGCCACAGAGGACCAGGCAGACACTTTGCTTCTTCTCTTCCTGAATCTGGGGCCCTCACTCCAAATGCACATAAAGGCTAACAGGACCACGGCCACAGGGTGGAGGGGGGCAGGGGTGTCAGTTTTCTGTAGAGAATTCAAGCTTGGCAGGTGGTAGCAGCAAGCAGCATAAGCCAACTGGGCACCTGGCAGCCCCAACAGCAACATACCAGACAAGAGAGACAGAGCCTAGGCCCTACTCAGGTGCTGGATTTCAAATAGCTTGTGTGTGTGGAACAGGGAGAGAAAGGTAGAAAAAAATATAAATAGTCAACAAATGAGCAAATTAAACTGGCAGAATGAAACAGGAAACCACAATAAATGCTTAGCAGCCAAACACATTTATTAGTCTTTTTTCTTTTTCCAGGAACCCAAAAATATTTTGTAGTTATAATGTAAGCAACTGAGTTGCACATAATACAATCATATCTTTCCAAAATAAAATAAAATAAAAAACTAAACAAAAACAAAAATAAGCTGTTTAAAAGCCCAAAAAAAAAAACCCTTCAGGAAACTTACAAATGCACTACATCATCTCTCAGTTTTAATGAAATGACGACGACTTGATTCCTTATTACTCAACCTGTCACAATCCAATAAAACACCACCCTTTAGTTTTTTTTTGTTTGTTTTGATTTTTTGTTTTTTTTTTTGTTTGTTTTTTTGTTTTTTTGAAATCCAGCATGAGAAATACAGTACCTGCTATGGCAAAAAATACACATAAAATGCAACTTTTCAGCTTATTTGTACATTAGTAGAGTTTAACATTTTATTGTTTATTTTTTTAAGTGAACCAGTGATTTTAAGTACCACTATACTAAAAAAGTAAAATAAAATATAGAAAAGGGGGGCCCAGCCTGCCATGCAAGTGCACCTCTAAAGTGCCTAGTTTCTGTGTCCATGTAAAACCAGTAATATGAGGAGCAATTTCAACAAATGGGAGTTTGATTAAACCTCTATTGTTTAAGGAAAAAAAAAGACAATGCCACAGCCTCCCTTTTCTCCCCTCAGACTTCCTGAAATCCCATCATCCACTTTTCTGTTGCCCACCAGAAGAGAGAAAGGAAAGCCACCAAAATAATATTGTAAAAGCTATTTCAAGTATAAGAAAAACAAAACACTTCTAGGTAACTCGCAGAGAACATCAGTACGTGCAGCTACGAAGTCATCTTTACAGGCCTGGGTTCTGCGGACAGTGTTTTAGGTGAGAGGATTTTTTGCTGTACCTTCCTGTTACCTGTCTGTGTGCAAAGTTGGAAAAGCTGCCTTTAAAAAACCCATCCTCATTCTGATGCCCGTCTCTGCACCTTCTGTCTACAGGGGGTGAGGACAGAAGTGAGGGGAGAAGCGGATGAAGGGAGCCCCAGCCACAAGTCTCTCCCTCTGCCCCGCCGCCCTCTCTCCACCATCGGTGACCTCACTCTCACTGAAGAGATTCCCGCTGTTCAGTTTCCTGATTTGGTAGGATGTATTTTACTATGTAAACATAGCCCCCTAGGATTATGGAACCCAAAGCAGCATTTATATCTCCATCCAAATGGAGAAAGAGAAAATAGTCCAGAAACCTCTCCTCAGGTTGCTTCTGTTGTCGGTTTTTGGTTTCTCAAAACAGGGAGGGGCTGAGGTGGGGTGGGCCCAGAATGTGAAGTGGTGAGCAAATAATGGAGTTGGGGGGCACAGTTGAGCTGGCGTCTGCTTTCTTTCCCGCTCCCAGAAGGGTTTTTTGTTTTTGTAAAACCTGTTAAAAATGTTTCCGCACCGTAAGTCAGACTGAGGTTAAGGCCGAGGGTGCAGACTCTTGTGCACGTGTCTCTGAGCACATTCACGGTGCGTGCACCATGTTTGATGTCTTCTGTGAGATCACTGGACACACTTTGGTCACTGGTGTGTGCAGAGGGCGGTGGCAGGGTGGAGTGTCCCAGGAAAGAAGTGCAGAGATCAGCAAAGCCCTTGGGGGCGTCGCAAGTAGATGGCAGGGCGGGAAGCACTCACAAGGGGTCAGAGGAAGGAGACAAGGGGTCTCCGAACATACAACAGAAATGAAACCCCAACGTGGACAGCACCCCAATCAGAAGCTGGGTGGTGAGTATGCGTGCATTTACAATCAAGCTTCTTCCCTGCAGGGAAGTCGTCACTACACAGGATCAGCGAGCTCAAGCTAAGAAGGGGCTGTTTGACACACACAAGGCTTATCTGTAAGATGGGAAAGGCGTGTTGGTGATGTTGGGTTCTATTCAAAAAGAACCATTTGGGCCCTGTGGTGGGGGTGGCCAAATGTCAGAGAGCAGTAGCAGACAGGTCCCTAAAGCGGCATCTGCCAAAGGCGTCTCCCTCTACCTGATGTCCAAGTTGGGCCCTTGGCAGGGGTGCATCTGAGGGTGCGCGGCCCTCATGGGTCAGGTACGTGCCTTTTCAGGTACGGTTTCCTCTGAGTAAGAAACCAGTCCATTTCCAGAGTATTGCAAGGTGACAAAGCCAGGAATTCTACAGTGCACAGCGAGTGTCAGGGCCGACCCCCTTTGTGACTGTAGCATGCCACTCAGATACTCAAGGTGTGTGTGAGACCGAGTGTATGTTTGAAAAAGAAAGGCTGAGAGCTCAGGGTCTCGATCTTCCGAAGAGAGAAACTGAGCCAGTCCCCGCCCGGAGCTAGCATGTGGGACAGATGGCACCTAGTGGCCTCCGTCTTACTGTGGGTGTGTGGAAGACACATCACCCCACAAATTCAGTCGACTCCCCTGACCTGCTCTGCTATCTTGTCTTAAGTGTGAGAGCTGATGGCTTCCAAAAAAAAAAAAAAAAAAAAAAAAAAAAGGAAAGATCATATTTTAGGGTTATTTTCACAGCAAAGAAACAAGTGTAGAAGTCATCCTGCTATTTACACATTCATATTTGATAAAGGACAACCCACTGATGTCAGGAAGGAGAGGGGAGTTCAGGGTCTCCATCGCAGGGGACATGTACCTCGAGGTATTTTTTGTGCTGGACAGTTGAAACGTCAGGATTTTTTTTTATTTTTTTATTTTTTTTTTTTGTCTAAAGGCAATCTACCAGCTAGGAACCTGATAAGACGGTGCCTGTGCAGCCGCGCATGGGCACGAGGAGACCGGTCAAGTCTGTGACGGTTACAGTACTGTGAACGTCGACAAAGACTGCGGCGTGGGAACACTGAGCTCGGGCAGGAGGGTCTCGCTCAGCTGCCGCGTGTGCAGAGAACGCCGAGACTGGAGCAACGGGGCACCGCGGCTCACCGAGGCAAGAGGGATGCTGCGGACAAAGGGGCTGCAGGTTTTCCCATGTCTAAGGCCTGATTGCTTGCTTAGCTCTACACAGCTGAGTAAATTCGTAAATGCAAAGGATGCAGAGAGATTACACTGGGCTGGGGGGAGAGACAGGAGAGAAGAGAACCCTTTCCTTTGCCTTCCAAGCAAACAGTCCTCCTTCCCAGTAAGCAAGACAATTTCCTTATAAAGTTCACTGAAACATGATTAAAGAGAAAACTTGAGGAGGACAGAGGAAGAGGAGGCGTTTTTGAAAATGATGCAAAGATGACTTTAAGGTCAGCACTGGTGAGGCCTGGTTTCCTGAGCTTGAGAGGGTTCTGGAATCAGGAAGGGATGAGTACTTTTGTCCAGAGAACAATGAAGCCTTCGGGCCACACTGCTGCACTGGTTAACACTGCGTGGCTAGGACAGAATCCTGTACCATGTTGGTGGACAGTGAATGAGCGCCCCCGGGACTGGCTGGGCCATCAGGCCTACGTGACCTTGGGAGGACTCTGGGGTCTCCCTCCACCTCACTGTGCCCCCCCTTGCCGCTTTGTGCTCTCGCTCCCCTCCCCTGCCCGGACACGGGGTATCATGGACACAGAAACCTAGAACAAAGATGCAAAGCTGCTCCTTCCCCTTTCCGCCCTCCCCCCCTGCAGAATGCATAGTTACAATTCACGTGACAAAATAAAGAAGCAATGATGACCACATATGGGACCTTTGTTTTTTTTTTTTTTTGAAAAAAAGAAAATACCCAACAACCTCTTCTTAAATTCAGTATCAAAATTCACATTTGCATAATAATACATTTCAAGGCCATTAGAGAGGAATGAGAGAGAAGCACAGAAAGCTGCAGTCTCTCCTCCCTTTGTCTTCCTGAATGAAGCTGAAGGAATCTTTTGCGGGAGGGATAGTTTTCCTCTTTGGGGAGTTCTGAGGAATTCTGGAAACGGCCCTTAGCATTCACTTGGTATTTCTTTAGAAGATAGGGAGTGGGGAGAAGAGGTGGAATCATTTAAAACAAACAAAGACATATGAGGAGATACTGCAGGCTTCTATGCCTTAACTATAATTGTTCTGAAGAAATAAAATATGATTTCAGATTTTGCTCTTTCTTTCTCCGACACGTTCACTGTATTCTTTCAAAAGCTTTCCCCGGCAGGTCTGACCCGGGCTGCGGGGTGGCCCCGGACGCGGGGACTCCCGCGGGGCCAGACACGCCTTGCAGAGCAGGGAAGTGCCTTCTCCACATGCATGAGGCGGCACTGACATCACCATATTTCAATTCTCCAGTGCTTACAGAAAAACAAAAACCAGCCACAGCCACACGCACGTACACACATGTACACGAAGAAGACTAGGTGATGCAGAGACACGTTCCACTTGCACCCTTGGAGGCACCTGGGTTGCGCCACCTGTGCACCTGCCATCCCCTCCCCCGAGCCTAGAATCTCCTCCACACCACCCGATACTGTGCAATATTGATGCGAATGAAAACTCTACAGCTGTCCCTGGGGACCGCGGGCCCGACACTGCCTTCCCTAAAGATGAAGCGACCGTCCTGCTTCATCCCACTGGAGAGCTGCTTCCCAAAACAGACGGTCTCTGTACTCACAAAGGCACATTCAGAAATACTACACTTAAGTATCTAACTCCTTGGACAAATCTGAAAGGGGGCGGCGGTGGAGGGGTGGTGTTTTAAACACATGTATTTAAGCTTAACCCAAAGCTGCTGGCAAGGAGAGTCCTGCAATGCAGCACTTGGTGAGAAATCCTACTACCTTTGAAAGGTACCACTCGTAAAGGTTCCAAAGGTTTCTGTCTGGTCTTGTACCCACCCCCTTTCATTTTTGGCGAACTCAAGTAGGCGCCACTGGCTGTGAGCAGGCTACACTGGTGGCCTCTCCAAGCTGGGCTGTCCAGCTGGCTGACTGATGCCCCCTGCCCGCCCCAGGCTTAAAGAACTGCAAGCCCACGCCCCGAGGGCAGGCAGGAGTGCCAGGCTCCAGAGGAGGCCAGGAAAGCCGGGCAGAGGGAAGGAAAGAAGCTCATTTCACAACTGCTACAGCAATACTGGAAGCTACTCTGCCGCTTCTCTGCCACCGCTCGGCGTTAGCAATAAAGAGGAATTTTACTTTTTCAAAAAACAGTCTCAACTTATTCACATGGGCTAGAAATGGGCTGATGACCAGGGGAATGTCATTTCCAAAGCAATGGAGTTTGCAAATGGAATCTGAGGCACAGCATGCTTGGGGAGACACTCGTTCTTTCTGATTTACAACAGAACCCTCGTGCCCTTCTCCTGACCTTTCCCGCCGTGCGCAGGTTCTTGTTAAAGTACAGATTCCGGATCCATCCAAGAGAAAGGGAACTATTCCAATTCTCAGGCGAACACTGGCAGTTTCTGTAACTTTTGCTACTTCTTGGGGTGGTGGTGAGGTCACTACGAGCGAGCGGCAGCTGAAAACGGCTCAAATACTAGAATACTTGGAAATCACCGATGCAGGCACGTGGTGGGCAGGACGCCCGGCAGGCAGGGGCAGGGATGCTTCCTAACTAGTGTCCTCTGCCCTGCCCTGTCCATGCCCTGGCCTCTCACTCTGGCGGCGCAGGCAGCGGGGAGGTATGGTGGGCAGGGTAGAAGGCCAGCGTTCATTTTGATGAAGTCGTTCCTTTGTTCACGGATTCCTGAAGGCAAGGAGCACGCCACCGCCACTGACCAGTGGGGCCTGACACACACAAGCCTTTGGCACTGGTGCCCTATTACAGGGCGTGCAGACTCCGGAAATGAGGGTGAGCGGCTATGTGTTTAGTAGGCTGATGACATCCTGGACGAGATTATGTCTGCCTGCCTGTTTCTAGACCGGACGGACATCTCATACCTGCAGGTAAGGGGGGTGGGGCGTGGCGCACAGCAGAGGTGAGGGCGAGGGACAGTTTTCTGATCCACTGCTAAGGCCTAGAGATGGACAACTCATCGCAGACAGCCAGGCCAGACCTTCCATCCCCGCCACAGGAGGGGTCTTGGAGGTACACACGCAGGAGGGAAAACGATGCAAAAACAAGACTGCTTTTTTGCAGTAACACTAAGAAGTATAGCTTAATGCATACACATGAAGGTGACAACACGTGGCAAAAACACTGGAGAAGGAAAAGCTGGATTTTGTTTAACCAGCTAAAAAACGTACTTATACTCCTAGTTAAAGACCTTATAGATATTTTAAAACAAAAGACAAAACCCCAAACCCCACACGATAACCTACGAAGTGTTAACTGTTGGATTTAAACTGTGGGTGGGGGAGAAGGGACCTTCTCTACATAAAGATGCAATTGTGCCCTAATCACAGAGATGTTTGATCACAGCCACGTCTGCTGAGAACACCTGCTGACGCTGCAGAGGAAAGAGGCTGAGGGGTCTTGCTCAGCACACAGCCACCTTCATTCTCAGTCAAGATGGCAGATATAGAAAAATTAAAAAGTACACAGCATTGGAGGTCGATATGCATCTGGCTGTTAACCCTACAAAAATGGCCCTTTCCCCCCCCGAAAAATGGTGAAAGTGAACATTTGCAACAAGTTAATGGCCCATGAAATTTTAGTTTCTGCTAGGTACAAGAACTTGGAAGAACAATTGCTGATTTTTTTGCTACATTCATGTCAGAAGAGGTGGAAAAGTTCTTAGAACAGGAGCCACAGTCATAGAAAATCAAACTGCTATCAATCAAAGGAAATGAATGGCAATCACGGGTAAAGTGGATGCACTGGGGACACGGGTCAGAGAATTTGGTGTGGAGCCTTAACTCGCAGTACTGCTAAGTTAGCTGCTGTGAACGCTGTAAACGCAAACCATCAAGGACTGGGGCTGGCTGGGCGGGGATGCCACAGGCCATCCACTGCTTCACAGTGTCTCGGAGAGCTGAACTGTTTTCTTTTTTAACATCCAAAAGTGGGTCATGGCACTGGATCTCACTTGCCAGGAGAGGTCCCCAGTCTGATGGAAGACAGCCCTTCCCTACTGTGCGTCTGTCTCTTCTTTTGGCTACCCTTGTGGTCGACAGGAACCACGTTTGTGACACCTGAGAGATGGACTCCGCTAGCCACCAGTCATCAAGTGTCAAATAAAGGAAACTAGTAAAAACATGGAAAGCTCAAATTCACGAGATGAAAGTATCTCTAAATCTGTCACGCAAGGTGACCAGCAAGCCTCTGTACACACGCCAACATTTTCTAAGTGCACTGAAGCCACCTAACCTCTCAGCAGACACAGCTTTCGCCAAAGAACACCACAGGGAGAAAACGCTTTTCCATTACATCCTCACGGTATCCTGTTCTTATTAGGTCACTGCCAACCAATAAAGCAAAGCTTCCAGCAAGATGACAAAAAAAAGAGGGGGGCTAGGGAGAGGGAATGGGAGGAGACGAAAGAGGACAAGAGCAGAAAGACAGGAACCCCTTTCTTCTGGCCCCACATGAGACTTTCCAAATTGCTACGTCATCACAAGCACACACCTGGAAACGTTGGTGCCTGGGAAAGGAGCTGACACCACGGGGAAGGGTCTTGGTTTCCTTATTATCCACTTCCGTGATTTTTTTTGTCTGTCTTAAACGTAGCCCACGGCCTTTGAGGCCTGTCCAGAGTCACTCAGATTTCCTAGCCGGGCAAGCGTCCCGATGTCCGTGGAGTGACTGGACCACACGCGCAGAGACGCGCGGGCCCCTGCTCAGGATGTCTGGGTGTATGTACGAAGGCACTAAAGCGGTTTTAGAGAAATGCAGGCAGCAACCCCACCCACTCCCTTAACCAGTCGAGCTGGAGTTTCTTTCCCACTGGGAAGCTTAGATGTTTAAAAGAAGCTGTGGTCATGCGTGGGAATTCTGACCCCCGGCCCCAGGAGGGAATACAAAAGGAGAATTCAATTCAACATCACCAAAAACTGAAATACTCCACATCTCCGACTGAGGGATGGGGATCATTAAGCAGCAGATCTTCAAAACAGCAATTAAAATGAGCACAACAGTAGCTGGGAGCTAAAAAAGTAAAATCATTTGTTCCTTATTAGATTCCTCTATTATTTCCTCCTCCTCCCATAACAAATGGAGGTAAGACAGACATTCTTCATTAACAGGACAGTCCATAGATAATTTTCTTCTAGTAATGCCTATATTTAAAATTTGTTCCAAAAATTATTAACCTATATTTCCTGACTCTTTACATAGATTCTCAGCAATCCAACCGTACTATTTTACAAATTAGAGTTTTTATTTTTATTTTTTTTAAGATGTTTCTTCCTTCCTTTTTTTGTTGCTGGGGCTGGGGGTGGAGGGACAGGGAGAGGGGTCCTTTAAAAGAAAATGATTAGGGGAGATTTCAGTTCGGTCTTAAATGGAATGGGACAAAGTGATGGCGTTCCCATTAGTGTACACCTAACACTTTCCCACTGGATCATAAACAGCTGCAAATGAATCCATGACAGCGCTCTCATAAAGCTTAATCCTTCTCCCACATTTTTTAAGATAATGAATTGACCTGTTGCTGCTAAATTGATCATTTTTTTAAAAATATTTCTATGTGTTTTAAAATGTGTGATTCCCCAGTATGACAATCACGATTGGAGACTTTTCTCTTTACATTTTTAAGAAAAAATTGTTTAAACTTTTTGAAGTTTCAGGAACTTGTAAAAGTTTATTAACAGGAAAGAAACAGCCGTCTATCTAGGATAAGATACGGTTAAATAAACCATCATCAAAAAAACTGGCTTCCTACCCTAGAATTCCTGAGAATGCTTGCAAATTTTAAAGCAGGAAAATAAATGTTAAAAACAAAAACAAAAAACACTGTTAAATGCTCCCAGAGTTAGTCTTCATCTAAAATATATATTTATATGTATATATATCTATATATATATACGCACTTTTTGGTCTTTTTTTAAGTTTTTAATTTTTTTCCCTTTAAGCTTATGATGGAAGAACATTTTTAGCTTCTCATGTTTATTTTTACATATTTCAAATCCCTCATTATGTCTTGTAAACAAGAGGGGCTCTAGCACCCGGCTTTCACCGTAGGATCATAAGGAACTCAACTAACCCAGAATGCAGGTCGAGAAACCAACGGGTGGGCGGGAGGGCAGGAGGACACGGTGGGAGTCGAGCCAGCGGGGGACAGGTCACCGCTGGCTGGTGGGAGACTCGGGACATGCTCCTGGCCGGGAACACTAAGGTGTTTGCCTCCTGCAGACGTCTGAGCGCGGCTGCTCGTCCCCTGGAGGCAGCCGCGCGCACAGAGCAGTCAGCGGGGCTGGAAGGACACACTCCATCCGTGAGCAGAGGGGCACCATGGCGACGGAAACCAAGGGCCGGGGGAGGGCACAGTTAGTTTTCTACAAGGCATCCAAACCCGTGCCGGAAACTCCAGTGTGACCACCTGCCCACAGAGGGCCCTAGAGACTCGCGCGAGGACACCTTCCCTTGAGTTATGCACGTCACTCTCTTCTGAGGCTAGGCTGATCGTCAACAGGTAAGCCGAGGTCTACAGAATTCCCGTTCTGTCTCACAAAACCACTTGAATGCAGAAAATTAGTCTTTTTGCCTTTTCCTTTACACACCCACCCACCCACTTACACACAGACACAAGCTAAGAGTCAAATACGTCAGGCATTGTTGTAGCCGTCACTGAAGATGCTAAAGAAAGATAAACTCCTTGTCCTCTTTAGCAGCAAGGGTCGGAGGACAGAAGGTCTGCTCCCCCCGAGGGCTGGAATGGGCAGGTATTTGCTGGTACAGAATGTCGGCACTTCATGTGAAACAGCGGAACGCAGACTGGGGTGCCCACACAAGTGCTAGCATGCTACCGACGCAGGCGCCCCCCCCCCCCCCGCCAGCCATCTGCTCTGTGTCCAGGGGCACCCCTCAGGTCTGCTCTAACTCTTCACAAAAAGCAGTTTGATACATTTTGATTCCAACATATGTACATACATGTTGGTGATAACTGTGGATTACAAGTTGCCCCCTATTCGGCCCAGAGTACTACTACATGGATGCTTTAAAAAAAAAAAAAAAAAAGTCTTTAAATACCGAAGTAAAAAAAGCAACGTTACAAGGAAAAAAATAAAACATAAGAGGTCAAAACCAAAAAAAGGTGCAATACTTAAGTCTTTGCTAAGTTATACCTGCCTAAGCAAAACCACATACACAGGAAATACACAACACGGAGGGACGAAAGGAAACGCTTGAAGTACACACTGGTTTAAGAACATTCGTTAAGTAAACGTTTCTGTCAGTGGTGGCCTGGTGCTGGACACCGCGGCCTGGCACAGGTAACGCTCGGCAAGCAGGGAGCGGGTGCAGCGTGCGGTCAGGAGGCTGCTCGCCACGGACTTTCTTCCGTTTTCGTAAAATGAACGCGAGAACCCATAGAAAGATTTCATTCAGCATTACCTGACTTCTCTGAAGAACTGCTCACACCTGATGACACAAGAAAGGGGGAACACAGCGTTTCTGCTTTTGAGACATCACAGAATTAAGAACGATCTGATCGTCGGTTCCCATTCAAACGAATGAAAAGGCCCGCGTGAAACTGAACAGAAATCCAGGTGGGCCTGGCGGCCTGACTTTAAAAAACAGAAATAAATAAACACACAGTTGCTCCAGGAGGCGCCTCCCGCTCTCGCAGTTTCTGGCCCAGGCAGCGGCGCACGTACCGCAGAGCTCCTCGTCCCGTGCCGTCCAGGGCGGCTCCCTCGTGGTCTGTTCTCGGCGTGACAACGAAATGAGGAGAAAGCGGGTGGCCGGCCAGCCAGCCTGCGGACGGTCAGCAGCGCAGCCTTCTGAGAAACCAGGCGGGAGGCCGCCGGCGCACACACGGAGACAGGAGGACGCTCGCGATGCACAGGGACGCACGTGCACACACACGAGAACGAGCATGCCTGGGCAGTTACATGTGCCAGAACACACTGGTATTTATCAACCAGCCAATCACAAATTTTTCCATATTTTTTTTTTTAGGTTTTTTGTGTTTTTGTTTTTAAAGTGAGGCTCCGTCAAGTCTTCCCTCCCCCCACCCCAACAATTCTTTTGAATTCCCCTCCCTCCCAAACATGGTAGACCTAAGGACGGAAACACACCCAGTGCAAACAAAGTTAAAAAGCTATTTTTTTTTCAGTATATATGTTTCTTAGCAACAACTTCCATATAACATGAAAAAAGTGAAAAACTAGAAACTAATTTTTTTAATTTTTTTGTGTTTAAATTTAAATGGTATGTGTACTTGCTTCACATTGTCTCTCTAGGTTGGCGTTCATGATTCAAGTATTTCAAGAGTGATATGTTCTCTTTTTGGATTCATATTCCAAACGAAAAAACTGAAGTTATAAGGGAGGCAACTATGTGCTCAGACAGTCTGTCAATGACCCACCTTTTTTTCTCTCTCCGTTTTCTTTTTTCCTTTTAAAAATGTATTTATTGCAAGTTGAAAAAAAAAACGAAAAGGTCAAGTTAGTGCTGCTGCTGTTCCAAAAAAGGTCACGAGGTCAGAGTTGAAAGTTCTAAGTTCAGATTGAATCCGACCCTCCTCCCAGAAGGTCACCAGGTAGTAAAGGAGCAGGGCTGCCCATCCTATGGGGATCTTCCACGGCTGGGACTCCCCACAAGCTAGAAGAATAGTTTGGGGGCCCCCACAACGAAGCGCCAGCAAGATCGGCCCCGCTGCTGCCACCAGCGCTGCTGCTCCACTGCCCGAGCCCCGTGGACCCTCCGAACAGATTCAGAGCAGGTCCGACAGGGTCTGACTGGGTCTGGCCGGTCTCCAGCGACTGCCATCCTGCCGCGGGTGCGCTCGGGGTGGCTGCGGGCGTAGGGGGCTGCGCCTGCGCCAGGAAGCGGCTGACCTCATCGTCGGTGGCAAACTCAGCCAGGATGGTAGTGTTTCCCAACACACACCTGGAGGGGGAGGGAACGAGCTGGGTTTGAGGAGACTCCTCAAGCCCACCCAGGGGCTGCGCACCCAAGTGTGGCCCTCTCACTAGCGGCTTCCAGGCTCCTCCCCACCCCTGCCCGGGGAGCCTTTCTAGAATGCAGTCACGGGCCCCAGCTCAGGCCCACTGGATAGGGACCTGCGCTTTCACCAGAGCGCCAGGTGACGAGAGGCACTGATCTGAAGCATTAAGGATCACTGCAGGAGACGCCTGCAGACCACTGAGAGCACTAAAGGGCGGCAAGTACAATGTGCTCACCAAGTAAAAGGTCTCCCCTCCTCCTTTCCCCACAAGGTGAAAGACTGCAGCCCCAGCGTCAAGGTGATTTAGCTTCAGACGTGGAAGGGGCACCCCCCAACACACACACAGCCTTGCCCTCTCCTGCCCGCTCCGTGTGCAGCTTTCTTTTCTGGCACTGGCAGCTGTGGGGAGGCAGCTGTTTTGTCCTCCAGTCCCAGTGGTGGGAGCAGAGCGGTCCACGTCCTGACCCAGGTCAGCTACTTCAGGCGGGAACCCCGCTACCCACCCAGCCTTTTCTCATCACCCACAGAAGCCAAAGCAAGCAGTTCTATTCTAGCATGAAAATGGCTGCACTTCCAGAGGTTCACATTTCATAAATACTGGCTGTGTTTCATGGTACTTAACTCACTAGTTCGCCAGTTCCTTACTTTTGGAATTCTGACTGCTGACTTAGGACATACGCAGGACAAGGAGGAAGAACAGCTCAGGTACCTCCGCACCAAGCTGTGTTCTCGTGCACCTGTGTTGACTGAAGCAGCTGCCAGAACACCCCAGGGCTCCTTGAGCGCACGGCCCAGCGGCCGGAGCGGGTACTCACATGTGCAGTGCAGTCTGGGCCTTCGCCGCCTCCTGTTTGGTGCTGTATCGGATCAGGGCGGTGCCCTGGGTTAGGTTCAGGTGGAATGTCAGCAGTGGGCCGTGCTGCATGCAGATGGTTCTCAAGGTTGACCCATCAATCTGAGGAGCAATAACACTTGTGAGATAAACACTGGAGGAAGCCTGAGAAAGGGAAGAGATCCTCCTCGTGTCTGAGGATGAGGAAGACTTCTGGTTTACAAGTCAGGCTGCCAGAACTGAGTCGTACAGAGATGAATTGAATACAGAAGTCTAAGAGGCGACTTTTAAGATCTTCAAAGCACTGGGCTGAGATCTAGTGTGCCTGTTTTACAAATAAAAAGGCTTGCACGAACACTGCAAAATGAGGCCTAGGATTCAACTTGTCATTTGTTTTCCTTAAGACATAAATGAGGGAACGCGGGTGGACTTGCAGAGCCTTCACATGCAGAGGTAAGGTGGTACTCAAGGAAGAATTAAGAAAACACCCCAAGTTCTCAGCAAAATTACTGATACACTTTCCCAGCTCCACAGTTAAATCTCACAAAGAACTAAAGAGAAAGACACAAACAAGAGAAACCCCGCTCTATCTGATGATTCAGAATGTGGATGGCTGACTCAGCTCACAGGCTGCTTCCACATCTCTTGCTCCTACTCTGGCCAATTTGAGGTGAGACTCGACTTCTGCCTACTTTTCTGCTCCGAGTCCTTTGCCACCAGCCACCTTGACTAAAGCTGGAATTGCTCACCTCTGTTAGCCTCTCACCACTAAGCTGGTTGGGGATTAGTGATCATTTCTTGCAAGCACGATGCAGATGAACAAATCTATTCACCCTGATGAACTTATTTATTTGTATCAGGACCTCAGCTAGATTTATTCAAGTGGCTCGGTCCGACATTTCAGTTCATTTCTCTGGAAGGCAAACAGATTTCTACTGTAATAGACTTAAAACGCCGTCCCACTGGCGGCAGCAGTGGAAACATTCTGTGGTTTCACCATGGAAACCCTGCAGGATGGAAACGATTGGAGAGACAGCTCTGAGCTTTGTTTTACGAGTGACAACCGACTATATGAGCACGTCAGTGGAGGCCACATGACTTGTCAAGATACATGTGCTGTAAGCAAATTTTAGAGGAGGCAAAGTAAATGCACCCAGGGACCAAAGATTTATCCTTATCACCTTCTTTAGGCTATAATGAGAGTAGTCTGCTGTTAGGTAGTTCTGATTTTTAAATTCATGATTTTTTTCTAATACACAGGCAACCCCCATATTCCTTTTACATACATAGACACATGTACCTGCTACTGTCACATAGTAAGGCAGAAGTGATCAGCTAGTTAGCTGGCCTGGACTCCTTCAACACAAGGTATCCCTAGTTGCTATCCTAACCAGGTCATTCTTACCACAAGGTCTGACAGCTCTTAGAAACAAGGAATATCAAATTTTGAGAGTAGTTATATAAAATATCCAAACTTCACTCAACTATTAGCTAAATAAATTACCTGGGGACTTTAGTTGAATTGATTAGATATAGAAACTGAGAGGGGATTCAGACTCTTCTTTGTGTTAACTGTGTTTAGGAAACTCTTACCTTAACATGTACCTTGAAATATGAGTCCTGGATTTGTGGATTACACCCACAAATGGGTTCACTGGGCAAACCAATTTGAGGAGAAGCTCTATCTCCCCACAGAGAATCATAATGCATGTTAGCATATTAAAGGGTCTAAGGATGGCCTCATAACGAAGAAACCTGCTTAATTTTATTTAATCAAGTATATATTCCAAACATATTAGGCCAGAGACCTATTAATATCCCTTGGGAACACTCTGGAAAAGGCTGGCTTAGTAAAACGTGCAGGAATCTATTCATGAATTAAAAGCTAGACAATTCATTCCATGTGTCAAAGGAAGGGAGGCATAATTGACTCCTTTTAACAAGGTGCTGTAAGGCATGCGCTGTCAGGCTCAGGTGAAGGTCACAGGCTGTTTTGATGGTTTCATTTAACTCATCTGAGTGTCCATGTGATGCCCCTGTGCGTAAGTCTGTCATCAAGCAGCCCAGGTGAAGGGGGCATGGGTGGTGATATAGCAAAGCCCACCACTGTCAAAACAACCCGGGACACGTTTGGTGAGAGCAAATTAGTGACACCATCTACACAGAAGAGGGTCAGAGAGGAAAAGCTGCGAGTGACCTTGCGGCCTGTGAGCCATAGAGTGGACATCCTCCTTCCGCTGGAGAGGCTCTTTCTGAAGCATAAATAAGGTTCACAGAGCCCCAAGTCACACTGGACAGCTCCCACAAGAAACAAGTGACTGCTTTGTGTCTGACTAAAACAACAAAACATCCCTTTCCATTTGTTCCAGATCTGACTGCAGGTCTACACAGCAATGTCTCTACCCAGCAGGATTCACCAGGTAATCCCGTTGCTCTCACCAGTCTCTGAACACCTGGGCTGACATCACCTTGAGAGCAGCACGAAGCTGAGTGGCTAGCACCCCTCAGAGGCAGGCTGGGCCTCTGAGGTGACCAGGCAAGAAGAGAGCTCTCCCACCTGTGACCTCCCTCATTCAGGACAGTGAAGTCCTCACTAGAGAAAGCACGATTACCTGTGGAGTGAGATTGTGAAGAACCAGCCAGTAACTAGGACGAACCGAACCACCATCGCTCCAGGTAGAGGCTGTAAGCAACCAGAAACACGGTTAGGGAGGCAACTGAAAGCTTAAGAAAGCCATACAAAGAGCATTCTTGCTCGGCCCTGTTTCTCTGCTGCTTTTACAAGCTGTTCTTTCTCCTTTCCAATTCCCCCAGGAGCAGCTCTCTCCTGGCCTCGACCCTCTGCACTCGGGCCTTATTTGAAGGCAACACTCCCAGTGCTCGCTCTGCCGTTTGTCCTTCTGACTCCATCCACCCAGGAGCTCCACCTGTGCTGCCTGCAGTCTCCCACTCTAGACTCCCTGTCTCCACGGGACACCCAGGACCCTGTCCCCTGAGGGCGTCATCATATCTCCAAAGCCCGAATTTCAACAGTGACGGGCCACTGGTTGGCCCCTCCTCACCTGAGGCAAGCCGCGAGTCCTGTGTCCCCCACCCTCTGACGGATCGGGGTGCTGTGCTGCTCCAGGGAGATGACGGTTTGGGGTTGGTCAGACCAGGAGGCGGGCGGGGCAGCGGTGTAGTGTTCCTTGAGGAAATATGGTTTTTCCACATCTTGTTGGAGAGATGAGTGGGGTTGTGTCCTATGGGATCTGGGGACCATGTCGATTTGTAATCAGGGAACTTTGCTGTAAGAAGAGAAAATGAAGAAAGTAAGGATGGAGGATACCTTTTGTCAACATACATACAGATTCCATGTGCACGCACACAGCTTATTTTCTAAAAACGGTCAGTACATATGAGAGTAACAGTACAAAATAATATTGTTCCTTGGACTTATTAAATATGAAATTTTCAATGACTATTACTCTGAATGGACAAGTGAACACATGAATTATAAAGTTAAGACGACAATGAATCCTCTGCTGTTTTCTTAGCGAATGACCTAAAAGGCAAGCCAAGCTGATGGACAAGTCCCCGATGTCGCCAGTCCTGCAGGCAGAGCAGTGTGGGAATGTGGGGGAACTACAGAATTCTACAGATACTCAGCTAAATGGAAAGTACACTAAAAAATTATATTTTTCTTGGTTCAGAACACTAAGTATCAACATTCAAACAGGTATTTCATCATCAGTCATCATCATCATAATAAAAAGAGTCTAATGTCGACTAAGGGCTTGCTATATTTAAGGCACCACATCAGCTGTGGGTAACAACCACTGCAATTCCCGAGAACTTCAAGTTCAGATGGAAGACAGCACAGACACACAACAGAAGCAGTAACCCCCGGCAACGCCACGAGTCTGTTCAGCGCACAGAGGAGACAGACAGGCGGTGGTGGGCAAAGGGCTTTGCAAAGACAGGGCTTAGAGGATTTATGTAAACGGATGGACTCACAGTGACAAGAAAATATAAACCAGGGTTCAGCTGACATTCTCTCTGTACCAAACACGTCATCCCTCCCCCCAATTTGGGCAGAACGGCAAACATTTCTCAGGGGCAGACTTGGGTAAAGGAGGCCACAAAGTAGCCTCCTGACTAATGCTGACAGTGCTCTCTGCCTCCAGGAGTTGCTGTAGGATGTGCAGCCTGTACTGTTGGAAGCAGGGTCTAAACTAGGTAGGCAGCAAATAGGACAGGGCAGAAGAAATGGGCATGAGAGCTCTGACTGCAGAATAAGCGTCCCAGGAGATGTCACGTCTGCCCCGGCCAGGAGTGGGAAAGACAGGTGAGGGCGAGAAATTAAGGAGATTCCGAACTGGGTGGCACATGGGAGCCTCCATAAGAAAAAGAATTTAGCGAAGAGGGAAAGATGATCTGGGGGGTTGGGAGAATGCACCCAGTCTGGGCTGGCTCTTGGATCATTTCTCAGGTCATGTCCAACGTAAAGAGAGAATACCCAACTCAGCCTGAGATACGGGCAATTACAGGAATGAAAATGTAACATGAAAAAGAGACTATGCAAAAGAGGGCAGCCTCGAAAAGCATGATGCAGTGCTGTGGCTGGAAATCTGAACTAGCAAGTGGCTCCTTTACACTCTCGCTCAGACCCAAGGCAAATTCTATTGTATCTTTGAATCTGTTTCTTCGTCTGCAAAATGGGGATAATACCAGGATCTCCCAGAGAGGCTGGTGAAGGCAGGAGAAGCACTTGTGCCAAGGTTCAGCTGCCCGGTCTGCAGGGCCCTTTGCTGCTGAGAGACAGAGGTGGGAGGACAACTGGTAGGGCCAGGAACCTGCAGGGTCGCAGCAGGCAGCTGGGGGTTTTATTTGCCTTTGGCTGGACAGAGAACAGAAGCCATAAAGACCTGACTGGCTCAACATCCAAGTTTTGTAAAACCAAGGTGCCAATTACTAGTGATTTGTCTGCTAATCCCTAAGGCACTGTGTTAAGCGACTTTAAAGACTTTATCATTTCCATTAATTTCTCCATCCCCTACTGTCTTCCCAAAAAGGTACAAGGAACACAACAGGTGTTGCTGGTAGGATTAATCACGGTTTCCTTTCTTCCCTTTGGCCATCTGCCCTTAAGTCTCTGTCTATACGTAGAATGATTTTTAGAGAAAAACGAGCTATATAACTCCCTGCCTTAGTGATAACTGTGGCTTTAACTGCTTCTTCCCATGGCCCTGGATTCTCTTAGAAGACCGGCGAAGAGAGAGCATTTGTCATTAGAATATAATCTCTGCCTTTGGACAGCTCTGAGTGATGCCACCACCCACCTGGCCTGGAGCCTGAGACTGGAGGCTACTCCAGGACACAGCCAACGTGAGGAGTCAGCCTCCAGCTGAGAGCTGAGGTGAGCAAGGCAGTGTCAGTGAAGTATTCCTTAAGAATCACACCAATGTGCCTTGTACAAGGGAAAGTGGGAAGGGAAGGAAGCAGGTCGTGCGTACCTGAAGTGCTATGAACGTTGGTAAAGGAGTTGTCAGAGGCACTGTAGGGCCAGGCACCAGGTGAAGGCAGCGAGGTGTTGAGGGAAGAATTAGACCCTTTGGGTGACAAATAAAGATGAGAATATTGTAGATAAATCTCAGTATAACCAGTGAAACCTGGAAACATTTATTTAATGAAAGGGAGAACAAAATATATCTAAAGATTAAGTAACTAAATGGCACATTCTTGTATTTTCTGGTTATGAGGCACTATCAAGTACAAATTGAACCCCATTGAACAAATATGAAAATGCCGAGCGTTATTCGCTGAACCTAGAGGTGCCCCACCAGCTCACCTGTGGTGTTATCCCGCAGAAGTTGGTGGTCAGTATCTACAATGGGAGATGTGGCGGTACCCCCCAGCACACTTCCTGGGGTGACGTAGGGGTCAGATTCAGGGTCGATGTTTTGGATACCTTTCCATGGCACTCCTGGTTGGAATTCTGAGACAAGAAGAGCAAACTTTAGAGGTGGGAGCTGTTCAAATAAATGACAGTCATCATTTTTTGATATAAGAAATAGATTCGTGAAGTTGAAATGTGTTTTATTTTGGATTTTCATCATAAAACAAACAACTCGGCTCGACCTCTGTCTGCCCGTGACTGTGAACTTGAGGCCTAAGGCTCTCCAGGCCCTGGCCTAGGCCCTGCTCCTGGAGAAACTCAGGCAGGGAAGTGTAGCCTGGTGTCCTGAGCACTGTCCAGGCATCCAGGACAAGAACTGGGAGAAAGTCTGGGTTGGCGATCATGATCTCTCTCACTTATCCCCGGAAAATGGTTCAGATGCCCGAAAGAAAACAAAACACAAACAGCAAATGGACATGACCATGTGGGATGTCCGTGACAAGCAGCGGCAGAATCTGGCTCAATTTAAATCCGACTTAAAGCTCCGTGTGACATTCAGACTTTATTTTCCTCATCATGATGAGGAAGAGCAGGAAGGATTTATGTGACCAACATGTACTTGCATGATCTGACCTGAATGAACCACGTATTTCCTGTCACAGATACATCTACATAGAAAAGGTCTAAGAGGATACACACCAAATCCTTTATTTTTGCTTCAATAAATATTTACTTTTTCACCTCTGAAAATCTCTTATGCGAAAATAAAAAGAGAGAAACACTCTAACTGCACACACTGCTGCCCACCTGCAACCTCACTGATGCTAAATACTTAGTAAATATATCAGTACATTAAGCGGACGAATCACAAGAACCAGGTTGCAAGGCACCCCGCACATGAATGATGGCCAAGTCCTGGCTCTGGCGTCACCTTCTTTATGTCACATCATGTTCCTGTGACTTCCTGGGCTTATCTGTGTCTTTGTAGATTCCCACATGGTAGCTGACCTTTCCTCCCGACTGACCTCCACAGAGCTGAGGCCCGACCTAGTGAAAATGCTCTATCCCCCTAGGCACAGCACATGCTTAGTATCTTTATCAAAAATAATGACTGAGGGCCTCCCCGGTGGCGCAGCGGTTGAGCGCCAGCTTGCGAAGCTGCCTGCGGCCTCTGCGGCGCCGGTTCGATCCCCGGCTGCTCCCCGGCCACCGGAGGAGGGTCCCACATGGCACGCAGACCTCTCCTGCCGCCCGCTGCTCCCCTCAGCAGTGTACTTCGGTCCTTCTGCCTGCTCTGCTCCCCACTCTGGCTCTGGTGAATTCTCTTACCCTCCAGTGCTTCTGACTGTACCCAGTGCTTGTATAAATAAATAAAAATAAATCTTAAAAAAAAAAAATAATGACTGAATGAAATATGAAAATGAGCACCTCGAATCTATCTAGACCCCAGAATTACAACTGAAAATCACATAATATCCCAGAAAAAGCATTTCCTGGACAGTACCTGGAGGCCAACTGGCATTGCTGGATTTACTTCCAATTTTATTTGTTGGTGGAGATTTGGCAGGTAACCAGCTATCACCAGCAGGACCCGTATGGCCACCCAGCGTGTCACCCGGGATGATGTCAAACTGGTTGTATGGTGACCCTCCTCGGGCCTTACCGGGGGCCACTATAGCGCCTGAGAAAAGAGGGAGGGAATGAATTCACATCCAGAACAGAAGTTGAACAGAACTTGATGAACAGAAGTTGATACTGTTATTCAGAGGAGCGGGAATAAGCACAGTATTTTGAATCATGTGGAGTAAAAGCGAGAAAAAGCACACTGGACTTGAGGGCTCACTTAAGATTCAGAAAGTAACTGCAGGATGTAGTTGGCAGGACGACCACACGCAGTTCACCCCACCCTCCCGAGCACAGTTACTCCCTCTTGCATGCAGCACTGCCCCCACTCTCGAACGTTCCTTCTGAAATGCCAGTCTTATGAAATGAACAGAACTTTCATCAGTTATGAATCCTACCACTATCCTCCAAGTTTCTCTACTAACCACTCGGGAGTGTGAGATGGAAACTTGCTAAACAATTCAGGGCACATCTGAGCTGACACCAAGGTTCTTCAGGGCTGGTCAGGCTCGACTTAGCTGGAAGAAGCTGTGTAAACAGAGGTCATCCATGGAGAGAAAAAAATAAAAGCATCTGCAATTGCTTTCAATTCCAGAGCAGTGAGATGGAATTCCTGTCCGGGGCCTGAGCCAGCATGAACCAGCATGGAGCCCGCAGTGCTGGCCGTGGCCTCACACTAACAGCGAGTCCTTTGTAGCTGCTTTCCCGGGAGCTCTGTGACACTTCTGTTGGCCCCCCTTCGTGCATTTAATTGCCACGGAGGCAGGAAGAAAATTAAAAAGTTGAAACTTCCTTAAAGTTAAAGAAAGAAAAAAAAAAGCGCTTTACTTTGAGTAACCTGTGAGATACGACTTACTATCCCTCCAATAATTATGTGCCGTGTCCTATCACTCGATGTGCTTTTAGGATGTTGTTCCTGAAGAGATAAAATAATTTCCAGTATTTGTGGCAATACTGACTAAAACACAGGAGCAGGCCCAAGCCTGCCATGCTCAGCTGGGAGGTGCTGGTTTTCTGACGTGCGTCTGCCATGGGGTCCTTGGGGGTGAAAGGCCCGTGATTGAGGGGCTGCAAGGGAATCAGGAAACACTGTCTTTACACTCAAAAAAGGCAAGAGGGGGCCTCCCCAGTGGTGCAGTGGTTGAGCACTGGGCTGCGAAGCTGCCTGCAGCCTCTGCAGCACCGGTTCGATTCCCGGCTGCCGGCAAGGGTCCCACATGGCACACAGACCTCTTTTGCCGTGCCCACTGCTCCCCTCAGCAGTGTACTTCGGTCCTTCTGCCTGTTCTGCTCCCCACTCTGGCTCTGGTGAATCCTCTCACCCTCCCGCGCTTCTGACTGTACCCAGTGCTTGTATAAATAAATAAATAAATCTTAAAAAAAAAGAAAAAAAGAAAAAGGCAAGAGGATGTTTTCCCCTTGAAATGTCCTCTCGCATGCCATTCTATATTGTCACACACCTCGTTCGTCTCTGGGGACAAGGGGACCCATTTTCAATAAGCCATTTTTGATCTGGTGGCATGAAATCAGATGACAATGCTTAGGGACAGCAGCAGAGAGCTCTCGGCGGCCACCGCACCAGCCTCCTGGACGGACACGCTAAAGAGGGCGAGTGAGTTACTGGCTAATGAAACAAATGCTGACACCCAGCTGAAGGAAGGAGTCAGAGACCTTAGATCTGTGCCGGGAAACGGAGGCCTCTCACAGTGAGTTGAAGACATGAAGGGCCGAGCCACAACCCGGCCTGCAATGCCTCACCGGCCATCTTGCAAGAATGACAAGAAAGCGTCGTGGAAAGTTCCAATCTCATGGATTGACTTATTATCTTTTGGAAAGGGCTCAAATAATCAATGTGCTATGTATTTGTGATTTCCTGTGCCTCAAAAAAAACCTCAAAACCTAGATTTTTGTCTCTTGGTCAGTTTATCAGGGTTTCAGTCTAATGGGTACACGAGTTCACTATTATTCCCCTCAATCCCACTGCAGGTGGAAAATCTCGCTCCCATATTGGAAACCAGCACTTGAAGTTTTCTATCATCTGAAATTCACACAACACAATCCCAATCATCCTCTCAGAGATGATCATAAGAGTGAGAAGAAAGAATCCAGAAAAAGCTCAAGACCAGTGCTTCAAAATAACTCCATGACAGACACTTCATGGAGGCCAGCCAAGGGCCTGGACAACCCCAGCTCGGGCTGTGTGCTCTTACCATTTTTGTGCATATTGGCTTCCTGTGTGGCTACAGAGGGCAGTCCCTCCATCATGGAGGTCCACTGTTTAAAGCGAGACTCGGTTCCAGCCTCCTTCCCACCAACCATGCCGTAGTCCATGCCGCCAGAGCTGAAGCCTGAAACAGAGCACCACAGTCAGTGTCTCCTCTGCAGTCTGGTCCCCGTAACCAAGAGTTCTGGCAGGACTCACACATGTCCTCTTTAGTCACTAAAAGACCAATCACACGAAGTTTCTTTACTCAGAAACAAGATACTTTGATTCAAAATACTCTTGCTTGCTAAAAATGTTGTGACTCTTTGTAAAAGCAGGAAATGGGTGTGACTGCCAATCAACTGAGACCATCTCAGAGCACCTGTGTGTTGACGCCTTCCCTCAGCTCCCGCGTGGGCCAGTTAGAAGGTCAGGCCGGGGAGTCTCCAACGTCTGTGCCTAGACCCCTGGGAGGACAGCGGCCTTCAGGCTGTGGTCAGGGCATCAGGAGAGGGAAGGCTTCGCAGAAGGGACATTTGATCCTGGGTTCAGGGTGGCTGCGCGATTAAGTCGGAATCAAGCACAAGGTTCTGAGTGGTGACAGGCATATTTTAGGGAACGAGGAGGAGATCCACGTGACGCCAGCACTCAGCTGGCTGTGGATGAAGCGAGAGGGAGAGTGCAGGAGACGGGGGAGGAATGAAGAGTCCTGTGCTGCAGGATATTTAGCCGTCAGGCTAGGAGCTTGGACATTTTCCCCCTCAAAGACAAAAGAAATTTTGAAGCAACCAAGACACAGAACTAGGTCTGTGCTTCAGAAGAAACAGGCCGTGCAAGGATGGGGTAGATGGAGGTCGAGGCAGAACCTGAGAACAATGTGAAGAAGATGCCTACAATGAAGCACCTCCCAAAGCTGGAACAGCCCAGGAGCAAGAGAGTCAGTACACTTTGCCACGAGCCCCCGGAAGTCTCAGGTGTGGGCTGGCAGCATTCTGGTGGGCGAAGCGTCCCGTTGCAGAGCCGCAAGGGAAGGCCTCCCACCCACCTCACAGTAAGCCTCATGGGTCCTCCATGCATTTGGGTCAGTGTGTATTTAATGCTTTTTTCAAACTGACTCTCGAAAATGTGAAATAAGGAATTAAAATGAACAAATCAAACAGGGAGGGAAGAACAAGTCACTGCAAATACAGCAACACGTGGGCACAGGTCAGGATTTCTCCCGGTGCTTCTCCTGGTTGTTGGGGAGTTTTAGAAACGCATGATCAATCAAGTTCAAATGATTTTGAAGGTCTTGTTGACCTAAGTTTAAAATGTTGCTGATAATGTAAAGAGCATGTTTCTATCACATGGCTGGCGAGTGACTTTACAAGCCCAAGTGATTGCTTGGGTGGGTGGGGAAGGCGGGGGTGGGGGATGGGAAGAGAAGAGCAGAAATCCTTGGAATGAGCTGGAAATGCAAATTAAATGGTTTTCAAAAAAGTTCAAGCTGTTTTCTTTTGTCCTATGTGGCTGAAATGAAATGAGGTTGGAGGACAGGGAAGTTGGAAAGAACTAGGTCTTTATCCAACATGAGCTGTATCGGCCATGCTGCTTGCTCATGGATGATTCCACCTCTACCCTTGACAAGAGGATCATCCCAGGCCTGCGGATCCACAGTGCCTGCCTGGGGTGATGCTGGCCCTAGGACTTCAGGTCTCCCCAACACTTGTGTTTCAGTTTGCAGAGAACAGTATTTTCTTTACCAAAATAAAATATAAATGCTGTCAGTTCTAGAAGACACCTGCTGTGGCATGTAGCACCTTTAAAATTTTTATTTTTAAATTGCTGTTGCCTCACTACAGGATTCTGCTTACGCCATGTTCCCCAGTTCTGAGACATCCACACTGGCCTGCCAACAAATTCTTGATGAATGTCAAAGGTATAACCTTACTTGTGCTAATCTATTTAAATCCAACAAAATACTAAATACAAAAGAATTTTATATATGCTTTGTAATTTTCATTCCCCATTTAAAAAATTTATTTATGCAGCGTGACCCCAGGCAGGCACTGTTCTGTGAATGTTCCTGCCAGGTGGCCATGCATCTGGGCACTGAGCTGGGGTATAGGCCAGAGGTGCAGGGGATGAGAGGATTCACCAGAGACAGAGTGGGGAGCAGAACAGGCAGATCTACTGAAATACACTGCTGAGGGGAGCAGTGGACGAGACAAGAGAGGTCAGCTGTGCTATGTGGGTCAGCTCCCTGGTCAGGGATTGAACTTGTGCTGCAGTGACTGCAGATAGTTTCACAGTGCTGAATAAGACTTAACCCCTTATACCACCAGGGAGGCCCCTAAATTCCCCATTTTTTCAGCAGAGATCAACACCTCAAATGGGCTTACTTTAAATCATAACCATAGATGTGTAGTGACTGCAGAATGTTCAAACAACTAAACTGGCTTAAAAATTCCTAGTGGCAGGGAAGAGATGGCCACTCACAAGGAGCATGACCACTTCAGGCCAGTATCGGGACCCTATCTCTGCTACTGACCAACTGGACGGTGCTTTGGGAAACTGTTGAAACTGAAGATGCTAAGAACTTAGATACCTCACCTGTAACAGGGATACTTACCCATGTTGTGCAGCTACTAGAAGAAACGAGGGCCAGCTTTGCCAGAGGCTAGGGCCATGACTGGTAGACTTTCCCAAAAAGAGTTTCAGTACTGACCACTTACCAGAACCATATCCAGGTATTGGCCCTTTGGTTTGAAGGTCTGGGAGCCCCACGTTCAGAGCATTGGGCACCATGTTGTCCAGATGTGGCTTGGGCCCAACGGGATGTGATGGGGAGTGCTTCATGCTCGGTTGCCGCTGCTGCTGCTGCTGTTGCTGCTGCTGGAGAGCGCTCACCATCCGGGCCAGCTTAGGGGACAAGGGGACAGGGTAAGCTGGCTTCCTGGACCCCACAGGATTCGGGGTCAGCGCTATGGGTGAGAGAGATGCACTCCTCACAGAAGCACCGAGGGACCCTCCGCCCCGCCTACCTGCTGCTCCTGCTGCTGGCGCACGGCTTGAGAAATCTTCCTCTGGTTCTGCAGCAGCTGTTGCTGCTGCTGCTGCTGCAGAAGGAGCTGACAAGCCTGCAGGACAGGAGAGAGGTGTCCCTAGGACGGCGCCCAGAACCCCGGGGACTGACTGAAGTCCAGGCCAAGTCGGGAAGATCTCCGTGGGGAGACCGGGAAAGTCTCTGTGTCCCAGCTACGGTCACTTAACTCCAGCCGAGCTGATGTATTAACCCTTAGACCCACATAAAATGAAGCAAATCAAAGTAAAAAGAAAAAGGCAAGTAAGCCTTTTAGCTCCAGGAGGAAATCTGCTGCTTACCAACTGAAACTGGGGAATCTGTGGAAGCTGGCTCAGCATGGCGATTTGTTGAGGAGATAACTGGGGCCCCACGTTGAAGAGACCTGGATTCAGGCCACTGTTGGGAAACTGCTTGAGCATTGAGGCAGAAACCTGGCCAAAAGAAAGAGAAGAAACTTCAGAATTTATTTAAAAAAAATTTTTTCTTCCTGTGAAAAGAATCTTGATAAACCTAAAGCAAGCATCAGTTTTTTCCCATGACAAGTATTAAACAATTGGAGAAATACACCAGAGAGTTAATGCTCATTTCTGAATATCTTTAAATTCACTGAGATTTTCCAATTTTTCTGTAATGAAAATTATGAATTTTACAATCAGGAAAACAAAACGTACTGAATCTCGCAAAACTAATAAATAAGTTTAAGAGAAAGTACTTCTGTTATATAAACAGAAAATATACATTAGCTTATAAATAGGAGAAGCTGAGTTTCAACTCAGGACTTTCTGTACCAAACACTCACAGGCACAGAGGCAGAACTGAGGTGCTCGGGGCAACGGCCAGCTCGCTCCTCCTGGGGTTTGAGGCGAGAGTGAGGCCAGGCCGCAGGAACCTCGAAGGACACAGAAAGGACTCCCTCTCTCAGCCCTGGGCGTGTTAACTGAGCAGAACTCAGTCCCCCTGTATTTTCATTCACTGAACCCCCGAGTCAGCTGGTGGCACGGACAAAATCTCAATCCCTCTTCCAGGAGGGGCAAGGCGCGCACAAGCCAACTTTTAGTTCAAGGGGAGACTGTCTGGGTCTGCCACTTCTAAGTGCATGACTCAGAGCCAGGTACTTGTTCGACTTTCCGCATTTCCCTCATCTCCAACATTGGAATAATATTAACTTCAGTGGTTGTGTGAAGACCTTATGGGTTAATCCATGTCAAACACAGGCCATAGATGTTCCTAATATTCCACAGGATGGTTCTTCAAACGTTGAGACAACGCCCACAGTTACTTTGCACCTCATTTTCAGGCTAAATACGATCAGTTCTTTCACCTGTATCTCATTCAGTTTCTCAGTGCAGAGCCCAGAACAGAAAGTCATCATCTAGAGCCGTGCACACCCGAGCAGAACTGGCCATCACTGTCCATTCTGTAAAGCCATGCTTTTACTGACAATACCCAAGATACCTCAGTTTCTCTGATGTCCACATCATAACCCCAAATCACACACAAAGCTTATTGTCACTTCAAATTTACACTATTTTCAAATGTCTTGTTCCCTCAAGTAATATTTAAATAGGTGGGTTTTAAAATTTTATTAATTTATGTTTTGATCATAGGACCTTTTATGTGCATGGCACATAGTAGATGATCAGTAAGCATGGAGAAATGACTATTAATTTTTACCCAAGTAAATCATTCTTATAGTCCAAGAAACTTCTCTCGTTGGCTGATCAATGAGGGAAATGAATTAAAACTTGTTAGCAAACAATGACTATTGATTCTTTTTATTACAAGTGCTCAAAAGCCATTTTTTGGATAATCTAGTCTAGAATCTTGCCTGGAATTGGCACCAAGTTTATCACACTTTAAGATGCTTTCCTTATTCTTTCAAAAGTTGTTTGAAAAAAATTTTTTTTTTCTCGTTTCCTTGTAGGGGAGACTTCTTTGCCATTTCTGATCTGAGGGGAAATTCAGCTTTATCAAACACTCCAGGCCTTGCTCCCTTTCTTCCTGGTAGCAGGCCCCCAGGGAGGCCTGCCCCCCATCCCAAGCAGTTGGGGGTAAATTTGAAATTCATACCAGGAAGCTCATATTCTCCAATAGCAATTGTCTCGGTGGTGAAGGGGGTACACTAATCCCCCCTCCCCCCTCTGCCCAAGACTGTCTTCTCTTTTTTCTTAAACAGTCAGAATTTGGGCAGAACTAAGAGGGGCTGCTATTATTTAACTCCCACCGAAGACCCCAGAGTTCCTCAAATATCACAAGCAGGGCTCTACAATTCTCACAAATTCTTTTCTCTGTAGTAGGATTTAAACTGTCATAATTCTTTTGGTTGAACATCTTTGTTCTTAACAGAAGACAAAAGCAGTGAAAATTTTATTTCCACTTAATCATTCAGCAGTATACAAATAGCCCAAAGCAATGATGTTTCCTCCCAGTCACAAATTGCACTAAACCAAACTCTAAAGGCTCTCTCAATCTGTCTATGTTTTTGTAAGCTGTAATTTACTTATATTGTGCTCTGACCCCCCTCCATGACTCTTACAAGTCTTCCTGGCTTGAACGCCCTTATTTTCTTCCGAAAGACGCCTTTTTCAAAGAAAACGCCCTTTGAAGCACTGAGTCATGGAAAGCTTTCATCAGCAGGCCCACTGGGTCTTCCCATTTTATCTTTCTTTAGCATCTCAGTCAGAGTTAAATTCCTTGGTTTCCTCGTAATTTTGAGCCACTGTCTCTGCCACATTTGCAGGAGTGTCTGTCTCAACAATTTCTAGTCTAGAAATATCTTTTTCTGGGTTCATCAACTCCTTTTCTTTCCAGGTCCGAGTCGCTTTCACTTGACCAGTCAGTACCATGGCTTCAGGTCATAGTCCTTTCAGCTGCTGCCTCTCGAACCTCTAAGAAATGCCACGTGCAGCCAACCAACATGCCTAACTTGCTGTTCTCACTTCTGGGCCCTGGTGTGGGTGCAGCATGTGTGCAACGCACTGTGTGTGTCCACCTGAGTTCTGTTGGAGCTGCATCCTCTCCCATCGCCTTGGGTCACGCTGCTGCTCCTTCCCCCGAGTTTAATTAAGGTTCCAAGTGCCCCAGATTGAGTTTTTGGGTGTGGGTGGGAGAGGGCTTCCCTGTGCCGCATTCTGCACTGGAGCCTCAGTTCACGTGCAGACAGAATCAAACCCACTGCTGTGATGCAGCAGTCACACTGGGTTGAACAGTGTCCCCACAAAATCCATGCCCGCCTGGAACCTCAGAATATGACCTTATCCAGAACCAGAGTCTTTACAGGTGCAAGTAAGTTCAAGATGAGGTCGGACCCTCATCCAGTAACTGTGACCATTGGTAGGAAACCTGTACACAGAGAAGGGGACAAGACAGGAGTGACAACAATAACGTAAGGAAGAACACCAGTGAGCAGAGGTGGGGTGCACAGCAAGGCGCCCATGTGCTGAAGGCTGCCAGAACGGCACAGACTATACCCTCCTTCAGAGCCCCAGGAGGAGCCCACTTGGCGACACACTGACTATCTAGGGCCACCCAGGAAAGAAGCGAACACAAGTGACCGTGTCTTGTCAGCCTGGGCCGGCTGGTCTGCTAAATACTCATCTTGTGTAGCTACCATACCCCCTAAGTGTGACCAGGTTCAACGAGATGAGCCTTACATGTAAAATACACACCAGCTTTCAAACACTCAGTACTCCCCCCCCCCAAAAAAAAAAAAAAAAAAAAAAAGCAAACATTTCAACAATAATTGTTCAGGGGCCTCCCTGGTGGTGCAAGGGGTTAGGATGCAACCTATGAACCTATCCACAGCCACTGCAGCACCGAGTTTGATCCCTGGCCAGGGAGCCACCCACATGACACAGCAGACCTCTCTTGTTTCACCCACTGCTCCCCTCAGCAGTGGATTTCAGTCAGTCTGCCTGTTCTGTTCGCCACTATCTCTGGTGAATCCTCTCACCCCCCCCCCACACCTCTGGCCTGTACCCCAGTTCCTGTATGTATAAATAATCTTTAAAAAAAAATTGTTCAGCATTGCTTATAGGTTGAAATGATAATTCAGAATTGTGTTACAGAATATATAAAGTTCATCCCCCTGTGTCTTCCTATGTTCTTACATGTGGCTACTGAAAGGCTGGGCTCACTATGTGGCTGTGTCCCCGAGCTCTGCAAGGCCAACACTGCCTGGCCATCAGCACGGGCTCCGACTTCCTCTCCAAAGCTGCTTCTATGATTCACGGTAAATCTTTGCTTATTTTGTCTCCAAACCTGCCGGCCTCCAAAATAAATAGCCATTGCCCAAGCTATTTCTCTCCCCTCCTTTGTTCAGTTTTAAGAGTTGTACTGGCCAAGTCAGCTGGTGTCATAACCCACATGCTCTCCAGACCTGAAAATGTGTGCCCTCTCTTGTCAGAAGCCTGTCTTCTTTCCCTTAACCCTCCTGCTACTCAAATTAGCTAAGAAACCACCACTGAGTCACAAAGAGGGCCCGGCAGAACTCTACCCCATGGGGTGGGTACCACTCTTTACAGGGAAGACCTGGGACAATGCAGACGCCTACCGACAGTAGGCAGTGGCAGAAGGTAAGTTAGCATCTCTTTGCTGTTCCCATTTATGTAGTAGAAAGCTGAATGAATCTCAAGTGCCCAAATCAATGTGGAAAAATTCTAGAAACAACATCAAGTGAGAAAGTCAGAGATGCTAATTGCTGAGTGAGTTCCTCACACAAAACACAAAAAAGGCAAAATGAAGTGAATAGTTTGAAGATAGATCCAGAAAGACTATAAAAAGAAGGGCTATCACAAGGTATTTTTATACTTTAAATTACATTAATTGCCAGCATCTCATATGTTCCAGACATGGGTGGTTACGAAGACTAAAGGTCACACTCTGAAGATCCGCTAACCTGGTTCATTCTCCCTCCCCAGATGGTGTGTGTTCTGTCCTCCTCTGGTGGATACGAAGGAACCAGACAGACGCACCACTAGGTTCCTGGCAAACGGCTGTTCGTACCTGGGTGCAGAGTAATTAAAGTGCAGGTCTGCACATTTCCATAGCAGGGCGCTAATTATCCTGGCTTAAAAACCCTCTGGTCTCCAGCTGGGTTGGAGAAAATGAAGCTCTACATGGAGTCAATATGGCATTTAATGAAGCATCGCAGGTGCAAAATGACAACAAATTAAAAAGCAAGACAAAAGTCTGCTCAAATATGTTACTTTCTGAGTATCTGAGTAACAGGAGGAAAAAGGCAAGGTAGAGAGGCCTCTAGGGCCTGGAACATTTGCAGCAAATCTGAAACATGAGTTTTCAGTCTCTTTCCTATGTTTACATTAATTATCCACTGTCCTTAAGAGGCAGTTATGGTGGAAATAAAAAAAATTATATTTATCTAAAACATTAAATGTTCATGTGTTTGACCCAGAAATTTCATTTTGTGCAACGAAATGGAGAAATAATGTGGGAAAAGACAGGCATATAGGGGGCCTCCCCGGTGGCGCAGCAGTTGAGCGCTGGGTTGCGAACCTGCCCGCGGCCTCTGCGGCGCCGGTTCGATCCCCGGCTGCTCCCCAGCCACCGGAGGAGGGTCCCACATGGCGCGCAGACCTCTCCTGCCGCCCGCTGCTCCCCTCAGCAGTGTACTTCGGTCCTTCTGCCTGCTCTGCTCCCCGCTCTGGCTCTGGTGAATTCTCTCGCCCTCCCGTGCTTCTGACTGTACCCAGTGCTTGTATAAATAAATAAAAAAATCTTTAAAAAAAAAAAAAAAAAGACAGGCATATAGGATTTCTCTATAGCATTACTTCTAAGTGAATAGTTAATGATTTATTATCCAATAACAAAGGAAGGGAAAATTGAAATAAATCAAAGTCTCCTTGATGGAACACAGTACTTTCCTTCTCAAAGTACTCTGTCACAAAGAGATTTGCACTCTGGGTCTCGGACTGAGCTTTCCCAAAATTTTACTCTCAATGGATTTCATTCTGAAATCCATCTTTCTGACTCAACACCTACTTACTGAGCGCAAAACATGTGCCCTGCACACTTGTAGACGCTCAGAAGTCAGTAGTGAAGCGAGTAGATGCCAATCTACCTCCACTGGGGAGGTTCTGACTCTGCTGGGGGTAGAGGCAGGAGGGCGCTAACTGTGGCCCCACACGGGTTCTCTGAGGAGGTGGCACCGAAGCACAGGTTCTAAGGAAATCAACGTGGAGTCATTTGCTGTTAACACTGGGGAGTTCTAAACTCTGATTCTCAGTCTGGTGTGCTGGGCCCAGTGGCTGGAGAGGCCTGAAGAAGGCCAGAGTGGGCAGGTATAGGAAGAGCCTCAGAGACCACAGTCAAGAGCTGGTTTGTCTTCTCAGTGAGAGAGGGAGGGAGCATGACTCCCAGTAAAGCAGTGACAGGAGCTCAACTTCCTGCCCTGACAGACACATCTGCTACCTCTGCATTGTCCAGGTGGTCACCACAGCCAGGTGTGGCTATTGAAATTTAAATTATTTGCAGTCACATTTCAAGTGCTCCCGTGGTTAATGGCTACCACACCACAAGGGGTGGTGTGTTTTGGGGGACTCATCAGACTTGGGGTGACAACACTAGAGGCAGGCAAGCGCTGAAAGAAGCAGGCTGTGGGGCCAAGCCAGAGGAAAAGGGATCAGACTCTGGACACAGTTTGCAGGGGCGCTGCAGATGGACGGGACGTGCACCATAAGGAACCCCAACCTGGCCCTGAGGTCTCTGCTCTAAGCATCAAGAAACACCATTTTCTTGGAGGACGATATTTTGGAAAGAGGTGGGGTGAAGTCAAAGTTCTGTTCTGGCCTTCAAGGATATTTCAAAACCCAAACCTGACCCTTTACAACCTGCTGGACTGCCCAAGAATCCATCCATCTGTAGGATGGGATGGCCTTGAAACTCCTGTTCTTAGTTCAGTAAAGCAACGTTCTGAGGAGACTGAGGTCACACACTGAACCTACATGGGCTCATGGCAGCTTCTGGTTTGCTCCTCAGTCCTGTTTTATGATAGTGGTACGAGGGAGCTCTGTGGTAGACTGGTACAGACCTCTCACCTGCACCCCAGTAACTGCACATCTCCTACTAAGAGATGGACCAAGAAGGTCCCCACGGCCACACAGGACATGCCCAACAGAGATGCTCTGGGAAGACATCCCTACTACTTTCTGAATTCTGACCTCCCCAGAGTGAGTACACCACCGCAAACTTTTCAAAATAACCCAGAACCTGGCAATTCTGTTTATCTGCGGATGAATCCTCAAGGGCAAGCAGCATTCATCCAATCATTCTAATTATGTGCAATTAATAAATGTGATATTAGCAAAGTATTTTGGACATCTAAAAAAACAATCACATGCTTTTTCAGGCAGAAACGTCCTGCGTGCAGGATACAATGAGGAAATGCCATCTGATCATTTGTGCTAAAAATCATGCTCCTTGGCATCTGAGCTTTTCACATTTGAGACTGTAACCCTTACTCCCCACCCAGATCACAAAACCAGCTGGCTGGGGGTGCCAGCCACTTGGACGGATGGCCTTCACGTATAGATATGGGGACATAAAGCTGCTTACCTGGGGGGAAATAAACTGGGGAGGCACTTGCGCCCGGAGATTAGGAGAAGAATTCAGTGGCTGCACTGGGGTGTGCAGGCCTCTCGATTGTGCTGTGCTATTTCCAAACAAACCGTGATTGCCGCCCTGCAAACACAAGAGTGATGGTGAGGCTTTCTGCAAACCAAGGGGAGGTACAAAAGAAACAGCTCAGGTTTGCTACCCTTCAGGAGGATCCTATCCTGTGTTCCATGGAATCAGGGCATAGTTCTGACCTTGGAATGCTTAGAAAATCACCCAAATCGGGTCATATCATCAGCAGCCCTGCAGTTTGAAGCACTCTACAATCCAAAAGGGTTAAGTTCAGTCAAAAGGTAGAAAAAACACTAACTTTCTTTAAATTGAAAGGTACAGGCAATATAAACATTTATCCTAACTACTCTCTTTTTAAAGACTTATCACCTGAGATCCCTCTGAAAAGGCCCGAGTGAAAGCGCAGGTTGAGTAACGCAACTGTGACACTCTGCGGACACGGCTCTGCCATGGTTGGCCTGGTCATGAAGCCAGTGCCACTTGGTCATGGGTTAGCCCAGAGCTCCTACTCCAGACACGAGTGTCCTCTCCCTGTCACAGACCTGCCTGACCCTGCTCTGCCAGATGAGGAAATCTGAATCAGTTACAGAGCTAGCTTAAAAAAGGGAGGGAAAGTGGAAAATTCCCACAGGGTCACCACGTGAAACATTACTCACCTGTAACTTCTCATTCAAATGACTGAGTACCAGTCTAGTGAATCAGCCCAACGCCCTAATTTCTGAAGGACCAGCTCATGGAACGCTTCTATAGAGATGGTCCCAGGGACAGAGCTGGAAGAAAGCGGGCTGGAAGGGGCCCTTCTTTCTGACCTGCTTCTAGTCGAGACAAGTTTTTAGCAAAGAAGCCCTATTTGATACCCTGATGCTGTAACCCTCTCCCCATCCCCCCAGGTGCTCTTGTGCACCACTAACACACAGCCTGTGTAAGGCTGAGCTCAGGTCACCCTCCGCAGGGAGTCTTCTTCATCTCACATTCGAGTCAGCTGAGTCTCTCTCTGTGTTCTCAGAGAGCACACCCTCTCTGACAGAACTCATTGTCCAGCCCTGTGAGGGCTGTTTTCCATCACTCCTCCTTGTAATCCCAGAAATAAAAAAAAGCCCTGGTCTGCAGGTAAAGCACACCATCGTGAACGCCCATGACCCACCCATGCAGACCCTTGAAAGTGTCGCCCTGAACCTCTTCAGTGCAGGCAGCTGGCCGCTGCCGCGAGACACATCTATGCACACAGAACTGGAGTCACCATCAGTTTATCCCTGGACACGTGGGGATTGCGGTGATTTCAAAGAATTTTGTAATGGCATCATTAAATTCTAGAACACTAAAGAGATCTTGATGGCTTAATGATTCAAAAACAGATTAAGGGACTACTATAGGGAAATTAATGAACTTAAAAACCTTAAAAATAAAAGTGATTGTGAACATAAAAGTAGAAATGGCAATTAAAATCTGTGTCCATCTCATAAAAGAAAATCAGAGCTCCACCACGAATTTTAAAGCTCCCAAAAGGTTGTTTAAATATGCAAAGACCTTTAATTCTAGAAACTCTAGTATCCCTGCTTCTTCCATCTTACTAACCACATTCTGAGGTGGGATGCCAAGCCCATGGCAGCCAGGGGCTCAGCGGCTGGTCATTCCCAGGAAACAGGGATCTCTCTCACTAAGAAGTTCTATGAGATGGCACTCACTCACACCTTACTATCCAAGCAGTGATCTTGCTCTTGGATGTTAATCGCTCATGGCCTGGTCCCTGGGTGGCAGCGTTGCTGGCAGTTCTGTCCTGGAGGCCAGAATGCACGTTCTGACAGATGCAAACCTTTGTGAGGCTGATTATTAATTTCAATCTCGCTTTTGGCAGGCAATATTAAAAGGAGCTTGCTTTTTAAAGTTTTTATAAAACCAAGCCCCACTTTGCTACTCCCACCAAAGCTTTCATGTCTTCACTGTCAAGTCTCTCTCAGGTCACGTGAACACCCTGACACATCTAATAGAACAAGTAAGTCAGCAACAGTCCATCCAAAGACACCTTCCTACTTTTAATAGGGAGCCCTGGCATCACAAGCTGGTCACTCTCTCGAAGCAGCTCTGTGGCACTATTGTGCAGTCCATGGCAACCATACAGACCCAATCTGTTTTCTTTCCACTACAGTTAGAAAATCGCCATCAAAGACTTGTGTATATGTTAACAGTGACTTATTAAACTACTTTTAAAGTTTTACTATTCAGTGTGAGGGCTCATGAAACCTGCTGTTACTGCAGGTAACTCAACTCAGAAAAGTATACACGTTACACACAAAGGCAACAATCTTCTGTGGTGATAAATTTAAAAGCTTAGGTTTTATTTTCTAATTATAAAGTGTATTAGGTCTAAATGAAAATCGTTTGAAGAAACCATGTCTGGGTGGACCATGGACACCGGCCCAGCTACAACAGGCTCTGCAGCAATCCACAAATCAGAACAGGACGAAAGTGTGACTGGGGTCCAGGGCACAGTGACTCAGCTAAAGTCCATGTAGGAGCCGTGCTTGATGACTATGTGGTCCTGGGCACACCACGGCCACCAGCAAGAGTGTTATGACCATTTTGTATTTTATGTACCTCACCCAAAACAAGAGCCGCTCCCCTTAAATACTGATATAGGTGTTTCTTGTGCTTGTATGAGTAATACCTATCCATGTCCTCAGTGGAAACATTAAAGAGAGAAAATAAGAAATCACCTAGGACTTCCAATTCAGAGAGAAGCACTCTGAACACACGTGTACTGTAATCCACTTTATAAAATGTGCTGAGGCCACAGGCACGAAGCCTCTGAGAGGCTCCTGTGCAGTGTGAGGCCTGTGGTGTGAGAGCCGCTCCACGGCACCCTCTAACCAACCTGCCAGCGTCGCCTGCAGAAACAGGATGGCTACCAGTTATCATTAAAGGTCCTTCCAACCACACCCTGAGCTGAAAGTCACAGTAAAAGTAGGGGGCCCCAGAATGAAGACAAGGGAAGGACCGTTGCTGGAGTCACTGTCACGAGGAATGCTGGCTCCCGGTTCCTGGTTTTCTCTGCAAAACCACAACAGAACCTCTGAAGGCCCTCCAGTCTGCAACCACGGGGAGGTGCAGCCAGAGCTGCCGGGCGGGGGTGTTTCCGTGGCACAGTTTTTCCTCAGAGGATGGAGCCCCCACAACAAGAGTTAGGCAGCACTACTCCTCAAAGCCAAGCCATCCAAATCCAGTCACCTTTCTCTGGGTGATTGTTATACTTTAGACTTAAAGGCACTAGATTTTAAGATACTGTTAACTCTCGAATATTTATTCCTAATAGTTTTGCTGCTACTTTTTAAATTAATAGTTTTATTAAACTGAAAAGATCTCAAAAGTGTCATTTGCCATTTGATCTAAAGTTAAAAAAATGGCAAATATGTTGTTAAATCCAATTATATAAAAGGCACCTCTGTAGCCTCCTGAACATGTCCTTTAGGCAGTTAACTTATTAAATGTGAACTTAATACCAAAAATGAGAAGACGAAAGAAACAGATTTTAAAAAAAAAAAAAAAAAAAAAAAAAAGCAAAAAAACAAAAACACATGTCCCGAAGTATGAAGAAGAGGGGTCCCATGGGCTGAGACCTGAAGCCTGTGTTCCAATATCATTCTGGGCATTCAGGAATCAACAAATTTCCCAAGACAGACACATGATGCAAGAAACTGCAGACCAGGGCCAAGGCGAGCCGCAGCCCAGCAGTTACAAATTTGAGAGGCCTCCTTACTTGTCTAGCAGCGAAGTTTTGGGGGTTGAGCCCTGTGCCGATTGCTCCAAGGCTGACGTTGGGTAGTGTGGAACCCGAGGGAGACAGCTTGTAGCTGGGAGAAGGGGAGAAGGGAGAGCAGGGAGCCTCATCCCCAAGGCACCCATCTTGATTGGAGAAAGGCAAAGTCAGCTGAAAAGCAGTAGTAGTTAGCCAATCACAATGAGTGTTGGTTAGTGAAGCAACAGAATGCAAGAAGGGAAAGGAGAGAAACACTAGGAACAAACAAAGTGAGTGTATCAGCAATAAACGAGGACAGAGTTTGGATCCGACAATCATCTCCATACTCTGCCCAACAGACACCATCTGTCATCCTCTCGGATAGAGATTTTTTCTTATCCGCTAAGGTAGTAACACATTCTGTCCATTGCACACAGATAAAAATTGCCAGGCACTTTATTTCTATACACATAATACTGACTGCTCTCACCAGTGGCTGCTGAGACCAAGGCGAGAGTAATCTTCTAGGGACTGTGTTGCTGTCTGAACCAGCATATCAAAATTGCCAGATCTAAACCTTGGTTTTCTGAATACCAGGGGCACTGAAAATTGGTACTCTGAATCAAGGACTAATCTTCTTCATTAGAATATTAAAAATCAAAACAATTAGGTATAAATGGATTGTTTAAATCAGGTAGTTGAGAATTTAAAGTATACCACTGTAACTCATCATAAGCCACTAAAGAAACGGAGAAAGATAACAAAAGCACTGTCTTAGATATAGCAAAAGAGAAAGTTTAGGGTTATCTTGACAAATCTAGAAGGCAAGGGCTTTGGAGACACAGGGTATTTGCACAAGACCCCCTGATGTAACTGGTAAGTGCACACTAGAAGAGAAAAAGAATTCAGAATAAACCCGTCTCTAAAATTTCTTCTCACGTCTTCAGTGTACACTTCCCCCCTATCAAGTTAAGATAGTTCCCCCTCCAAACTTGCTGAATCTTAAACCTTCAAAATACTCACAGCCTAAAGGCAGCTGGTCCCAGCTCCTGCCTACCACTGGATGACATCAACTGTGCCCATGTCACCACTGAAACGCACGCGATGTTTGTGCTGTGCTCGCTGATGAACGTTCAGTAATTCCATGCTGCCTCTTGGAATCATTATCAGCAGACAAAGAGAAACCAAGCTGGTTCTCATGAGTTATTATTGTAAACAAAGGATTCAACTCACCTTCTCAAAATAAGGCCCACTCTCTGTGGTTCCCATGTCTTTGGAATTAGGTGGACGGAACCCAGATCGATCCTTCCTCATGATATCATTAAAATCCCCGAGATTCATCGCTCGCTTGTCCACATCAAACTTTTTATCTGGAAAGAACAGACAGAGCAAAATGTCAAGAATCAGTGTCTCCCTTGTGACCCAGTGCACCCGGCCCGCTCTCCTCCCCCGGGAAAGAAGCTCTTCCTGCTCTCTGGGGACAAGGCCACAGGGGTTCTAACTGGCTCAGCCTGCAGGCGGTCCCGGGACACTGGTGAGTGCTTTTTTAAAATAGTAATTATCAGGTGTAGCTTGTTTCTTATGGAAGGCTGAAAGAAAGCTTTAGAGTTAACCTGGTAAAAATCTAAGAAAAACCGTGTAGACTGGTTATTGACTTGCTTATCTTACTCATAAGAGAGAAGTTGTCTCTTTTGGCTAAGTTAGCATATGATGGTTGGTTGGGGGTGTGAAGTACAAAGATTGGAATAAAAGATCAAAGGAGCACAGTCATTATCCTAAAATTTACAACTCAGCATTAAACTCAGGGCTGGCCTGTCAGACTTGGCTGCCGTCACTCCTCAGGCATGCTCATGGGCCACCTGTACACCGGCTAGCAGCTCTCGCGCCCTCGCTGTTCTGGGGGCTTATTTTTTAGTTAGTCTCAGTTTTTAAAACATCGCACACATCAAAGGCTTAGCACCCAGGACGATTTTACTTCTCGGCTTGATTTTTGTGAAGGTCCCTTTGCGAGCAGTGGCAGCACGGGAGGCCCCCACACGGCATTGAAAAATATCTGAGTTCGTTTCCAACATTTTAAGATCCGGCTATCAGGATATATCTGAATTCTGTACGCTTCAAAAACTGGGAGTTCTGGCAAAGCTGAGCCTGCGCCTGACTGCTGCCAGGATGCACCAGCATTGCTGCTCCGTTAGGTGGCCTTGGTGCTCCCACTGCTACCCAGGGGGCCTCCACACCCGGCCCCCGTGGACATCACTTTCTGGGCTCCTGCGGTTACCTGTGTTTTCAGTCCCACTGAGTGTCTGTGGGGCACCTTCTGCGCCCACTGGGCTGTCCCATCCCAACTCCATCCAAGAGGGGGCCCCAACAGGACGTTGCCACACAACGCCTGTCAGAGAAGGGATACATACCGACAGACAGATCCATTTTGTTGCTTGGATTATCTTCAGTCTGACTCTGAAAAATAAGTATAGTGACAGAAGATTAAAGGTTTATTTTATTTTTTGAAATTATTTTTACTGTGGTGCTGTGGTCTACAGCACTGCATGTTTCGGGGGTCCAGGCTCGTGCCTCTTCAAGTGCATGTCATGGCACCAAAGTGCCCATGGGCCTCAACCACAGCCCACAGCCTCCGCCTTTGCCCCGGGTGCCCCCCCCCACCGCCCTTCCTGGAAACCTCAATTCTACACTCAGAACCCATAGGTTGCTTTGGTTTGGTTTTGTCTGTTCCTTTGCTTTGTTTCTTTATATGCACGAATGAGTAAAATCATCCCGCATTTATCTTTCTCCTCCTACTTTTTTTTTTTTAAATTGAAGGAACACTGGTTTACAACACCGTTACAGGACAGGCCTCACCTCCTCAGATGCATGTTACCACACCACACCCACCCCCAGGCGCCCACAGTCCTTCAGGCCCTCCCCTCGTCCTGCCCTACTGTAACCTTAATTCTACGATTAAAGCTTTAAATGTTTGAACCAATGAGGAAATGGCTTTATTCACGTGACAGCCACATCTTACTGGCACCCTATGAGGTCCTTTGAAATGAACCCTAAATGGGAATGAAGACAAAACTATTTTAATGCAACCGATTTCATTGCTGCTGTTGCCCACAGTCCTTCACTCAGTGCCCTCAGAGGATTAGTGTCAGCAAGTCCACGCACAACGCTCAACAGCTGCTCAGAGAAACAACCCCTGTTCCTTAGTTCCAGTCACTCGGAATCAAGTCCCGAGAGTGGGGAAGGGTGATGACAGTGCTGCCCCATGACTGTGATGTCATTACACCCTGAACGGTGTGGCTAAGTCCCGTCACTTGGCATCTAGGTAAGGGTATCCCCAGAATGTCCCCAAGAGATGAAAAGATTGGAAATGTGACAAGAATTCCCTCTAAACTAGTCACAGAGAGTTCCCCCTGTTGTTTTGCTGCTGTCTTTTATGTATTTATTTTTTAATTTATTTTTGCATAGAACTGGGGTACAGGCCAAAAGTGTAGGGAGTGAGAGGATTCACCAGAGACAGAGTGGGGAGCAGAAAAGGCAGACTGACTGAAATCCACTGCTGAGGGGAGCAGCGGGGAGACAGGAGAAGTCTGCTGTGCCATGTGGGTAGCTCCCTGGCCAGGGATTGAACTCAGGTCGAGGCGGTGATAGTGCTGAGACTTGCTTGACCCCTAGGCCACCAGGGAGGTCCCTGATATTGTCTTTCAAAAAACTGTAGTATTAAAATTGGGAGGGTAGAGCAGTCAGGAAATGACACCCATTTCAAGTGCCAGGCTCTTCCTTCCCTACCCTAAGGAAAAGGAGACATGCACTACAGATTTAAAAACTGTAACCTTTAAATATAGGAGTACTTCACTGAGAATAGAGAACGAATACCACTTAATCCAAAAGATCAGGAATGTTGTTTAACCAGTTTCTAAATTTGTCACTTTGTGCTATATGTGGCAGTGGTTTTAGAATCTGTACTGAAGGTAGAAGTTGGATACTGTCACATGAGAAAAGAGAAAACTTACCAGCAATCCCATATTTGAAAACTGTTTGGCAAGAGGATTCATCCATGAATCACTGTTTCCTCCTTTGAGTGAGCACTGCAGAAACGAAATATGTAACATTAGAATGAAATCATTTATTTTATTCCATTGCACATCTGAGTTGTGTAAGTGCTCATCGAAACACAGAACCAACACAGATTCACTGTTTTCGATCCTCACAATCTCTTTTTTTGGTATTTTGAGATTTCATCTGTTAGTCTGATAGGTTAATACGCCTCAATTTTCATTCTTATCTTACTCACTGCCCTGGATTGAAAGCAAATGAAAAATGTATGGTCGGCTTATGTTTTTACCTTGTAACTGGAAGGAGGTGAGCAGCAAATGTTTAAGATATAATTTTTGCATGCTAGTGCTTTCCCTTGTAACCCAAGTGGGTTTGTTTAAGGAGAAAAGGAAAATCTGATGCCAGTACAAGTTATTTGGAAGGGAGCCTATTTAAACTGGTGGCTGTTCTGTGTGGGTACAATGAGGAACTCATCCATTCCACTTCCATCTGTTTCCTTCATTTATACGTCGCTCCCCAATGGGAAGGAAGCCCCGCTGAAGGCACTGTGCCCATCCTACTGCAGAGCAGTACAGAGGTGGGCTTCTGTCTAGTATGGGACAGGCCACTTTCTCCTTGGCACCTTCAGCCCCACCTTTATTTCTGCTAAGCAGGCAGGGCCGTGACAGGCCAGGGCAGGGCTGATAAGGCTTTGAGCACTTGTGCGATCTACAGGCAGAGATTTCCATTTGTGTTGTGGCATGATAGCTGGCATCACTTTTTTTTTTTTGTTTTTTGTTTTTTTTTAAAGATTTATTTATTTATACAAGCACTGGGTACAGTCAGAAGTGCGGGAGGGTGAGAGAATTCACCAGAGCCAGAGCAGGGAGCAGAGCAGGCAGAAGGACCGAAGTACACTGCTGAGGGGAGCAGGGGGCGGCAGGAGAGGTCTGCGCGCCATGCGGGACCCTCGCCGGTGGCCCGGGAGCAGCCGGGGATCGAACCGGCGCTGCAGAGGCTGCAGGCAGCTTCGCAACCCAGCACTCAACCGCTGAGCCACCAGGGAGGCCCTGGCATCACTTTGTTAATGTTAAAAGCATAGGTACTAAGTTCAGCTACAGGGTTTAAGGCCAAAATAGGCCTCACTGGAAGGAGGGGAGAATTGGTAGCTATTACACAGGGGATACGGTTTGAGTTTTGCCAAGAGTTCTGTGTATGGAGGGGAGTGATAGCAGCACAATGGAAATGTACTTAAAGGCCAAGAAACTGGACATTTAGGAACGGAGGATAACATCTGTTATCTAAATTTGATCACTTAATTGAGAAAAAAAAGAAAGGCTCTTGGTATGTCAGGTCAGAACCATCATCCAGTTCTAACAGGTACCAAGAACAGTCAAATTCAGAGACAGAAAGCAGGAGGATGGCTGTGAGAAGCTGGGGAGGGGAACAGGAAGCTGGTGTTAGTGGGTGCAGAGTTTCGGTTTGGGGAGATGAGAAAGTTCGGTGGGGGAGGGTGGGGGTGATGGCCACACCACTATATGAATGGCCTAATGCCATCAAAAATGGCTAAAATGATCAATTTTATGTTTATGTCTAAGACAACATAAATTTTTAGTTATAATAAACTTATCACACTTTTAAAAAAAGAAACCTTTTAATACAGGGGGAAAAGAATCATCATGGAGCAAAACATTTAATTCCCAATTAACTCAATCAATTAAATCTGAACTGTCACCCAAGTGGATGTTTAGCCCCTTTCACTGAGTTGCTACCTTTCAATCACAGTCTCCTGAATGGTCTTTAATTTGATCTCATACTTAATTTATCAATAACAAAAACAAAGCCAGAGCAGACTAGACAACGCGAGCATACCAAAAAGGCTGAAAAAAATTACTGAGTGATTCCTTTTGTGCCTGCAGTAAGAAAATAACAGTCCTTGAAAAGAGAAAACAAAATGTCTTGAATGGAAACAACGGGCTAACAACGAGAGCCCTGTGGTCAGAGCAGAAGCCAGATCCCCAGGTCAGGCTCTGAGGGCCCAGCCTGCAGTGAGCTGACCACGGACCACCACACATCTGGCCTTGGCACCCGGGAGAGGATGAGCTGTAAGGTCTCAGAGGGAGGCCAGGCTCCCCCACTGACATTAAGCATACGGCTGTCCATTTCTTATCCCCATCAATTTACTGGTGGCTCAGATTCAAAGACTATTATGCTAGATGGACAAAGTCCTCATTAAGTGACACAAATCAAAGGAGAAACTGAGTTGTCCTGAGCTGTGCATGGTGATGCCGACCACCGCAGGCACAGATGCCCTGGTCAGCTGCCCACTGCAGCAGCGCCATGCACTGACACTCCCTTGTGGGAAGAACAGTCTGGGCCTTGGAATTCCCTGACCAGGAAAAGCCAGAGCAGCCGTCTTCTCTGGCTTCTCTTCCATACCCCGCTGGGCATGTATGAAGGCCGTCCCTGGCTTCAGAATGCCAATGCATATGACATTTATGGAGCGTGCATTGAGAGTTTGTGAAAAATTATAATATGGGAACTAAGAGTAAAAAAAAAATCTCTTGTCTTCAAGAATTCCATTTTACCCACAGCCACAGTTTTTTCACAGGGAAGGAAGCCCCCTGTGAAGGGTAAAGAGAAAGTTCTTTGTAGTTAAGAAAATGTTTCCCTTTTCCTAGGATGGCAAGGACCTGTATGCTCTACTCCTTTCATTAAAAATTTCTTGGTCTGCCTTCTAGGAAAGAACGAGCAAGTTCAAATATTTCTGAAGCCGGTACCTTCATTTGTTTCTTTCCTCCTTGTCCCCAGCTTGCTGAGTTGTGGGAGGAAGCGCTTCCCTGAGAGCCGGCGGTGTTCCAGACTCCTCCATCCTCCTCCTCTTCCCAGCTGGGGTGGCGAGTGCCCGTCACGGGGCCATCACTCTCCCCCCAGCCGTCTTGCATAGATTTAGAATCTGTAAGAAAAGAACATGTCAACTGCATGCAGTAGCCACTGACACAGCGACCACATAACCACTGCTGGCAAGTGCTGCCTCCTAGCGTATCTGTAACTCTGTCTAATCCGTCTAGACAGCAAGGCATGTGTTACTCGCTTTCCAGAGAGCAGGAAACTGAAACTGACAGTTTATTAACAAACCAGAGAATCAAGACCTCCTGTCTCTGGTTCAATTTTTCCCTTACACCAAAGGTGGACAGGAATTCCAAAATTGAAAAGCTTATCACACTTATAAGAAATGTCATAGCTAATGAAGAGAAAACTGTTCCTTTCAATGAGCATGGTTTGCTAAAGTCCGTAGTTTTACTCTCCCAAAGTAAGCCGTGCATTTTATTTAGAATGGGACATTACAAATATGAGGTATGATAAAGAACAACTGTCTACCTTGTTTGGGGTGAAGTGGAGAAAAGAAGATAAAAAGGGAAAGAGAAAACTTCGTAGGATTTCAAATGTCAAAATTATGGTGACATTCACATGGAACCATGAACATTAGAAATTCATTACATTGACACACTGGAAATGTACTGAAAAGATCCTATGCAAACACAACGTGTAAGAGACAGTTTTTTCCAAGACAGGGAAGGACCGTGCAGATGGCACGTTAGGTACACAGCACCAGCGCCCTGTCTACTCCGCCACATCCCCTTTTAAATAAAGACCTTTAATCTGCTAGTTGGGATCTGTCCACAATTTCCCTCTGTGGATACTGAGCGGAGCTGAAAGATGCCTGCTGTGCTCACAGCACTCTGGGAGACGCCAGGAGGGGAAACACCAGAAACCTCCGTCCACACCTTCATTTGACTAAGTGACAGGACATTACCGAAGGAAATGATTTGGACTGCTTCGCCTGAGGAGGCCAGAGCCAGGAAGGTTCTTCCTTGCCGGGGTAACCACAGCCACCCCCAGGGCCTGGCCTTGGACAGCGACAAGGCACCCAGTGGGCACAAGGGGCACCGTGGTATCATCCCCTGGCACCCCTGTGACCCTGGTGGACCCTCATGGGGTTTCCACCACATGAAGGGGTTTTCTGACCAGACAGAAGAAGCAGAGCTGAGGGCCACTCTCCATGCTGCTGGAAAATGCTGCTGATCACCTGGTCGGTTTCTCACATTACGCCGGCGTAAGCTTTCCACCATCCTGACAAGTGTGTGGGTAAGAACCCCGATCTAAAATACTGACCCTTACGAAAAGGAAGACATCCACGTACCTTTTCTTTTAGAGAAAGGAGCTGAAGTTTTAGCAAATGTCTTTCAGAAGATAAAAGAGAGAGCTCTGATTTTCTAACTGCCGATCCAGGATGTCTGCAGCTCAGAGACCACAGGGGAGCCAGCGGCACCAGCTGGCTGGCTGTGAAGACCTAGCCCTTTCCTCTGTACTACACACCCAAATTACCCACTGCAGAAGACCCTGAGGAGCAGAAATTTTCAGAATCTGATGGAAGAAAACGTGATGCGGTGGATGGAAAGACATCGAACCCAGAAAGTGCTGCTGAGATGCCTCCCTGTGCCAAGGGCCTGGGCACAGTGGCATTCTGGATCTATTTCAGGTCTACAGGGTATTTCCCATGGTGATGCAATTGATTTTACAGTGAAATCATAATGAAAACGAAAACTTTATAAGCTCTTTCTAAGAAGCGGAGGTTGTAATTTTAAAAAACGCAGCTGAGCTACACAGTTATGGGGGTCAGCTTGCAGGACACAGCTAAGGTCACATCCCTCAGTGGCACTAAGAAAGTTCCTGATTTCATATAATATGCTTGACAGTGGAATTTTTACTCTTGTTCAAATTTTGAACATGTTCGCAGTTTCTTAGTCAAAAGACAATTTCCTTAAGTCTGTAACATGGTGGTGAGGTGATACCAGAATTAACATGGTGGTGAGGAGATACCAGAATACTTTTCGAGAAAACTACAAACAAATGGAAACGGGCACTCAAATCGAATTTTTCAGTTGAGAAACAGCCAGTGAGCCATCCCAAGGCATCAGTTTACAAAGTTTTGCAGCTCCTGTGACTACACACTGCCACTTGGATGGAAAACAGCCTAGGTTTCCCAGGATTATGAATAGGTGTGACGTGCTTGTTTAAAAAATTCAAATGAAAAAATTTGTTGTCTGGTTCAAGGAACGTCACATGTTCCTGTGTGGGTGTATGAGGAGGAGAAAGGGAAAGGAACAGAAGATGAAGTCAGGGGCAGCAGAGATCATGTCTACATTAAAAGCCAAGAAACCCTCACTTTAAATAATAATGCAAATTAGATACAGTGAGCAATGTTTAAGTTCCTGGGCAAAAAAAAAAATATGCCACATCAACATTTTAATTCTGGCCAGATTATAAGCTTAATTTAAAACAAGATCAACAAAATTAACTTAGGACATTTAGTTCACTGTAAACACTTCAACACGCCAAGCCCTCACCATTTCAAGCTTTACGATCCCGGACCTCATGGGATCAGGCTTAAACACAACACAGCTCTCACCACCATGTCTGACCCCCACATTAGCAGAGAATCCCTCAAAAGTAAAAACGCTGGTTACTTACTAGGTTTCATGGCATTTGGAGCGTTGGAGGGTGCATTCCCCCAGCCCGCGGTCGGCGCTCCCGGGTCATCCATTTCACCCCACCCGGGACTGCTCTCGTTTGGCTCACCCCACGCTGAAGTACCATTGTCTGGAGCAGGAGGTGTGCTTTTGCTCCAGACTGGAAAGAAAGGTAATGTGTCTCTAAGCATGATTTAATAGGTGATACACAGGACAGGAGGGGGCACAGGGAGAGAGATAAATGGATCCCAACTTCGTGGGGGGCACGAGGCAGTGTCACTTTAAAAAAATGCCTGATGCATGTTACTTTTGAGCCAGTAATTCCACTGCTGGGAAATCGCAACATAGATAAGAGTCGTAAAAGTAGATGAAATTACAAGGACGATGCTCACGGTACCACGGTCAGGAAATAACTGGAAGCAGCCCGGAGACCTATCGGAAAGGGCCTGCTGAGACCATCTGTGGGTCCCCCACAAACGACACCATACACAGAAGAATTAAAAGGCAGTGCTGACATAGAAAGTTTTCAAGTATAATGAAAAAAGCAAGGTACAGAACAGTGTTTAGAGCACAGTTCCTTCTGTGTAAAGTTTTTGAAGATTAGATATATTCTGCTATAGGTCTGAGCAAAGTTTCTGAATGAAACACAAACTCTAAGAGATTGCCTGTGGAGAGAGACCCAAGAGGCTGAGATTCTTTTATTACCTTTTGCTTTACTGTACAGTTTAGAGATTTTGTACTATGTAGGTAACATTTTTTAAAAATGTTAGCAGGTCTTATTTTAGTGAATGAATAAGCAATCTACATTTCCTTACTCATTCTTTTCAATATGTGGGAAAAAAGAACTAATTAATCAAAAGGTAATCATTTTCTAAGTGGCCATAATTGGGCTCATGGAGCACGAGGCTTACTTTGGGGAGTGGAAAACAGAATATTCTGATTAATTTTAATTAAAATGTATACTTGAATAGTGTAGCCCCTTAATGCTGAACTATGTGGGACATACAAGTTGACAATGCTGGACTAATATTCCCAACATGACTTTTAATTTACCAGGTATCACGGTCTTTACTCAAATAAGAAACAAGTTTAATTCGGGGCAACTGGTCATCGTCAACACACATTCTCTTATTCAAAGCACTCGACTTCCAGAGGTGAGCATTAACATTAGCCACCATCCGGAGAGCGCCCGGATCCGCCCAGGTCCCGCCAGAACACAAAATGCTCCCCTGTCGCTGGGGAGAGAGAAACAGGATGCGTGCGTCCACGGGGAGAACCAGAGTGGAAATCAGGTCTTTTTCTGCTACTATTTTAAAATCTACAGTTGGTTTGTTTGGCAAGATAGAAGTCTCTTGATTCTGCAGACCAATACAATTACAAAAAAATAATTTTGGGAGACTAACACAGGGTTGCCATCCTTTCATTTTGCCAAGAAAGAACATTAAAATGTACTACCAGCATCTATTATCGCTATTGTCTCATAAAAAGAGCTTCTGTTAACAAGAGATCAGGACACTGCCGGAGAGACTCCCAGAGCACAGCTCAGCGGGAGAACGGGGCCTAACAGCAAAGCCGCCTCATCCACACCTGTGAGCAAAACCACCGCCTACCTGATGCTGATTTCCCGGTCATTGGGGTAGGCAGGTTTGGTTCTCGAGGTGCTGGGCCCCCCTGGGAATTCTTGTCCCACAGGTTCACATTCTTGTAGTTGTAACTGTTGGGGTCTCCCCACGCAGATGTGCCGTCGTCGATGTCCATCTTCCGGCTAATTGACTGCGGGGATGGCTCTTCCCAACCGCTGGGCTCCTCGTCCTTCGGGGTTACTGGCTGTGGCCCGCTGCTCCAGGTGGAGCCCGAAGGCCGTCCGTTGCCCGGAGGTGGTGGGGGTGGGCCCCCCCACGAACCAGAAGTCTCTGGAGGTGGTGGCGGTGGCTGCTGTGGCTGCTGCTGTTGTTGGTGCTGTTTATTCCAGGAATTGGGCTGTCTGCCAGTCTCGGTCCAGGCCGGGGATCTCTTGCAATCTTCCCAGCCGCCTTTGGAAGCCAGGCTTGTGCTCCCACTGTTGCCCCAAGTCCCGATCTCATTCTGCCCTCCTTCACCCCACCCAGACACAGGTTTGCTTGCAGAACTTTCCCAATTGCTGTTTTTTGCTTGATCAACCTCCTCTCCCCAACCATTCTTTCCAGAAGTCCATCCCTGGCTGGGCTGGCGTCCACCCCCCCACCCCTGGTCCTTGCTGGAATTCTCATTCCATGAGGAAGCAGTCTTCTCGTCGGGCCGTCCTCCTCCCCAGCTGGAAGAGTTGTTGTTCTTGTAGTCGTTCCAGCCTGTGTTCTTGGGGTCCTTCCACTCTGTAGAGGCGGAGAGCTCCACCCATCCAGACTTCATTTGATTGCTTTGGCTGGGTGCGTCTCCCCAGCCCCCTGAGTTCTTGGTCTGTGTGGCAGCGCTCTCCCACCCCTCAGTTCCTTTGTCAGATTTCCCCTCAGGCCTTGGCACCTCTTCAATGTCCCACACTGTGTCCTGCTTAATTTGAGTTTGGCCCCAGCCAGTGTTTGAGAGCACCCTGGGGTCCAAATCAGTTCGGCTCAAGAGAGTCTGCAAGACAGCCTGACAATCAGGATGTGTGGGCCTATACGACCGGCGGCCGGAATTATGACTGTCACTACTTCCTGCTTTGTGGTTGCTTCCAGTGCTTTGACCCCCAACTTCACTTCCCGTGGAGCTGGAAGATCTTCCCCAGCAGGGAGCCTGGGCATTGCCTTGGTTTTCAGGGAGGGGGTGGCCCTTTTGATTGTCCCATGCTCCAGTGCTAGAATTTGGTTGGTTTGGACCACTCCATTCTCCAATTTTCAACTCATCAGACCCAGTCGGCTGTTTCCATTCTCCCTGAGAGACCCCGGATGTCATTTTGTTCCCTTCACCCCACTTGTTGTCATTAGAGTCCTGAGGGCCAAAGCTCCAGGACCCACCCGTAGACCTATTATTGTTGTCCCAAGAATCATTTTTTGACCCAGTTGATTTCTGAACAGACGCTCCTTTCCAGGAGTCCTCTCTATCCTTTCCATTGTTCCCATTGTTCCCAGAATTGCTTTGTCCAGAGACTGTGTCCGTTCCAGAAGGCCCCCTAGCTGCACCCCAAGATCCAACACTCCCAGTCTTTCGATCTCCAGTGCTTGGCGAAGGGGCATCGGTGCTCCTGGAGGCGTTCCCCAAGCCCATCCCAAAGGGCATTCCCTTGTTTTCCATGGGGTTTGGTGAACTTAAGTTCAAGGAGTTAGTGTTTCCATTTTTTGGTCCATCAGTGTTATGAATTTGAGCCTGTTCTCTGCCAGAGACAACAAAATTAACACCCGCATTTTCCATCTTTGACTGCTGTTCCCTGGATGCCTGACCTGCTGTGCTAACCTGTGCACTGGAATTACTATTATCTGTCTCCAATGCCCCTTTCCTAGAATTTCCTTCTTGGACCAGTGCTGGCCAGGCAGATGGGTTGCTATTTGGGTTGAAGTTGCTGAAGCCAGAGCCAGGTCCGATTCTCCCCTGACCACTCACATTCCTCCAGTTTCCTAGTCCATTGTTGCTATCTGTGGTAGAGTTGGAAGATTGAACAGATTTAGCCTTGGGGTCAGATTTCCAGACCCCAAGATTACATTCGCTCCCAGAACTTGCAGACTGGCACTGGCTCCCTTTCCCTTTGTTAATAGTGGTGCTTCCTGGCAGAGTGCTCTTCTCAGAGCCAGGGTTCGAGGCACTGTTGTTATCGGTGGTGTTTTCGGAAGAAGACTCAGTGTCTTTGCTGGCAATACAAGGCCACTCTTCCATGTCGGACCTGTCTACAATCACCTTGTCCCAGATGTGACCTGGGCTGGGGGAGGCGCCGTTGTTGGAGGAGGCTCCCGGGCCCCAAGTGGAATTTGCATAATTTGAAGCAGCAGCACCTCCAAGGGTTGACTCTGGGAAAGAGATGATCTTATCAATCACAGTCACACAAGCAGGATCTATTTACCACCTCAAGTTCAGGCTGCCTCTAAAAGAGCTTGTCGCATTTCCCCACAAACCAGCTTCTCTACCCAGTTGACTGCCTCGGTTTAACTGTTTCACGACAGACTTAGTCAGCTCTTCTGTTTCGCTTTGCCTGGCTGCTGTTTGTGGTAAGTCTAACTCTACGGCCTCTCTCGATGCCATCCATCCCCTTGCCACTGCCAGGGACAGAGAAGGGCCTGCTTGGATCTCGGGACTATGCAGCAACACCCTGAACTAGTTCTGTGTCTCCAATCGACTCTAAATGCTCCTGGCTGGAGTGATCTTTCTAAAGCACACCCTTGACCATATCACCACTGGGTGGAGAGCCTTCAATAGCTCCTTAGCACATAAGAATAGCTAACTCTTTGGCCTGCATTTTGATCAAGATGCTCCAGGACTTGGGACCAGCTTGCTTTTCTAGCCTCTTCTCCCACCACTTTCTACGTAGATGGTTATATTCCACAGGATTTGACGCACTCAACTTGTGTCTCCTCACCCTGGAGCCGTTCCACATTGGCACCAGTTTTTCCTCTGGAGTGTACATGCTGAAATTTACCCATCTTTGAGGGCCTAGTTTAAGTGCTTCAAGGAAGCTCTCTGGAGCTCCTCGCCTGTCCTGCTTTGCCCTGTCTAGAGCCAGGCTGCTCAGTGCTCTGTGCCCCAATCGTCCCCCCACCCTGAGTGCCTTCTGTGCAGGCACCCCATGTTGCTGACGTTTGAATCCCACCCAGAAGCCGCACACTGCAGCCCAGTAAGCATGTGCTGAAGGGTGAAGGCCCACACAGCGGGATGCCAGAGGCAGATGAGCGCCATCACTGTCCCCGAGGAGCTAACCCTAATGGGTCAGTCTGGCTCAGCACATATTTTGGTGGGAGGAAAATGGCACATTTTTAACCTAGCGATTTCTTCTTTTAGTTCCTTTAGGCAAGCAGATTTAAATCATTAGGAAGTTGGAAAAAAAAAATTCTGTAGAGTCACAAAAAACTAAGGATGCCCAGAATCTCAAACTCTTGAGACTAAAAGACCTCATTGGTTTTAAGACATTTCACGCTGCAGCCACATCCACATGACCATCTGGCTGGACTTGGTTGCACAAAGGCCCATGGTGAACCACCCTCTTGGCTTCCTTCTCATCTCCAGGGGCCACAGGGACATGGTGGGAATAGGGTTCTTTCTGACACAGCCCAGTCCCCACCTGGCCCCTTCCCGTTCTTACTCTGCACAGGAGATGATGGCAGGATTCTCTAGGCAACTCTAAGTTCAAATTTAGAATTAGGACAAAGGATTCTATCCACAACCACCAATTCCTTGTCCTTGCCTACACTTGATGGCATGAAGCTCTGAATTTTAATACAGCCTCAAAAATATTTCATGAGGTAAGATTGAAATTTGTTAGACAAAAATAAGTATCTGGAAGTTCTTAGCTGTGAACTGATTTAGCCTTCAGCTATTAAACATTCTCAAAGCTTCTAGTATGACCTCTCCATTTAAGATCCTTTGTGTCGACAATAGTTTTTACTATAGCTCAGAAGTCAGGACCCTCTAATGAACTAGAGATTTAAAAAATTCTAATACAAGCTTAAGAATGGTGTTAGATGGTATCCTCCTAAGATTCTACACTGGAATCTAAGAACCATTCTCTTTATCCTCCTGTGGCTCTGGAAACATGAACACGGGCACCGACATCTCAGCGACACCCCCATCTGCGGTCACAGCCCAGCAGGCAGCACCAACAGGAGGGCCGAGCATGCGGCACCCCTGTCTGAGCGGGGAAGCAAGGCCACGGTGAGCTCTGACAGCAGACGTCGGGATCTTGGCCCAGGTGCATGGCTGGCCACTGGCGGCAGGGCAAAGGAGGATGGCCACTGCGTGGTCCACGCTGGAGCCGCTCCCACCTCTGAGCATGCCCAGTTGTCTACGCGGTCGCTGGAAAGCTGTCAGGCCTCCCACCCAGCTGCCTGCTCACCTGGTGCAGTCCCGCTCTCACTCTGCAGCAGCGTTCCTGTCCCTTGTGCGTTGTTGGGGTTTGCTCCGGGTGCTGTGGAGGGAGGAGGCCCTGCCCCGCCTCCGAGGAGCATGCAGGATGGTGGAGGGGGCTGCCCGCGTTTTAGTAACACTTTGTGGTCCTGCTGGCAGCGGAATCGCGGCGGCACCTCCCGAGGCATGTAGCGGGCGGCGCTGGGCGGCTGTCCGTTGGGCACTGCCACCCTTTTGGCATTGTTGCCACCGTTGACTGGTGGCGATGGAGAGCTGCCAATCGGGCTGGCGGCCGCTGGTTGGCTTAGACTTGGTTTCGTCACTTCGGGCACTGAAAGAGAGATTGGGAAATTGTCTTTGAAATCAAATACATTTTCCTAAAGATTATTTTTATAAAAATATATGTGAGATGAGTCCAGCGAGACAACACTTCTTTCGTGCTACTCTTTGGGGTGGGGGTGGGGGGGCTGCCAGGGTCTTTCCCCATTCCCGAAACCTCCAGTTTACTCAAAGTGGGGAGCAGGTGGAGTGATGGTGGCAGGGGCTCAAGAGCAGTGTCCTGTTTTTGCTAATGGAGGGGGAAAGGGGCGCAATCATCACTCGTTCCCCACAGTGAGTGAGTGGGACTCCTCGACAGACTGCCTTGCAGGTCTAGGAGTACACATGGGCCCCGGGAGAGTCCTCGGCCAGGTCCAAGGCTCTCATGCCAAAAGCCAAGTCCCGTCACCCCCATCCCTAAAGCCCTACCTGAGAAGTTTCCCTGAGTTCCTGGAAAAGGTGGGCCACGCACCTTTCACTGGTGCTCCTGGAACACTCTGTCCACCGCTTTTACCCTGAGTTTACCCTGTTAGATGGACATTCTCCATCCACAGGCCCTGCTCCCTCACCAGTGCAAGACCCTCATCTTTCTGTCACAGGCCTGGCACAGAGTCACTCCCTACAGGAAACCTCGGACCTGGAGAGTCGCAGAATCAACATGGTTTAGGTCTGTACAGCCATATGAACGCAAAGACTCTTGCTTGGACTGTGTAAATATTAGAAACGTCAAGAATCTTTTTGCCGACGTTGAAGACATTTTTTGAAATGTACTTGTGAGCTTTCCCCCAACTCTCCATTTCAAAATGCAGACACTTTTCCGATTTACTTCAAATAATTTAAGTTTTACATTGTCTTTTAAAGTGGCAATGGGCAATCGGTGCTCGTGGGGGCAGCCACACCCCAGGGCACTCTGCCTCCCCTTCTCCTTGCACAGACTGCTCTCCTGGACCTGCACGCCCTCTGCTTCATCCTACCAGGAGACGGCCACCCTTTCCAAGGAAATGTACCCGGCAAACAGAGGCTGGCAGGATCACAGAATCAATGACCGAGTCTGATAATAGAGGTGATTCTGAGGCCAAAATCCTGACATTCAGGGTAACATAGGGCCGCGCTGGAGCAGTGCCGTTCTGGCTGCTGAAATGATGCAGGCCAGCGCTGGCATCCTGAACTAGCTCTTTCGTGAGGAGAAAGATACGTAATCAGAAACCCATGCCCACTGGACATCAGTGAGCACTACCAGCAACAGGAGACGCAAGCAGGTGATGGAGGTGATTTCAAGGCAGTCCCTGGTTGGACCCCGGCACAGCAGGAGGCAGGGCTGGGCTTCCCAGTGACAGCAGGAAGTCAGAAGATCTACAACCTAACCAGCAGAATAAACGGATGACTGGAGACAACAGACTATGTGGGCTGCCGGCTCACATTATATAGCACCTCCTGTGAGGCCTGTAGCAGAGATGCGACCGCCTCTTGACCGCTCTCCTTCCAAGCAGCATTCTGTCCTGGGAGAGTCACTGGTTAAAACTCTGGGACACACAGCGAGAGGCTGACACACAGGGCGCTTTGCAGCAACCACTGCAGAAAAGCTCGTTTGGTTTTGTTGTGTTACCTTCCACTTGCTCCTCAACTAAACACACACTGGCTGTGGCTTTGAATATCTCTCCGGAAGCTGCTTTCCCCGTGAAGCTACCAGTGACCTTCACCCCGTCTGATGGACAAATCTTTAAGATGGTAACTTGAGGTCCCCCCAAATGGAAAGCCTTCTCCTGTGGGGTAAACATCCCTGGGCATTTAAATCTTCCAGAGGTGACACAGGCTCAATGCCTGGACTAAACTCTCCATAGCTCCCAGAAGTTGGTCTCTGTTCCTTTCGACAGTGTGGGATCCATTACAGAAACTGCAAATCCTTTCCTAGATACTGCATCTCTACTAAAGCAGCTTAAGATCATGTTAGTTTTTGTAAATCAGTAACTTCACACTGACAACTACCCTGAAGCCAAGTGTTGTCACCCTAACATCTTTTCAACAAGGCTGAATCACTTTGACCAGATGCCTCCGCCACACACCTTTTTCATCCTAAATTATCTTCATCCCTGTTAAATCTGGCCCATTACTTCAATCCCACAAACTCTTTCCAGTCTAAATCTAAGGCCCAACAAAGGGGGCTCTCAGAAGGCCCTTCTCTGGGAGAGGAGCGGGACGCAGACACACCAGCTGAGGGAAGCGAGGGAGGGTAGGGAGGGTAGGGATTGAGAGCCCAGGCAGCTAGTGGGAATGAAGAGCAAGTGAAAGGGACAGAGACCAAGGCCATGCCCGACTCACATCTGACACACCCTGGAGATAATTTTCATTTTCCCTCCCTGTTTCTAACAATTAAAACCCTTGGGAAACCGGAAACAGGCTCTCAGATCTCAGATCACTTCACTTAGGATTATTTGACTTTTATTTTTATTGTTGGGGCGGGAGGGTGGGGTGGGGAGAGTATGGAAACTGTATTCCAATCTATGGTAGGTATGAGAAAAATATGAATCAGAAGGAAAATCTGGTTAATAAGTAAAAACGAAAGTTTGATTTTTAAGACTCTGGCAGAGCAAACAGGAATGTGTTGTAAGCCCAGGCCTGGTGCTCCCAATAGGTGAGCCTGAGAAAGGCCTAATGGACCTTCGGTTCCCAACAGAAATGCTGCTTCCACACATGCAGCTCGTGGGGTATCTGGGGCCCAGCTGGTCTGTGTGCCCCACCTCGAGCATTCGAGCAGCAGCAGGTCTAGAAACCCACCACCACGGTCCTCAGCCTCAGTCAGTTTTCCAGGAAAACACCATTTTCTCATTTGCTGTCCCCAGAAATCATCAAAAAGTCCTACAAATATAGACACTTTGTACCCAAATCTTCCCTAGACAGTTATTTGGCCTCTGGGTATAGATATGCACCACTGTCAGTAACTGTGTCTATGGGAAAGCAGTTTCTATTTGAAACAAGTAAAGTACAGTTTCCAACATAAGCCTACTCTGGCTGGGAGTGTGAGAGAACATTAATCTCAATAGCCAAGATAAAACTTATCCCCACCAGTCAGTCTGTGACACGCATTAGCCTCATAGTCCAAAAAAACTCAACAGAGGGGCCTCCCCGGTGGCGCAGTGGTTGAGCGCTGGGTTGCGAAGCTGCCAGCGACCTCTGCGGCGCCGGTTCGATCCCTGGCTGCTCCCCGGCCACCGGAGGAGGGTCCCACATGGCGCGCAGACCTCTCCTGCCGCCCGCTGCTCCCCTCAGCAGTGTACTTTGGTCCTTCTGCCTGCTCTGCTCCCCGCTCTGGCTCTGGTGAATTCTCTCACCCTCCCGCACTTCTGACTGTACCCAGTGCATGTATAAACAAACAAACAAACAAACAAACAAATAAATAAATAAAACATGCCTCTATTAAAAAAAAAAAAATTAAAAAAAAAAAAAACAAAACCTCAACAGAACCAGAAGAATGTCTTGTCTTCTCCATTACCCTTATCTACGCCCCAGGCATCACAGTCACAGCTGATTCCTCATCCAGGGCAGTGGCTCTTAAGCGGGGACATATTATGGGTCACCTGTAGAGCTTTACAGAATAAAGGCTGTAGCCTGGACCACAAAGGACAGGGCAGGGCAAGGGTGTATATTTTCCTAATTCTATGCCAATGACTTAAAATCACATCCTAACTGAGAGCCACAGATCTTAATGGGAAAAGGAATTAAGTTTCCCATTCTTTTTTTTTTAAGATCTATCTATCTATCTACCCATCTATTTATTTATTTATTTATGCATGCATGCATGCAAGCACTGGGTACAGTCAGAAGTGTGGGAGGGTGAGAGAATTCACCAGAGCCAGAGTGGGGAGTGGGGAGCAGAGCAGGCAGAAGGACCGAAGTACACTGCTGAGGGGAGCAGCGGGCGGCAGGAGAGGTCTGCGCGCCATGTGGGACCCTCCTCCGGTGGCCGGGGATTGAACCGGCGCTGCAGAGGCTGCGGGCAGCTTTGCAACCCAGCGCTCAACCGCTGCGCCACCGGGGAGGCCCAAGTTTCCCATTCTTAAGACGAACACACCAAAGTGTGTCCGTTAGCAGACAAGCTTGCTTAATCAACCTAACAGAAGAGGAAGGACCATTAGCTGGAGAGTGACCCAAGAAGTACCTGCTTCTGTTGATAACACATCACTATTTTGTAAAAGAGCTGACATGCGTTAATTATATTTTTCAAAAACACATTCCAGGGCCTCCCTGGTAGCACAAGGGGTTAAGTCTCAGCAGCCACTGCAGCACAAGTTCGATCCCTGGCCAGGGAGCTGACCCACATGGCACAGCGGACCTCTCCTGTCTCACCCGCTGCTCCCCTCAGCAGTGTATTTCAGTCAGTCTGCCTGTTCTGTTCCCTCCTCTATCTCTGGTGAATCCTCTCACCACCCCGCCCCCGCACCTCTGGCCTACACCCCAGGTCTTGTATGCATAAATAAATAAATCTTTTAAAAAAACCAAAACACATTCCAGGCTCTAGTTCAGAAGATAGTGTGACCAGCGTGGATGTAACAGTCCATTTTCAGACTTGATGCATGCCACGGCATAGGTCAGGGTGGTGAACACCCCGTACAATTCCCATCTGTAATTTAGGAGCCTGTATTTGTTACTGTACTAAGAAGTCTTGAAAAGTTTCAGTTAAAAATCATGACCCAAATACTTTCAAAACAAGGCTTATTTTTTCTCTTTTGCCTCCTGAAAAATTTAAGGCCAATCAGAAACCCTACTACAAGTACCTTAAATTCATTACTACGGCTCTCCATGACTGACGCAGCCTTTATCACTCAGCACCTATTTTCACGGATCAAGCGGAGTGGAAGCTGAGTCAGCAAGTGTAAAACCTAAACTGAAAAGGTTCTAACAACTTAAAAGAGGGGAAATATCTTACCTTTGGTTTTTTGTTCCGTGACCTGCAAAATAAACAGACAGAAGTAAGATTCACTTTCTAATTCAGTGTTGTAGGTCTACTTTAAATCTGTAATTCAAGTAACTCTAGCTGTCAGAGATACACAGGCATGGTGAACATCCAGAGAGAGAAACTGCACGACGAGAGCCATATGTTCAGCTTTAACTTACATGACCATCATTATGAAGGACACTAAAATTACAACAAAAAGCATCTGCTCCCTGAATAATGAGGGCCCTGCACCAGAAAGACTTGTTTGCCATTTTGATGCCATGACCAGAGAAAAGCAAATGGATGTCGCCCAGAAACTAAATTAGCCACAGACACAGAAGATTCCCCACACTGAGGACGGACTCAAACAACTGGTCTCGAGTTAAGAAAGCAAAAGATCAGGGGTCTGCTGTCAGAGGCCATGGCAGAAAGGAGGCATTCAAACTCAAGCCTGCCACTTCCTGGCCAAGGGATCTCAGTTTTCCATCTGTTGAATGGAGAGAAGTATAGTATCTCCCCACTAAGAGTTGTTACAAGGATTAAATCAGAGATCCTAAGCTAATGCTCAATAAATGTTTGCAGTTATCGAAGTTCATATATACCAGCATGAACCAGAGCAATGACTGAAGTATGTACATTCAGAACAAATCAAGATTGCTTTGTTAAGAGCATTTCTTTATATAGTAACTAATACAACTAGGGATGTGATTAGCCTAACAATTTGGACAGGCTGAATATAATGAGTTTTGAGTCTGGAAATGATGATTAGGAACAGCGTGGAAAACTGCTGCTGCTAGTGAGGCAGGAAGGTGAGGAGGGCGCCGAGTCACACAAGTCCTGGAGTGGAAAGGCTGCCAAAAGTGGTGCCTCAGAAAGCACCCAGGAGGAAAGGCGCCGGAATCGCAGCTGGGGCAACATCAGGTTACTTAAAGATCATGGGGTGGTTTGGCTTCCTTTTCCCACCTTCCACAGCATTTTTATATTGATTCTCTGACTTTCATGATTAAAATACTCATATAGAAAAGAAGTCTGATTATTCTGGCTCATCATCATACTATAAGTTCCTGAAAACACACTCATCATTGGAGGGCTCGTCTGTGGCTGACCCAGCCCTCTCCCCAAGGACCGCAGCACCCCACTGTCAGACAGGGAGTCAGCTAAACCTCCAGTGTCTCTTATATTCTTGTATTAAAAGGCAAGCGAATTCTTGTTCTTCATCTGTGACAGACAGTGCATTCAATGCAGATGTTTTCTACAAGTCCATCCATCCAAGAATGAACCAACCTGTGGCCATTCCTTAAGGCAATTTAAATCTTACAGCATTTTAAGTATTTCCTAGAATGCCATTTTGTTAATGCCATTCAGTTAAACAGGAAGTCAATGCCTTCCCCAGTTGAAGCAACAACCCCAAATAATGTCAAATGTGTCTCAGACTGGGTTCCATTAAAGAAGCTGCTCCCACCCTGTGCAGAGCTGGTGTGACACCTGACCCAGTTACTCACTGACGGCTCTGGAAGGAGCAAACTTTCACCACCTTTGAACATGATGTGAAAAGCTCATGTCTCATTTCTACATGGAAATAATTCAATTTAGCCTCTAGTAAGTCAATTCTCCAAGCAAATTACATTGCCATCACTCATTCTTGACCATTCACTCATTAAGCAAACTCATTTTTGAGTGACTCTATGGCACCAGGCGCTGTCCTAGTTACTGGAGACACAAATGTGAGTAAATCCTCGCGAGAACTGCAGGTAGGCTAATGGGGCAGACAGACACACAGATGGTTCTAAAGTGATGGGGTGGGCAGTGGGAAAGAGGTGGAAACACTCGGGCACCACAGTGTTTGCTGACTGAAGGATGAATGGGGCACAACAGACACTCTGGCACATTCTCTATGATTCTTTGCATCCCAGCACATTTTATACATTCTAGGTGAGGTTTTGTCTCTACAGAAAGGTTGGGAACCGCTCAGACGATAACACGATCAGCTTCGTGCTCGCTCCTTGAAACTGCTGAACCAGACTCTAGCTGTGGAAATTACTCAGGGGGCCCAATGTGCCCATCTAGATCTGGCATCACCCAATCTAGAATATTCTTGAACAAAATGACTGCATTTTTTTATTGCTCATAATTAGCCACGATAAAATCTAGTTATGGTGATTTTCCTTTTTGCGTCACCTCCTTAACTAGTTCCTGAAGCAGACGCAAGCACACAGTGGAGGCTGTCCAGCTGTAAAAACTTCATGCTCTGCAGAAGTAGTCCCAGTTCAGTCCTCACTCACCCCCTGCCCATCTCCCATCTTTTATTTTATTTTATTTTTTTTTTAATTTTTTTTTTTTTTTAATAGAGGCATGTTTTATTTATTTATTTATTTGTTTGTTTGTTCGTTTTGTTTATACATGCACTGGGTACAGTCAGAAGCGCGGGAGGGTGAGAGAATTCACCAGAGCCAGAGTGGGGAGCAGAGCAGGCAGAAGGACCGAAGTACACTGCTGAGGGGAGCAGCGGGCGGCAGGAGAGGTCTGCGCGCCATGTGGGACCCTCCTCCTGTGACCGGGGAGCAGCCGGGGATCGAACCGGTGCCGCAGAGGCCGCGGGCAGCTTCGCAACCCAGCGCTCAACCGCTGCGCCACCGGGGAGGCCCCCATCTTTTATTTTAAATCATTTTCCTACCAGCAGAATTCATAATCAAAGTTTAGAGATGCATAGTTCATTAACCATTTCTGGGTATCAGTTTAAGAAAGCAGCGTTATCGATGTGGAGAACAATGGTGGGCTGCATCCTGCTTAAACAATCCCTCTCTTTGGCATCCTCCTGCTACCAGCCTTTGCTCAGTTCCCTGGTGTCTAGTCTATTAAGAAGCCATTCCCAGGGACAGCAAAATCCAATTTTGGTACCAATTTAGCAGATGAAATGCAAAGGCCCTAAAGGAAGGAAAGCCTCTGCTGAGGTCCCCTCCTGTTGCCCCAGCTGCAGGTCAGCGTGCGCAGGGCCGGGTGGACACTCCTACACCTGGGCCTGGCTGCATGGTGGGGCCTCACTAACATGGGATGCAGCTGCGAACCCAAAAGGAAGCATGATACAAGCCTCTGAGTCACAATCAGCATGTTTACTCCGCTCTCCACTGTTACTTCAGACAATCCTAACAAGCTCCGATTAGGAGTAGCTTATTAGAAGCAGGTATCCTGACAACACAAAGATGTGACGGTGGGAACACCACTGCTAACAGAAAGAGAAACACAACTGAAAGCAGACAAAGTCTTAAAGATTCCAGAGGTCCATTAGAGCTGAAAACTACCTTTTAATTAAGTCATGAAGCAAAGCGCTATTACATTCCACATGTTAACATGGCAGGATCTCTGCGACTCACTTCAGAAACCATTTCCAGTACTGCCTTTTATGCTGGCATGCAAACAATCTATTCTAATAATTCAGAAAACTAAATTCTGTAAAACACTGTATCCCTTACACCCTGTGGTTCCTATTCAACTGCCTTGAGTCAACTGCCTTGTAACAGTTTCCACCAGCCCCTGAAGCTAATCTAACCTGGCACCATACTGGGGGCCCCAAACCTAACAGTGAAGCCTTGCGTTGCGACTGCTGGGGAGTGGTAGGAAGAACTAGAGCAAATCACTTTGCCTGTGAAAAGGCCAAAGCCAGAGCCCACTTGAGGTGGGGCTGATGCTGAAAGACAGGGGAGGCAGGAAATCAGATCAGAGGGGCCCAGGTGGAGAGTGTGCTTTGCAGCGAAGGGACAGAGCCCAGGTCTGACCAATCCCTGCTCCTGACAGCCTGTCAGACAAATGCCTCAGCTAAGACTGGACAGTTGATAGCAGTCAGTCCTGCCGCTGCTCTATTTCAACACCCTTTTCCTCCCTTAGCAAACCCCCAAGGGTGTGTGATGGCATCTCTCCCTAAGCCCTGAGCAGACCCATCACACCCTCTTGAAGGAAGGGTCCTTTGTGGAATGATCAAAAGGCAGACTCACGTACAGGACCAAAAGGACATCAGTGCAAAGGCTGAAAAACTATTCTAAAGCTTAAGAAAATGAAGCTTAATTATGATACAAATAAGGAAAGACGACAGGAGTTTAAAGTGTGGTAATTCTCTTGCCTCAATATTGTTTAGTGCTATTTTCATGTAATTGGTTGAGCATTATTTATCTTTTATACTTCCATGGTAACAAATGCAAGTCTTTAATATTCTCCCCTTTTAAATCTTAGAAATTTTTAAGTAACAGCATTACTAAGTGATCAGCTATTCAAGCTGGGGCAGTCACTTATTCTAGATGCTCGGTGGCTGTAAAGACAGATATAAGTGAGTAAACACACCTTCTGAGTGGCTTCTTTTTTCTTTTTATCCTCTTTCTTCCTTTTCTTGTCTTCCATTAACTGTTCTTCCCTTTCTTGCTCCTTCTCTCTGTAAAAAGAACGTTACACAAAAAGTTATTCACATCCTATTTATGTACCAAATCAAAGGCATACAGATGGTGTGTAAGCAACATTTCCTCTCTGTGAGCAGAACAGGTATTTTACTTGAACTATGAGGATGCAAAAACCCACCACATTCTGCAAAATATGACATCAAGTTTGGTTTCAAAAAAGCCCATGATGGGGACCTCCCCGGTGGTGCAGTGGGTTGAGCGCCGTGCTGTGAAGCTGTCCGCAGCCTCTGTAGCAAGGGTTCGATTCCCGGCCAGCCAGGGAGAAACCCACATGGCACGGCAGACCTCTCCTGCCTCACCCGCTGCTCCCCTCAGCAATGTCTTTGGTCTGTCTGCCTGTTCTGCTCCCCACTCTGTCTCTGGTGAATTCTCTCACCCTCTCGCGCCTCTGACCCCAGTTCTTGTATAAATCTTTAAAAAAAAAAAAGCCCATTAAAGGGTGTTTTATAATCCCTTCCTAATAGAAAAACACACACACACGATTAATAGATTTCCAACTCAACAAAGAGCCTGATTTGAATACATGACAATATCCAGTTAGTTTCTGGCAATATTCCTCACAAATAATAAAGGGCACATTAATCTAATTATGACACACAGGTATTTGTCATAATTTGGGTATCTTTCCATAACATCTTCAGAGTGGTGAGCATAAAACCTTTATGCTCTTTATTCCCTATTTTTCCTCTACATTATTAATAATGTATGTTTTACATGCTTTCTATTTGTGTTTTCAAGGCAGGTATTAAGTGTCCTATAAATCCACATATTCCCTGTTGGGCGAATCCACAGTCACAGCTTCCTGCACATGTGAGTTAAGATGATCAGGTTTTGTTCCCTTTATTAGAATAAAAATGATACACAATAAGCATTCTAGTTGAAGAAATGTGCTGAGTCTTAAGAAATCAGGATGATGATTCACATTTGAAAAGTTACTTTAATGTGTGATATTTAATATCCTAATACACATTCAAATATATATTCTCATGTTCTAATGTAATAGATACAGAAAGCTAATAATTTTCATTCTACTTATCAACTGGGAGAAAAAAGCCTGCGCCCCCGCTGGTGTGACTTCAAAGCTCAAGGCAGGAAACCCCAAAGGTAGCGCTCACTGAATTTCAAAATTGGAAGGAAAGGCAGAGAACAGTTTCCAGGTCCCCAAAATACTGGGCAGATACTGCCTGGGGCACCTGTGACTTTAGGTGATCCAGCACATCAAATCCAAGGTTTCACAAGCATCATTTAGAAAAAAAAGTTAAGAGTTGGAGAAACTAAGAAAAATATTAAGTAAATGTGTGCAGACGTGGTGAAGAGAAAAAAAAATCACAAAGATAGTTCCTGGAGGACTACAATTGAGGGGACAGAAATCACTTGGTCTGCACAAAAGGGACTGAGGCCCACTGTGGAGGGACATGCCAGCAGGTCACAGATGCTGTTATTGGTAGAAAACAAGAACTACATGTGAAATAAGGGTTTTACCTACATGACACCTTTTCCATGTTCACAAAAGGCCATATTCACAGTAAGTCCTTTCTCCTTCTGAACCTCTGGGTGTAAGCACAGAAAAGACCAACGTGCACAATTCACAGTCTACAAAACTGTAAGAAAACGTATTTCTGAACACTGGCAAGCAGGCTGTTGACCATCTATGGGAGGCTGGCCACAGCGGCTGTTATATTTGGCTCCTGGGGCCTCTTGCTTCCTCATGACCCAGTTCCTGTAACTCAGTTTCCATATCTTAAAGCAAAACTGACCAGAAAGAGTGACCACCGTGGGGCGTCTCCTGCTTAAATGTTCAGATGCTTTTAAAGAGCATTAAGTCACAAATTAGGAATCTAAGTCAAAAGTTTATTTGAAAATGCAATGTAAACAAAAAGCAGTAAGTCTTTAATGAGACATTCTTAAAAAAAGAAACAACTAATCTTTTCAAATTTTTTTCCCTATAAACAGGTAATTCAGGGAAAGGGCCTGAAATTCGTGTTCACTATAAGCAGCTTTATTTCCAAAACAAATATTTTTCAAAGCTTTCCAGGAGACAGGCAGTGCTTTCACCCTCATCTTTTACTGTGTAAATGGGCAGAATGAGTGCTCTCTTTACATTTCCCTTACTTTGGAAGAATTTATTTTCCCAGACCAAAACTGACCAAGGCCAAGATATTCACTTATTAACTAATCAAAAAGTGTGAGGTTCACCTCTCTTCCAACTCATGTGGACTCTGTCTTAGCTGTACCCTAGTATCAACTGGGTAACTTTGAAAAAACCCTGGCCTGAGCTAGAGCCCCAGCAGGGTGCAGAGGGCACCCACACAGGGGAGCAGTCTAGGGTGGCAGTGACAGGAGATTGGTCACATATATGGGGATCGATCAAACAGAGGATTAAGGATGATGACAGGTTTCTCACTGATGAAAGAAGGAATTACCCACATTGAAAGGGAAGAAATTCAAAGGAAGACTGTGGAATTGGTTCAGAATCAGTAATTAGAATGAATTCATGGTTTACAACACACTGAATGGCAAACACAGCTATGACTTTGTGTGCTAGTGCACGCGCTTGCGAGAGTGTTCTTGCTCCCTCGCTCTCTCTCCTCTGATTCCTTACTGACAGGGCTAGGGAATAAGCAACATTCAGATAGCTAGGAATACATCCTGAACTCAGATTTTGGCTTCCAAATATTCTTCACTAAGAGAACCAAAGTTCTTTGGAAAAGCTAGTTTCGGGTAAGGCAGGGAAAGTATTAACACAAGTCTGAAATGCTTGTGGCCAAGAAGCAAGGGCACCCTCAACCAAAAGATGGCAGCACTCCTTGGTCAGGGAGGCCAGTCAGAAGGGCGCCACCAAGCTACATCTGGGACAACATGTGCATAAAAATAATGACAGAGGAGACTGTAAACCATTGTATGAAATAAGAAAACAGGTCCACACAGAGAAACTAATATATTGAAAAAGTCAAAGGAATCTTCACAGTTTTAAGGCACCTCCCCATAAAATTTACTGATTTTTATAAAAGAGAAAAAAATAATTACACCAAGAAGCCTGGCAGACATGACCTGAATTAAATAACACCCGTGATCTTCTGTAATGGAACAGGCAAGTTGCACGTTCTAGAGAGGTGCTGCAAGCTACAAGTCCCTTCGGATTTGTATCACCTTCATTCAAATTTGTATCACCAAGATATCATCATGAGGAACATCAGACAACCCCAACCAAGGGCCACTTTACAAAATAACTGGTCTGCAGTCTTCAAAAGTGACAACATCATAAACATCCGAGGAATGGAAGGAGACTAAAGAGATACCACACAGCCCAATGCAAATCCTTTAGCTATAAAGGCCATGATTGGGCCTGCTGTTGAGTGAGCAGGGCTGAAGGGTACGTGGCAGAACAGATCAGTGCAGATTTAAACAAATCATACTTGCAATTTTTCTGCAAGTTCCAGATTGTTTCCAAAAAACAAAAGCAAAGTTCCCAAAACAAACATCAACAAAACCATTACCCAGGCAGCTTCCCAATCCATTAGAGAGGAATCTCTGGGGATTCTTTTAAGCTCCCCCCAGAGTGGTTCTAATGTATCCAGTGTTGAGAACCCCTGATCTAAGTTCCGGCACTTAGGTCTACACTGTAAAACATGAGCTATTTACACAGCAGAATCCAAATCCCCATTCAACCAGCAGGTACAAATGCAGGTGATGAGGTAGGTCCTAGGTAACCATCAAGTGTCTCTACATCTGGAAGCAGGGTGGGGGGGTATCACCCCCGTTCTCCCCCAACCCTAAACGCACAGCCAGATCAAGTGCAAACAGATCCAGAATAAATCCAGAGTGTACAAAGCAAAACGACCCTGAAGCATGTCTGAGGTGAAGATACAACAATGTGTTTCTTCCCTTTTCTTCAACAAGTAACTGTCAGTTGAAAGAAGTAGAAGTGATTTTTAAAAGCTGGGTCACTTGAGCTGAGGCTGAGCAAGCCTCCTGTTCTGCAGACATGACGAGGGGGTGGACAGCAAGGACACAAGCATCCAGAAAACCTGCTGCGTCACGTGTCTCCGAGGATGCGGATCATGTGGGGGTTCTAAGCTGTGACACCTGACGACCCCTCCCTAGCGCTGGCATTCTTGGCCACCCACAGTACAGTCCCTACCTGCACAGCTTCCTCACCCACTCATCAGACCTGACGTACATATCATGCCCCTCTACGCTGCTCCATCTTTCTCTGTTGGCAAGTCCTGGCTCAACAGCCATCAGCTTCAATAAACTTTCTTGACAACTCCAATTCCAAAGAACTCACTTTTCCGTACACCCCACACCAGTACTTTGTTGCCTGCCTGGCCCTCCACAAGTCCCACAGTGGATGCCACCATCACCACAGCCTCCGAGCCCGTGAAATAACCCCTGGGGTGGCTGCCCTGTCCAGGCCCCTCTGCCTCACCTCTCCGCTACCCAGATGCCCCGGAACTGGTGCCTTCCTCGAATAAACATTTACCAGGTGCCTGACATGAGCCAGGCATATTTCTAGGTGCTGAGGATCCACAGAAACAGGAGCAAGTCCAGGCTCTCGGTGGGCCGACATTCCGGTGGGGAAACAGGCAGAGCCACACGAGACATACAGCAGAACATAGAAGAGCCTATGTCTGTCCAGGTAGCGACAGGAACCCGTAGGAGACAAGGCTTGACCGTACGCCCCCTAACAAGGTGGCCTCAGGAGGGAGACCCACCAAAGCAAGGGGCAGGTGGGTTTCTGGGAGAGCATTCCAGGTAGAGGATATGGTAAAGGAACGACATGGAGGCGGGAGCAGAGGAATGGGGGAAAGTGATGAGTCAGAGAGGTCACAGGGACTTAGAGTGACTGCACCCATCGAGTTAGCCGACACACCTGCTCACAGCTGAACAGTCAGACCAGGACTAGTGTGAACACAAACTGATGCTTTAAAATCTCCTCACTGGGGCCGCGATGCCTCCCCAGAGCACCCGCAGG